TCGACCCAGCTACTTTACCCAAGGTACGGCCACACCACAACGTTGTGGCAGGTGTGTATGTACAATGCACACCTTGGTGTGTTACATGTCACCTCCGTATTAGTCACAAGATAATACCTACACTAATTACTACCCTATGGGACAAACACTACCTATGGCTAACCTAGCAAATTCAATACTACTCTATGTTTAGTATTCCCAATAATTATCATCAAGCCTACTGGTATAATAGGACCCACGCCACCCGTCGCTTCAATCTTAATTGCGATCCGATATATGTGGTCCACACCACGCGATCTATACGTAGATTTTTTTTTTTTTTTTTTTTTTTTTTTTTTTTTTTTTTTTTTTTGTTTTTTTTTTGGGCAACTTGATCGGCTGGGCACGATCGCGATTCGTATTTGTAGTCCACACCGTGTGATCGCTTGATTGACCAATCACGTGTGATTCGGACTTACCACAATCACTGGGTCACCCGATCGCCCCAAAAAAGGACTTTTCCCACAATCTTCACTTCTCCACACACACGTCCCCTGTACTGGTACTCGACATCCAGTGTCAAAGTACCCGTGCATCAAGTCTTCTTCCCCATGAATCCTGCGACGACTGCCGATCCTTCTTCGACTTCTTCTTCTACTCCAGGTCGAATGTCCTCCTCGATCGTGATCTATTCTGGATCTGGACCGATCCAGAATAGATCACGATCGAGGAAATCGCGGGATCCACTCGATTTGGTCCAGCGCCTAATCCTGAGATATCCAGTTTTACTCATCTCCCTCCTCGGTCCCGCTACTGGTCTGCTACACGATCTCGTGGGGCGTAGATACGGCGTCACCACTCTCTATTCACGATCCGACCTTGCGATCAAGATCCGCGGTTGCGAGCGATCTCTGCTTCCGAGTGGGCAAATCTTGAATACTGCGATGGGTTGGGCCACGTAAGATACTCTGTGGTGTGCCTTGTTCAGACAGATGTAAGCTCAGCAGGGCGGACCGTACCGTGAGCTCAAAGATATTTTTTGATCTCAAGTGACAAGAGGCGATCGGCTAGAGGAGAATATCGCGCACGTGCTACGATCGGCATCTCCGTTCAGGCAATATGTACTACGGAGATACGACATATCCCAGTGTCAACTACACCCAGAGATCCAAGAGTAGATCGGTTTCCAATGAAAATTATGTGATCGGCTAGATCAATCTCAATGAGTCCAACGGTTGCGACTCGCGCTTGATCAAGCCAACACTACCTGTTGCGCGGATCGTAAGGCCATCCATCGCCGGCTGTATGATTTAGAAGATCGCGTGTCAAAATCATCCAAGTACAAGTGACGATAGTCCCATTCTAAGCATAAGATCGAGGAGTTGCAGTCCGAAATAACCGACCTGCAGGCCAAATGTGATCATCTGTTTCACGACGTCGCGGATCGAGACGCGATCATCAGTTGATTGCAGGTCCGTCACTCGTAGAGAGGCAGAGCGCGATGACGCAATCCACGATCACGCTTTACTTCGTGACTAGTTGGCGAATCTAGCGCTGACTCGTCCACTGCCTTCTTCCCGATCGGCTTCTCGAGCGACTATGCAAACTCGCGGTCTACCAGCCCTACTGCGACGATGTCCCGTCGGGTTTGATCTCGAACGTCTGGTAACCCCAGGTCCAGCAAAACACCCTCACAAGCTCCAAACAACGTCTGCAAATTAAGTGATCAATGTCGATCGGCGAAAAGGCAGGACCCATGCAATCTCCGCCCATCCGATCAGGGCCTTTCACCTTATCTTTAGCTCAACCAGACCCGATCGGGGTGGGAAAGCAACATCAAAGACCGGTGCCGTCACCCTCCTCTCGATCGAGGAGCAGCAGTTCTTCCGACGTATTGGATAAACCAACAATTGCTGCCTTGTCTGGATTGCGTTCATCGTTGAGACGTGGGTCTCGATCCGACTCCGTTATTCTACCTGAACTTGTATCACCCACTCCGATTGTTGAACTCGGACAGTTTCTCTACGTCCCCACTTCCAATATCGCGGATCGCGCGTCCGACAGTATCCAGGGTCGATCTTTTCGTAGAGGCTTCCAGTGACTCGGAGGGCCCTATCAGAGTTTCCAGCGACACCCGCGAAATCGCTAACGATGTTCTTTCTCCTAATCGTCACGCCAGCTTCCTCCGACCAAGGTACATCGGTGAATTCCTGGATACCGCGATCTTCTGCTGATGTGGCCCCATGGTCGACTAGGCGGGTTAGTTTGATCAGCGTTGCGGAGCTGAATTTTGGTCCTTCAGACCTTTACTTCTCGAAACCCCACGGATGTCTTTTCCCGATCCAAGTTGGTGTACTTCGTTCGCCCCCTGATTATGAGTGGGCACCCCATCTGCTGACTTAAATAAAGATCTCCGCGCTGAATAGCCATGAACGGATCTGGTTCTAGCTGAAGGTGAAGTCTGAGGCCCTAATCGGATGGATGAAGATCGCGTGTATCATGCCTTTTTGCTCGATCGGCCTTGATCACTCGATTTGCAGACGATTGCTGAAGCTTGGGAAGGTGGATCGCCGGACTTGGTGGTAAAAGACGTCCGTGATCGAACAAGGCGAGATGGCGTCGCAGCGGGAGTCGACGGGTCGCGAGTTTGCATAGGCGCTCGAGAAGCCGATCGGAAAGAAGGCTGTGGACGAGTCGGCGCCAGATTCGCCAGTTGATCACAAAGTAAATCGTAATTGTGAATTGCGTCATCCCGTTCTGCCTCTCGACGAAGAACCTGGACCTGTAATCGGCTGAGGCTGGAGTCTCGATTTGCGACGTCGCGAAGCAGCCGATCTTATCTGACCTGTAAATTGGTTATTTCGGCCTGCAACTTTTCAATCTTGCGCTTGGAATGGGACCAGCGTTTCTTGTACTTGGGTGCCTTCGTCACACGATCAGCAATCTGGCGCTGAAAAGTTTCTTTATCCACGTGACGGGCAGTGTTGGATAGATCGAGGGCGGATATCAATCTTTGAACTTTGTGGGGCTGGTCTGATATTCGTAATCATTTCGTTCGCGACCAAGTGAAGACCAAATTTATTCACTTACAGGATATCGATACTCGACTAAAACTCTCAAATTACCAGACCAAAGCGATTCGACTAGTAAGTTTCAGTTTCTTGTGAAAAGGCAAGCATTGTGGACTTTCAGTAGAGGGTGTGTTGAAGATGAAAACTCGTCTTAGCCAAAGCATCACGTTAAGGTGATTGTTCTCGGCTCAACAGTCGACCGGGAAAAAGCTGACGCTGCTGTGAATGTTGATATAACGATGAGGATGTGGAAACAGGCGATAACAGATGGTCTATGATTGGCTATGGTTGAAGATGGTAATGGTTGCACCGAGGGTTAATATTGAAGCTCCAAAGTGCAACGGTTTTAACAGTAAACCAAGTGATTTCTCAGTAGGCAAGATGTAGAATACAGCAAACTATAACCTAGCGTTTATATTCATGAATGTCACTTGTCAATTTCCTCCTTGTCACCTAGATGCCTACCCTCGTTTATCCTCAGTATCTCTATCTGCTAGTCGCCCATTGCGCGCGTTCATTGTTGATTGGACCGCTTGTGCTAGCTGATATAATGCCTATATCAGCCAATGAGCAGGTGTCTCTGATATTGCCAATTGAGGTAGTATTCATGAATGTTATTAACCTTTAGAATAATATCCGCATTAATGATGTGATGTAACAGGCTCAACCCGTTACATATAATAAGATAAGCTGTTGGTGATGCCGCTTTTGCGCAAGAATGCGTACAGCAAATCTTGGCGCTATCATATAGCCGTCATGCCACCCACAACACGTAGATGGACGAATCTATTATCGTGTATGTCTGAGTGATCAGTAATTTGTAAAAGCTCTTTAGCCACTTCCTAGACAAATACACTGCAGGCAATGCCTCTATTGCACGGCTGTTGCTGGACCTGCTACACGAAAATATCGGTGTAGAATGTATTTACGCGTCCTCAGTATACAGTCTAGACAGCTAAATCTGCTGTGCCAACAATTCTACTCTAGGCAGGTAAGTTTGCCGATCGAAACTATAATGTTTTTGAATCACAGCACCCGAAGCACACCCTTACAAAGTTTACAGTTAGTTATAACTCCTCAATTTTTACAAATTTTAATGTCGAAGTTGATCTACAATAACATTTATATCTTAGGACATTCGTCTACACGCCGCATGCTTTGCGTAGTTGCATTGGTACCCATTTTTCACGTATCCCCAATTTGATTACAACTCATTTAAACTGAAAAGCTTTTGCCGGGCGCGATTGTTACGCTTTCTCAATTGTTGCACACGAAGACCTTCTCCGCTGTGTTTGCACTTGCACACGCATCAAAAGGACTCACTTTGCTCCATTCGTAACGTCCTCTGATGCACTTACTCACTGCTGACGTAAGTTTAAGTTTGGAGAAGAAAAATGAATTGCAGAATTTTTTTCTACCCTAACTGATTGATCGGAAGGAGCATGTGATGATTTTTTCACGTAAGGTAGTGAGTGTACATTGCCTCACTTAAAAAGAATCTTTCATACAAGACACAAAATGTATTCAGTACAATCTAGTGCAGGCTTCGTAAAATAATTTCTCACGCAGTTTGGTACATGTTTCTTGTGCTTTGGGCTTACTAATGTGCGCGTCGCACGCTTGCGAAAAAAACCAGCAATGACAAAAGTGATGCATGAATGAAGTAGCATTTGAGACACGTAGTCAGTCTTCTATGTGTTCATGCTGCCCAGTAAGCATCATACAATCACGACGCTTTTGCCCTGCATCCGCTTATTTCGTCAGGAAAATGAATGGCCTAGGGCGCAGATATCTGCATTCTTCGTGGCAAAGTTAAGCCGTCGAAAAGCCCCAACTAATACGCCTCGTCTCTGTTTTCGTGCTGGTTCGTCATGTGTCACGAGAAACCAACAGTACATTCATTAAGCTGTGCCAAGGAACTCATTAGAAAAATCTCGATACACTTTCGACATGCCACTCTCCTCCATCGTCACCGCCGTGAGCAAAAACCCGAAGAATGCAAGCACGCTGGCCGTCGTGCCACTGGTGCTTACGTCTGCCGGTATTGCCACTTACGCTCGCTACGCTGCGTCGCACCCAACCGCTGAAGACAAGACCACGAGTGCTGCATTGGAACAGGAAAGGGAAGAGAATTTCCACCAACACGTGGCCCTGGCCTGGAAGGGCACACGATAATTGGTCAACGAGAAGATGCACTCGAGCAGACTGTTAGTTTTGTGCGAATGCGCAGTCCATAGCAGATTTCTTCCTAGTAGCAAGTACAGATAAAAACTATCGGCATTGTCCACGAAACCAGTGCCAAGAGATGCTAGTTATGAATAGCTCTCTATGTGTCTACTATATCAAATCGACAAATACTGCCTGTTCAATAGTATCTTTCCTTCATCATTCTGCTATTTTCACATTGATCACACAGTCCGCCGTTAGACGCCTAGCCTTGTCACATTATGGCGTTTCCGGCTCGTTCGGTCGCTGTCAATGTCCCTCGTCTCCTCGTAGAGCCACGCAAGAAGCTCAACTTGAAGTTGTGCGCATCCCCCTCGGACCTTAAGTCCGGGGGCCCCCCCCCCTTTTTTCCGCCTTTTTTTTTTTTTTTTTTTTGGGGGGGGGCTCCCACGCAGTTCTTCGCGCAAGTTGTCGTCGTCGACTAAAACAAGTGCAATAAGTGCAACATGCAGCGGAGACTAAAGGCTTGGATCATTGAGTGATTGCGCATCAGATAAATTCATAGTAGACACCACCGTCTCCTTTCTTCTACTTGGTGGATTGTCATACGTCAAACAGACAACAGACTTGCTAAGTCCTGATTCAAATAACTAGCAATTTTTGCCTTATGTATGACAAGAGTTGGGTGAGACTGAGATGTCAGAAGTGTGTTGCATCATCTCCATCGGATCCAGAACCTGCTATGATTCGGTTAGCAGCTCATCTGGACGAATGCACTAGCTTCAGAAGAGGCAAGAGTGTGATGGACCCACGGAAGCGGTACATCTATTAGCGATTTTACTGGCTTCAAATTCCATAAGAATTTACCACAGACGACGTAAAGTGGTTATTACACCTTGTTCTATCGCAGGTATGACTTTGATATGACAATATGTGTTACAAACGGTATCTTTATCAGTGTAAAACTGGTCACGGGATAGTGTCGCCCTTGTGTTTGTTGTTGCTGTTTGCAGAATTTCACTTGACAATGATCGACACCGTCAATCACTACACTTTTTTCTAACCATTGATAGTCTGCTACATTGCGCTGGAGTAATTAGAATAATGGGATAGTAGGCGTATCTAGTGATTTTGTAATGGTATCATGCGACTGGATGACTTGCTCTGTCAACCATGTTGCCTCGGTTAACTCTGCTTGTATCATCGAGTCTATTTTTGCTTATAAAACGACCACCTATCTCAGCAATTAGCACATAGCCGACTTATGAAGCATACTCGCCAATTGCCAGCTGAGACGGTACTCATGTTTAGACTAAAATACCCGCCACAATCTATCTTAATAATAAAATCCTGAGTTTTTTGTCACAGTCAGATACAATCCGATACTAAAGGGTATTAAATGTAACATTATAGTCGAGAAAGTGGCTAATTAATCAATTAATCATGGCGACAGACGAGCTGCAGTTTCTTGTGCACTTTAACCGCACTCTATGCGTATCGCTAGTATCCAATGCTGCTACAGTTAAACGTATCGCCTCCTTTATTGAACAGTATGAAGGTGTGCCATTTTCTCTGCTTGATCTGTACGTTAACGGTCGCAAACTTGACGTGTCCAGTCATGTGCCCGCCTTCCCAAGTATCATCCGGGCGCGACTGCGGGGCGGTCTACGCGGTGGAAAAGGTGGTTTTGGGGCCATGTTACGCAGTATGGGAAAAGCTTCAGGTGCTAAGGCTACGACAGACTTTGGCGCGTGTCGAGACCTGCACGGCCGTCGTCTGCGCCACGTGAATCAGGAAGTGGCCATGCACAAGTGGCGACAGAATGAAGAGGCACGCATCAAGCGGAAAAAGGAAGGAATGGAGGATAGAGAAGAACTGGATGAAGAGACACCAAGCGGCATTCCTGGCTGGTATCTGGCCACGCCTTCGTGGGCGGAAGGAGTAAAAAAATCTTATATGAAAAAGCGACGCAACACAGTCTTATGCACAAGCTGGGTCAAAGCCAGAGAAGGAGGAAGTTTACCCCCACCAAAAGCTCCGCGATGGTGGGGATGTCCACGTGGACGAAACTGTGACTTTGCTCATGGAGAGGCCGAGTTGCGTGGAGATGGACTTGCGGATTTTAAACGAGCCAAAAGAGATGAGGCGCAGAGAGCAAAGCAGCAAGAACTGCAAGAATATCTGGACTTTGAACAGGAGATGCCTGATGACTTGTTGAATGCAATAAGAAGTGGACTTGGGCGTCGGAAAACCAAGATGAACGACAAGATTCAACAGGAACAGGACGCGCACGTGTTGCCGCCCGATGCAACTACGTACATCAGTGTGCGCTCGATGCAGCACCCACCGCCAGTTGTAGAAAAGTGGTTGAAGCTTGTGGGCAATGACAGTGAGGATGATGATGCGATGGCTAGTATTGGAACCGTGTTTAAGCACGGGTTGTGCGAGCTTCGTGGCCGAGGTAATTTTGGAACGGCATCGGCGCGCCACTGCTGTGCATTGATCAAGGGTAAATGGTATTATGAGGTTCGCCTTGTCACGGCTGGCATTGTGCAGATTGGCTGGGCCGACTCTACGTTTGAAGCAAACTCTGAAACGGGAGATGGCGTGGGTGACCACGAGCGATCATGGGCTTACGATGGTGCTCGGCGGGTTAAGTGGAACAGTGGCAAGGAAGAGGAGTACGCTACAGACGATTTGTGGAGAAAGAACGATGTGATCGGCTGCCTACTTGATTTAGATGAGGGTACTATTTCGTTTACTCAGAACGGCGTTAGCCTTGGTGTAGCATTTCGTAATGTGAAGCACACACCGAGCGACGAGGGCTTTTTTCCGGCTATCAGCGTGGAGCAAACGGAAATTTTGCTGGTAAACATTGGCTCTCAGTCGTTCCTGTACAAGCCTCTTGGGTTTGAAGCGGTTGTGCACGCTTTGCATGTTGAAGCTGCCGATGAATCGGCTACTTTCGTGACGATCCCGAGAAACATTGCTTCCACAACTACACGTAGGGATTTGTCAAACAACAGTGAGAATCCTAGTGCCCCGGTTTTGGCTACCATGAAACAGAGTAAGGATGGTCTTCCAAAGAAAGTGAAGACACCAAAGGAATTGAAGAAGGTGACGACTCCTACTGAGCCTCCTGTTGACCTGATGAAGTACGAGACTGTCGAGTCGCTCGAGTTACTGGGTTTAGAACGGCTGAAGCAAGAACTGAGTCGTCGCGATTTAAAATGCGGGTACGTTCCTACCAGTGATGTGTTGATACTTTTACTGAAGCTGACTCACTTTGATGACATGTTGGTCGTACAACAGTGGTAACTTGACGGAGCGTGCCGCCCGTCTGCTCAGTGTTCGAGGTAAGAGTTGGGAGAACATTGACGACAAACTTAAGGCCAAGAAAACGAATGGATTGGGGCCACAAGGGCATATGTAGAATGCAAAGCAAGTATTGTTCTTTGATTGAGGCGGGCTATATAAAACACTAGGAAATATGGAAATTGCGATAACGCAATATCCGCAACACAAAAAATGTGGACACATGCACAGATACAAATTGAACTACTACTATACGGAGCCGGAGCTAGATGCGAAGAAGGTAAAAAGCACATGAGAGCTACTTCTTCTGGCGAGTCGTAGTCACCGAGGTGTATGACATGCTGGGCTTGAAAGCAGATTGCGGTGGAGGTGCGCCAAAAGGCAGAGGAGGCATTCCTGGAGAGAACTGCTGCTGTTGGCCACTCGGCGCGGCACATAAATCTCCCAGGGGTGGCTGCGGACCGGCATATCCGCTAAAACCAGACAAACCATTGCTACCGCTACCTTTGTGGAACTGCATCGCAAGGGCAGCAACATCCACAGCGCCTCCTCTATTGTTTGACGGGCGAGGCAGAGGAGGAGGAGGCAGGGGCTGCAGGTAACCACGTGGCTGCATAGCGTCAAGTGGCATGTTTCCTTGCGGGTGATACATCTCTTTCTGCGGTGGCATCATCGACGGCATGGAATGGCCCGGTGACCCACTTGCATACTGACCGTTTGACATGGGTCGGCCAAATATCGCTTTGACTTGCTGTTGCTGACTCAAGAAAGATTGCTGCGGCGGTTGGGGCAGGGACAGTTGCTGCGGAGGTAATGATGATGAGGCGGGACTGGGTGGTGCTGGCCCGTTTACTTGAAAAGACTTGGCAAAGTTAGCAAAGTTGAAGCTATCAGCGCTATCTGGCTTGTCGGCTTGAACAGGTTCGGCTTCTGATGAGTTGAACAAACCCGGAGGCGGTGCTGGTTTAGTAGGTGATAACGATTTTGTGCAAGGCTGGCTATCGCCAGCAAGACAAGAAACTCCCACCACAGATACAAGACCACTCGGTAGCGACGGCGGTGGAGTTAAGGTTGCCCGGGCAAATCCAAAGCGTGATTCAACTGAGGTCGCAGCAAATGTGTTCGACTCCCGCTGCTTTGTCTCGCCAATTCCATTGCTCTCAGAAAATGATAATGCCTCACACGGCTTCTCAGTGAGTTTGCTCTTGTCCTCCTTGTCCTCGACTTGCTGAGCCTTCTCGTCCTGCGAAACAATTTCCTCTTCCTCTGACAAAACAATATCCTTTTCTACTGGTTCAAGATCAACCATTTCATCGTCTGCTTGATCGCCCAGCAAATCACGAAGGTTCTGCTGGAGCACACTATCTTGAAACTGTGCGAGCCGCAATTGTGCGTATTGACGGAACTCCAATAGCCAATTCTGCTGCGCTTTCTCAATCGCCACAAGCTCTTCAGCAAACTTCTCGCGAAGACGCAGTCTCTTAATGTATGTTGTGGCTACGTGCAACTGTCCACCGTCGATAGCTTTGCGAATAAGAATCTCGACATTGTATTGCGACAAATACTCAATGTGATCGTCTTTTTTCAGGGGTCGCGCCTCTTCGCCATTCGCAGCAGCAAGCGCAGCTTCAGCAGCTGCAATGGCATCGTTCAGTGGGTTTTTTGCTAGTTTGAACTTGATTGCATACTTGATAGCCTTGTAAAATTCACCGTGTGCTAGCATTAAATCCACCAAATACCGCAGCAAACTCACCGTTCTGTCTTCACTGCCCTGATCCAGCTTAAACTCACGTAGATATCGCAACGAAGTCACAAAGTCTCCCACGTGCGCAGTCTCAAGCACTAATGCCTCGTAAAACTTCGCTTTCGTCTCGTCTTCGTCCGACATCTTGTTCATGCACTTGGCAGCCTGAGACCATTGCCGTTGCTTTATCATCTCCACTGCAAGCACCTCCAACGGATACTCTTTGAACAACTGCATCTCCATGACGCTCGAGATGGCCTCCTCCCAGCATCTGGTCTCTAGCATCCCAGCCACTAAGTGTGGGGCCGGGAACGCTTCAAGTAGACCAAATTGCTTGGAATACTTGAGCGCTGCTCGAAACTTTTTTGCACGAAGCATCGCTTGGATTAAAGCCTTCGGCGTCCAGCACGGCCGCTTTGTAGTGGTAGCAGGAGCTGCATGCTGCCCAAACGCTGGTACCATCTCCTGTGCCAACCTGACAGCTGCACCAAAATGTAATGCACGCACCATTTCGTTGATAAGTAGTGTGACAAGAGCATCATTTCGTTGAAGCTGCAAGTCGCGCACTAGTTGTGCCACTTGCTCCAAAGCGATCAGACTCTTGGCTTGCTCAAGCATAAGACGTGCTACGTCCGACGTCTGGAAGCGTGCATTCAAGTATGGACTAGCAGCAATAAGAAAAGCGGCATCCAAGTACTGTTTATCCTTTAATAGCTTCTGCAGTTGCGTCTCAAGGTGCTCGGGGGTCGCATTGTCAACGTACAGACGAGCTTTAGCTACGCCTTGTTCAAAAGTGGAAAGTAAGGGTTTATTCTTACGTTGTGACTTGGAGCGTACTGCAGATGAGGAAGAGCGTGTCTTGAACTTTGAGACAGCACGATTGGCTTGGGAAACGCTTCGCCAATTGGCGGGCGCCGACTGCGTCATGAAGTGCGACAGCAAGAGCTTAATGTGAGTGAAGACGGAGGATTTATAAAATGGAGAGTGAATAATTATTGCTGAATAATTATTGACGCTAATTAATTAATACAACACGTTTATTTCTGCAACAATAATTGCAGACTAAGGGTTTATTTTTTCGGAGAATGCCTTTTTAGGGAAGCTTTATTATTTCACCGCTTTTATCTTTTCATTTTTTAATACGTCAAAACAGCTAAAACTAAATGAATAATCAGGATTTGCATCTTGTGTGTACATACCTTATTTTACCTTGTGAATGCCTAAAACTCCTTTGTTGCATTGATATATTATTGTAGGTTAGCATGTACACTAAATTCGGGCTTGAAGTTGACCGAGTGAGCAATACACAAAAGCACACACACCAAATGGATACAAAAAGTCATGTGCATATGCATGGTACCTAGGCAGCATCACTAACACTTTAATCAGGAACCTAGATAATACGAGATACGGTCCAAACGATCAGCTCAATATTCTTCGTCTTCAAGGTTGAAAATAAGCCCGTCAGTTTGTCAGGACAAACGAAATAAAAGTCATCCGTAGCCGACAAAGAGTCAGTCTTTGCTGCAAAATCTCTCCATGGATATCCACGTGACCACACCCTGTCGTCCAGCATTCGCATCTTTCAAAAGCATCAATTGTTGCAGGTTCTCCCCTCCGTCAGAAAATAAACGAAATGTTGGCCGATGTTTGCTTTTGTTGCTGGCTGAAAGCTATAGCTTTCCCACGTGTACGAGTAAGACAGTACGCAACCTCAAGTAATGGCAGGAAGCTTGCAAATTGGACAACACCCTTTTTCCCGAAGCCACGGGTCGATACATTCTGGATGGAAACGGTCGAAGCACGGCATCATCCGCACGCGGTCGCCCACCTGAAATGCGCTTAGACACACGGTGCAGCGTGCGTTCTCAAAAGCCTGCAGCAAACTATTTCTACATTTTCATATAGCAGAAGAAAACGCCATACGTTAGTGCAAGCGACATCAATTGTGCTCTCTCGCACATCTTCTATACTATCAGAGCTTGCCAAAACAGAGAAAGAAAAGAAAGAAAGAGGAAAGCTACGTACGTTACAATAACAATAGGAAGCTGCTGAATTTGTTGTAGCGTAGCACTTTCATGTTGGCGTTCATTCAGCTCCTGTAATCTCATTAGCCGTTCATAATCATTGCCGTCAAAGTCGCGAGTGCTCATGAGCAGCTGAAGTACGTCACTATCCAACTGCTCATAGAGCGTACGACTGATTTGAATGACACCAAGTTGCGTCTGTATTCTTTGTTGCTGATCATTTTCCATCCATTCGTGCTTGGTTCTCATTATAGCCAGCTCTAGCAGAGAAATAATACCGTACATGACGATTGGTAGACCAACTATAACATTGATATGTAGAGAGAGAAAGAGAGTGTAAGAACAAAGGAAAAGAGATGCAGTATTCAGTTCAAGGCTGCAGTAATACACGTTAGGATGAGTGGAAATATTGCTTGTGGAAACGACAGGGCGAAGACAACGATTGCTACACCCAAGCCACCAGTAGTAATCAGCCGCATTCGTAGCATTATGATGTTGTTTTCTGTGAGGGTGAAGGTTGCACGAACAAAGTTTTGTCAGAAGGTTGCACGAACAAAAAGTTTTGTCAGAAGGTTGCACGAGCTCAGCTCCATGTGGTGTGTTTGTATCGATTACAATTGGTAGAAATCCAGATCTATTCCTAGTTCATGTAATTATTTTCTTCCAATCAATATCTTGTATGCAAAGGATGCGTTCCTTTTTCGACTATTCTATGTACACAGACTTTCAGTCCAAGGCCGACGGTGGGAGAATAACTAACATACAGCAGACAGATAATAAGAGAAGAAAGAAGCGAGCCAATCGGTCGTCATTTCTGACGACTTGTATCACATTCTTTCTTCCACTTGCGTCTACTTGTTACTTTAGCTATGGGTGACAATAAAGAATATAAATTGGTACGACATGAGAGAGTTTCATTCTTCTTCTTCTTGTGATTTATAAGAGGGGACAAAAGAGAACGCATTGTAAACGCAGTGTTTCGTCCACGTTTTCTCCCGTCTCTCTCCCTCCCCCCTGTGGATAAATTCTTTGTAATATTATCTTGTCTCTCTTTTTTTTACTTACGTTGTAATTTATGTATTCTATTCTAGGTCGTACTAGGCAGTGGTGGTGTTGGCAAATCTGCGCTAACCATTCGTCTTGTGACTGATAATTTCTTGGAAGATTATGATCCAACTATTGGTATGATATGGATGCAATTGAAACAAAAGGAAGCACGTGATGGAGTGATTATATACTTATAATGCTTCTATGTATACTGCAATTCATGTTATTCGATATGAAAACAAAATCTATAGAGGACAGTTACCGAAAACAGACAACAATTGATAACAGCCCTGCATTACTGGATATTCTTGATACGGCAGGACAGGAAGAATATACGTCCATGCAAGATCAGGTACATAGCTAAGAGAAGGTGTTGGTTTTTGTCTTGTATGGCATGAAGAAACTAATTGTTTTTTTGCTGCTTATTATTGTACTATAGTGGATGCGTGAAGGCAAAGGATTTTTACTGGTCTACAGTGTAACCAGTCGCAGCTCATTTGATGACATTGCTGTATTTAAGGACAAGATTCTGAGAGCAAAGGACGTGGACAATGTACCTATTGTATTGGTTGGTAACAAGTGCGATCTGGAAAGTCAGCGACAGGTGGCGGGTGATGAAGGCAAGGATCTCGCCAGTCAGTGGGGTTGTGCTTTCATGGAGACGAGTGCTAAGGAGAGAGTACGTCGTGCTCTCTATGCTGACAATTGGAAGCAGGAGCTGATTATGTTGTTGATTATTGTCTTGGCAGATATTGAATGAAGAGTGCTTTTATCAAGTTGTGCGTGAGATCAGGAAAGCTGAGCGCCCTGTGCGCGTGGAGCGACCGCAACCCACCCAGAAACCACCGAAGAAGTCTGGGCTTAAGTGCACCATCCTATAGAAGCGCGAGCTCTCGCCACGTTAACGAGTCGCGCAGAGCCTAGTGCTTTGATAGCCTCGTCACAATGTTGTTTTGCTGCTTACATATCACCAGTCAGTTAGCCCATTTCCGAATTCAATTAGTCACTCGCCATTCCGCCGCCCTGCCCATTCATCTCAGTCGCTACTTTATGGACGGTTCCGAGCCACCACGTCTTCTCCGACTCGGGACATGTTCGTGTCGTTTGTCCTGTTAGATTGAAGCGGAGTCAGTTCATTAATAAAAGAGATAAAAGATCAGCTAGTGTCTTCTTTACAAACTTCATAGACGCGCATGAAAGCTCGTAACATAACAAAAATAGTGCTTGTTTATATCCAAACATGCATACAGCTTCCGCTTAACCGGATACCCCACTCCTCTTAATGAACCCGACAGAGTTGCGCTGTCAAATAGAGATGTCGTAACTGAAAATAGGCTGCAGCAGCTTGCGGCCCACATACTACACCGATTTTCCTGACACAATACTAGCGCTTGTTTCTTGACGTAGTAACTGAAGTGAGAAGGGCTCACGATCTCACTGTTCAAACGGACGATGCCGTTTCAGCCAACATAGTACGCTTTTCATTGTCTGTATCACGATGAAATACCCGTGTGATACCTCACGCGGTAGTTCACCAGGTTAGGCGGCGCATTACTCATGTACTGTTCCAGCCACGACACCATTTCAGCCTCCGAAGACCCGAAATCGTCACGAAAGATACGTAACACACGCGGTAGCACAATCTCTCCAGCACGCTCGTTTATCTCCACCAAACGCTTACAAAAGCTTTCTGCCTGTTCCTCTAGGTCTGTGTCCGTTCGTCCAGGCTTCAAAATCGGGACGTCTTCGGCACTTGGAAGAGGTTCCGCGCAGTCGATCAGCACTAATAGTGAGCGAGGATCACGAATGTGTAGTCGAAACTGCAATTTTGGGTCCTGAGCCTGCAGCTGGCGCTCCCAATAGTTTGATGGAGGCTTGCGGTTGCAACGCAAGATGCCGTGCTTGATATCACCTAACGTAAAGTCCAAACCACCAAACGTGTAAGCCACATCCCGTTCAAATGCCTTGTACTGGCCAATATTCTGCGGCACACCAAACTCGATGAGACCGTGAAGCACCATAGTGTTGTAAATATTAATGAAGAACGGCTGACGCTCGTGCTTGGGAAGGCTGCCTACGTCCACCTTTTGTAGTTTCGACGCTAGCTTCAAGAAGCGACGATACTTCTGACAAAGAGGGGCGTCAAAGTATACGGTCGCGCTGCTTCCCGTCACGGACACATGGTTTGGAAGGCTAAACCCGGTGGCAATTCCGCGCGGAAAAGACTTCAGCGCATGGAGGTCTGCTATCGCTTCACGAACACGAAGACAAACTTCCATTGCACCTTGCTGGACATCTTCAACGCAAACATATTTCATGTTCAGCGGGACAAATAGCTCGTCGACTTGGAAACGCAGGTACGTGTCCTGAGCAGCTAAGTCCGGATGCGACATATCTTCCGCAAAAACGATATTCAGTACGCGATTTTTCCAATACTCAGACAAAATCGAAGCGGCCTCCTCATTTGTCTTCTTGAAATTTGTCTTCAGTACATTTACTAGCTCACTCGCAGAAACGCACGCCGTGTATGTAGTGAAAAGTCCAACACGAACGTCGCCAATAGTTACCTGTGCGCGCAGCTTGTCGGCAAAAGTATCCTCTATGTATCCTGGAGAGTCCGCCGAAATTTTTGCTAAGTCACTATTTTGCAGCGGACGGCCAGAACTAGGGACCGGTTTGGCAGCAAGTCCAATGGCAACAGAAGCAATCGCGGAAGTGCGCAAATTTCCATTGTTGAATCCAGCTTTGTTCGAGCCATCACTACGGGTCGAAACAGGAGAAACCGACTCTAAAAGTGAGTCGCCAAACCCGTTCGATGGCGTTTCGCTACTACTGTTGTGATTGCGACGACGGAGGCTTGGCGACACAGGCGAAAGTGGTGGATTGCCTACACCAGTGCTGTACAGAGAAGGCTGGTGCAACTTGGCCTCGAGCTCCAACGCCTCTTGAAATTCCGATACATGTTCGGACAAGAAGGCTTGAATGGGCGCTTGCACGAACGGGAATCGACAGATGTCTTCAATTGACGGACGCTTTGATGCGTCCTGCTGCAGCATAAGCTGCACGAGAAGACGCAACTCACGCGAGAAGGAAGGCAGGATGGGCGGGAACTCGCCCTTACAAATTTTACTAAAGATTTCCGGAAGCGTAGAAGCCTCGAATGGGCGTCGAAGCATGATCATCTCGTACAAAATGCATCCAAGTGACCAAATATCTGACTTTTTGCCGTACGGCTCGCCCCGGCAGATTTCAGGTGACATGCTCTCGGGTGTGCCACAAGCTGTGTTAGCTGTATCATCTCCAGCCAACGCCTTGGAAATACCAAAGTCGCCTAGTTTTACCACATTCTTGTGTGTGAGGAAGACATTCTGCGCCTTGAGGTCGCGATGCAGCACGTTTTTGCCGTGAATATAAGCCACAGCCAAAACAAGCTGCGCGAACCAGCTCATAATAACAGGCTCGGGGAAGGGTCCCATCCTTTCACGCGAGCGCAGCTTCACAAGTTGACGTAAATTGCCGCCATCCGAGTACTCCATGACAATGTTGAGTTCGTCATCAGCCAAGAAATGGTCGTAAAAGCGTACAATGTTTACGTGGTATAGCGACTTTAGCAGAATTACCTCATTATCCGCCTGCTTGCGGCCATTCTCGGAGATCTGTGAGATCCGCACGCGCTTGACAGCGACAACGGCTCTGTCCAAGTTACGCCGTGCCAACACTACAGTGCCATGTGTACCCTTTCCAATAGTGCGAATAACCTCAATATCCTGCCACATGCTTTTATTGGAAGTGCGTTCAAGACGACGACTTAACCAGACGTGACGCACAAGTGTCTTGGCTGTATTTACTTGAATAGGTTTGATGAGATAATCCTTAGCGCCTTTGCTAAGACAGGATGTAACAACGTCCATTTCTTCATTACTCGAGGTCATAACAATAGGAATATGGCCAAGAGTAGCGCTAAGCTTCTGGATCCCGTCCAAGAGCTCAATGCCCGTCATCACAGGTAGCATAACGTCGCACAGTACCAGATCAAACTTGGCGTGATTGGTCACTAATAGATCCAGTGCTTGTTGTCCATCCTCTACTGCAAATACTGTATAACGACAAGACTTTAGAATATCAATAGTAGCCATGCGTGTAAACTCATCATCTTCCACAACCAGCACCGTTACTTCAGATGGATCCATATTAAGGTAGAGACTTGACAATACAAGGAAACAAAGACAAGAGGAGACACAGCGAAAGAGAGAGAGAGAGAAAGTGTCGGCAGAGGAGCTAGAACGCTTCAAATAAACAAGTAAACAACAATTAAGGAGAAGAAAGAGGAGGGGCTGTGTGTTAGCTTTTGACCTTCGATTCCAAAAGGCGATGGGGGATACTTTTTGTACTGGATGTCAATATGAAGAAATTTGTAATATACCGGTTTATTTTTGATTTCGAGGTACATACGTCATGTTGGATCAGAAGAATTATACAGTATACTGTTATCATACCTTTCTATCGTGTTTACCTCTGAATTGTGGTAAATAAATATTATAAGACATAGATAATGATGAAATAATAGGAATTAATCACGAAAGACAGAATGTTGTTTGCAGTTGATTAGTGTAAAAACAGTCAATCATGGGGCGTGAGAGCAAGTCTCTGCATCTATCTTTTTGTGTCATACAGGTTAAAGTGTAGATGACGTACGTTTGAACACAAATTTATCGTAGAAAAGTCCTTTGAAACCACATGATTTGAGATGCACTCCAGTGCTCATGCCAGTGGTGATATTCATCTGGCTGCTGTCAGCATGATTTTTATACTGCCTTAGTGGCCACTCCCTCCAACTCCGTATCATGGCGGCGTTGGCTAGCCATAAGCTTGCATCGACCTTTACCGTTCAGCGGCTTACGGCGTAGAAAGGTTTATTTTTACGTGAATATAACAGTAAGAAGCAGGATAGACGGTCCGTCAGAGTCGGATGATGTCTTTGACGACGCGACGTATGGACCGAGCCGCCGGAAGGTTCGCTGTGGACATGTGAAAATCGTTTTCAGCATTCTTTTGACGGAAGACATGACCAGGACCAGTATTGTCGTTTTCCGCTATCAATGACGTATAGGCAGGTGCGCAGCAAGCACCTTGCTTAAGCAGTCAGGGATAACCCATGCTACTTGCAACGCCCAAACACAAGTCCAACTCATGGACTCTTGAGTGTTATGGGATAGGCAAACTTACCATCCGCACCACCGATGTGGGGCCTCTCGCACGTTCTACACATGCGCCCGTTGTGGTTATAAAGTTTGAGCAGCTTAGAAGATATCTATCAGTCTGTGGTGTGTCGTAAGTCTCATTGAGGATGCAATACTCATCGTAAGAAACTACTACGCATAGCGGGTCATCTGGGTCCGTGCATTGATGCAGTAGACCAGCCATCATTGACTTTACATGGATGGAGGCTAGCGAGCAGTTGCGTTGATATCATTGTTGTTGTTCTTGTCGTTATGTTTCCTATTATCCAAAGCACGTAGCAGAGCTATACAGCTGACGTACCTTGTCTGTCACATGCGAGGTCATTAGGCTCTGAGCTTTCTTGGTTCCCGGTGGTGTCTTCTTGCCAAGTTTCTTTATTCTTTTCGAATAATGGACACTGACCAAGCCTAGCCTCTCACTCCTCTCTAGCTGTATGTGTACAATTGCATGACAATGCCAAGTTAGGCCTTCCAATTTCTTTTAAAAGCAGTTCGTCGCGATGGCCAAAACCTTAATCCATCCAACATAGGCGTATCTATCTAATACAGCATCATAAGAGGATAATCTTTCAGTGCCATGAACTCAATTGCCGCATGCATGGTCTCAACGTCAACTTGCCGTGCTCGACAAGAGGATAATGCAGTGCCAAGGTTTATCTGTGGACGTGTAATGGGACGAACAACTGCGGCAACGAGACAATTAGCATTGCATTTGTAATCCCTTCGTCAGCTATATCGCTAGTGAACCTTTCAAAGGGCTGAGCATAGAGCCCCCGATGTGCTCACCTACCAAAGGAATGACATCCTAATCTTGTGCGTATGAGATATTTCTTTGGCAACATGCTTTGACGTTGCGGGTATTTCGATCGCCTCACGCTTTTTGCCTCATTGGAAGAAATCCAAGGATCATCATTTGAAAGTAAGGATGACTCAAAGTTGTAGAGCCTCGTTACTCATATTGCTGTAGCAGGAGAGTACCGAGATATCGCGAGTGGTTTCTAAGAGAACAGGAAGGCAGTCGTCGATGTGCCCTTCCTTAGCTTTGCAAACCCAGCGCCAAGCTATGTCGACACAGAAAAGTGTCTTTGCTCAGCAAAAGCCGGTTTGGAGCAACAATAGGGAAAGTCATCAAAGCTGTTCGACCCCAAATTTATATTGAACATTCTCCTTTCTCAAGAAGGATAATAAGAACTGCAGAAGCTACCTTACCCCGACTATGTAACACAGGTGATCATGAATAGTAAATAGTACAGCGTGACGTCTAAGCTTTTTAGTGGGCCTCTTTTGACCAACACTGGTCGATACGTGATTTGGCGGATTTGACGAGTCGGACGTCTATCAATATTTAATATTGTTGAATCAATGCGGTCCAAGAGGCATTATTGCACAACGACTAATTACTCATGTGACAGGACTTTGCTATTGCAGAAGCCGTAATAATCAAGTGGACCAGACTAGACTCATCGCAAAACTATTGGCAAGCATGACCTAAGTAATACATGTTTGTAATTTTCTCGAGATATAACTGAGACATTGAAAGTGTGTAAGACAATAAATGATTCCAAGAACTTTGCATTGATGAGTTCGAAATATGCTGAGTGAATGACAATCGAGAGTGAGATTGATAAAGATGCAGTCATTGCGACATGTAGACTAAGCGCGATCTTACAGCGGTGCCAAGATTGCTGATTTGTCGGCAAAGTGAGGAGCTTGCGTGCAACAGGTAGGAAAATTAGGGAGATAAACGTTCAATGGGGTTAAACATTTGACAGTATTTCTGTTGTGATTATTATTTATTGCAGATGGCTGCATATTGATTAGATTTAGGGTTTTCACCTCTTCTTTGTAGGCTTATTGTCGACATCAAGTTGAGTTTGTGTCTGTAGTCATTTATTTATTAATGATCATATGTTTTGCCTATAATTGTTTGCTCAGACAATATTTATTATTCTATACTAAAGCATTTTTTAAGTCAATATAATTTGTTAGTGTTAGTCTCCAGCATGAGTGGCGCGTTGTCGACAACAATCTCTACGTAGGCACGTGCCTGCAAAGAAAGACAAGAAACTGTCAAGATGGCTTGAGAACTTCAATGAGAAGCACTATGATGATATGTACGACACGTGGTAACGCTGCAAACAGAGACCTCATACATAATCAAGCCGACAGCTGGGCCCTAGGAGACCAAATTCGAGTTTTAAATTTGGACAGCTGAGCTACAAATCCAAGCCGACTCCATGTCAGCGGACCAGCCACATGCAATATAATTCTACGCCTCGTTTCAACACAGTGGTACATTGAAACAAACACGTTTGGGCTGGTCGTTTTACAATCATCAAGTCTGCGTCATCTATTTAAGATAGTAAGTATCAAATAGTATGATGACGAAACAATGGATTTTCGCGTTTCCGTTATTACCGAACAAGCACGGTAACGTTACTGAAAACCAGGTGCCACTTTGCTCAGAGAGCTTTACGTACAGACTTTCCCCGTTGAAACTTTTGTTAGAACCATCAATCTTATGAGTTCATTCTGTGCCAGTGGCTCACATACTAGTGGTTCTGCAGGCTGTCCTGTGCTTCCAAGACCGAGGCGTCCCGCGCAGACGGAGTGCCGTACTGCAAGATGCAGCATGCAAGGATAACTTCAAGGTTACATCGATAATCAGATCTCATGCTCAGTTTCGAACAGTCAAGATAGCTGGTATCCACCATCCCCGAGACTGGCGCAGCGAATCGGTGGTCGATAACAAGATACTGGGCTGTCGAGTGCTCGATTTTTTGTTTGAAGATGGGGCTCAGCTTTTATCGAGCACGCCTATCGATTGGTCAATTTGCAAACAACGGTTTCTGGAATCTACCAATCAGCGAGCACTAATCATAAAACGCGTTTTACAGTTGTTTCTCACGGTAATCTTGTTTTCATTATGTGACAGCGTGTGTAAAAGACGAACGGCCGTTACACTTTCTCCCCTACCCGCATGCGTCAGCCCCAAAGCCACTCCGAAAGGGCGCGGTGCACATTTTACTGCTGGATGTCAATGTGTTGCAACTTGACCGATACTCCGAGCTCAGCCTAGCTGGTGCATGTCCATAGAGTACTTGCTCTAGAAAAAACACTCATGAGCTATGCTGCGTTGCATTAGCAGGTCAAGGTATTAATAATATCGTGTATTAACATATTGCTTTAGTTAGCAGTGACCGCACAAAGCGGAGATTTTCAACGCCATTTCAGCCGCCCGGCACCCGTGATGCGGCGCTGAACCACGGGCTTCGCAGATGGGACGCCGTCGGCGATGCTTGCAGTTGGGCTTAGGAACGCATCCCTGGTTTTATCGGCCGAGTTTTAGTACAGCATACTGAACGCAAGTGCTTTGCAAACCTCAACCGCCGTCTGTTCGACAACCCATGCTTAAAACCTACCATTTGTGGCAGCCAGCGACGAGTTATTGTCTGCAATTTTTCTTATCGGTCTTTAATATTTTTGTCTAGGTATCGCAGCAGCATGCAATCCCGTGTTCTATTATTCCAAGTTTTATTTCTTCAGTATCTTCATTCATCACCCCGAATTCCACTGTTGATTTTGCTTTCAAGCCAAACAATTCCAAAAGTTACAAAATTTGTGTCTCCAATAATTTACCGGTTCGCCAGTCCGTTTCGTCCGCCTGTTTTTGTTGTACAGTACCATCCGCCTGTGACGAGCAAAAATTACGCGAAGTCCGCATTCACTTTTACTTTTCCCGTGTCGGCCTCTTACTTACTTCAACCTGCTTGCAGTATTCCAAGCTCTTTGTCTTCGGATTCCATTCGTTAATTCGCTCAAACCACAAATCTTTCGGTTAACATGAGCGCAGAAGTCGTACAGTATCCTCTTGAACCTCGTGTGTCCCGCTCACGGCTCGCCGACGAAGTCTCGGCCGCCAAGAAACGCAGTGGCGCAAATGTGCGTGTGCCGTCGGAGCGTATTGCATTGGTCCTTGACATGGACGAGTGCCTAGTTCATAGTAAATTTCAAAATGAGGTCGAGTATCGGCAAAGTGAGTACCGTCCTGAACAATTAGAAGAGTACATGGATTCATTTGAAATTATCATGGAAGACGGAGAACGCGCGGTCATCCACAAGCGACCTGGTCTTGATCGATTTCTCGAGGAGGCTGCCAAGCATTACGATGTCTACGTGTTCACGGCTGGCCTTGAAGCATACGGCAAGCCTATTCTGGACGTCCTCGATCCCAAGGGCAATCTCTTCGCTGGTCGCTTTTTCCGCGAGTCGTGCCAACAGCGCAAAGGCATGTTTCTCAAGGACCTTAGTGTAGTGCGCGGTGGAGACTTATCGCGTGTTATCCTTGTGGATAACAACCCCGTGTCGTTCCTCATGCAGCCTAGCAACGGCATTCCCGTACCGAGCTTTTATGATGATGCCAATGACCGGACATTGGAGTCACTGAGTAAGGTGCTAGCAAGTCTGCAAGATGTAGAGGATGTGCGTCCGCGGTTGCACCAGCTCTTTCGCTTGGCAGATTTGTTGGCCGATCATCAGCGTGTGATTCTTGGATAATGTGAAGTGGCGTGTTGTGTTGTGCCGTTTTCTCCATGTTTGATGGAGGATATGAGTGGGAATGGATGGAGTATGTGGGGTTACCGTACCAGCAAGCCCCGGCGTATCAGTATCAAGTATAAATCAAGGTGCAGTATTGTGAAAGCGTACAAGGTAAATATTAGACAGCCGCTATATTTAAAGCAGTACAAAGATGAAAAAAAATGGGGCGGTGAGAAAAGTGTCTGTTCCATGTGAAAGAGAATACAACAAATGCAATGTATCTTATCATGAATTCATCTTCTTCTTCTTACGGATCGACAATTTGTGTGAAAAAACATCGCAGTGATAATATTGAAGCTGTACCCATATGGATCGACGCAAGGAAACAGTTTGTGTTCATTTGTACCTCTTTCTTTCTGTGGTTTTGTCATCCGACGGCACGATGCTTTCATATCTCACAAAATGGTGACCTACCAATATCTACAAACTAAATTGAGGAGATCTTTTTATCAGCAAAAGTGTATTGCCATTGAAACCTTAATCTGAACATACCAGCTGTTGTGTATTTTAGTGCACACATGCAGTATCAGCCATAAATCGCAAGGAATGTGATGGTATCGTGATGGCAAGTCTACGAAGGAGACGAAGCGTCCGTCACCTGATCTTCAACATAGCCAAATCTGGGAAAGGGCAAAGTAGTGTACCGAAACATGTCGCTCAAGTACGAATTTGACTTTCTACCTTGGAATAACTGAATGAATATATTGTCCAAGAAAACACCATGTCAGCTCGAACGTCTCAACGGAGAGGACATGCGGCAGCGTATGGTGCATTGCCTGGTACTCCTATTTCTGAGATCCGTACACGGAAATGGACGAAAGGATTGAAGACTGTTGGTCATTTAATTATACCCAAGTGGATTCCAGGTAGGTTTTGCCATTGCAATCGAAGAGAAAGAAACTGGATGAGAGACTGACGTGGTGTTTTTCTACTGTGTTGTTGTTGTTACGTTCATTATTAGACCAGGAAGTTTGTTACAATGTCAATTTGATGTTTGTAGAAACAATATGGTAACACTGACCTTTGTGTTGAAATTGATGTTGTCTGGGTGTGTAGAATCCTACTGAAGCGCTACAGAAAGGAGCGTATAAGAAGTCGAAAGGTTAGGAGGCTACCATCTACATACATATACACTTGTTTGTTGTGTAGACTGACACAGTAGTTAGTGGTAAATGTATTGCTGACACTCTTTTTCGATGATTGAGTGTAGGACGTAAGCGCGGAGCAGGTGAAGTGGGCCGTATGACACGCAGTGTACGCCAGCATTTAGACGCACCGTTGGAGCTACTGTCGGAGCACCCTGTGCGCGTTGTACGTATCGATGGGTTTATACGTGTCTACGTTGTGTTGATGAAAGAAGGTATTGACTTACTTCACCAATGTTTTCGATAGCAATTGTCACGTCAGTCGTCACCTGCTCGGACAGCGATGACATCATCCATTATACCAGCGTCTTTCCCTGATACTATGGTAGCGGCAACTGCTACTTCTTACTCTGCAAATCAATCTTCCGATGTACCTAACGTACCAATAATTGCGCAAGAGCTGGTTGAGCAAGTGCACATGGCTGCTCCCATTGCTGAGCAAGCAACGCATTCGATCACTGTTACCACAGTTAAAGATGAAGTTGCGTCGAGTGCACCCGCAACGGCTGCATCACCTGCTCCAACGATTCAGATGATACCGATCCTGCCCTCCGTGTCAAATCAAATGATGCCTGACGTGCCATCGGACGAACAATTGGAGATGGCTCTGGACGATCTGCCCATGCTTGATGCCGACGACAGCTTCAATTTGGATGTGTTAGATCCTGCTTTTTTACCGACTCCTGTATCGAGAGAAGTTCAAGCAACAGTTGGTAATCATTCTAGTGGCGCTGATTTGAAGCAACAGTTGGCAGAAGACTTGTCAGGCTCCGATGCATCCGCCAACTCGGGCTCATCGATGCCATCGGTTTCCCCACAGTCTTCGCCTGAAGTGATGTCTCGCTCTTCGTCGCCATAAAAATTGAAAACCATGGGTGGCAATGCGTGCACGTACATACAGTGTATTCCAGGATGTTACAGCGAATGCAAGAGATGTGTACATGCTTTAGTGTTTGTCATCCATTTCTCATAAAATGTGGAGTTGTATCACGTGCGTATTACCCATCAAACATACGTCTGCAGCTCGGTCATCTCAGTAATCTGCTGATGTGTCCTTAGGTGTGACCATTCCAACGTACAGGGTCGTTGTATCACGCACATAAAGCAAAAAACAAGATCACTACCTGATTGAGGGCTTACCTCTTCGCTCCCTCGTTGTGATTCTTTTCTTGCTGCAACAGCTTGCAGCAAACAAATTGCTGCAAAGCAATTGTGTTGTCCATTACTCTTTAGTACGAGAGTAAAAATGATGCATTAGCCCAGCACAAGACCGCGCAAGATTTGCTCCATCACCATCTCTTCCTTCCACTCAGTGTGAAGCCATGATCGAGCACATTTATCAAGCTAAGATGAGACATAGTTGCATGAAGCGGTCCACATTGCTGCTAGCTACCACTTCGTATCCATTCAGAATGTAGCAATCTTTCTTGGTAATTTATGAGACTATTAAAAGCATTTTCAGTCCTCATAACGGAATGTAGCTATCTCTCTCATTATGTGTGCTATCTTGTACTAACAAATGTTGCAAATGGTCTCTATCGCACTGTAAGATCCTAATCACTGTCAGTCCACTATCCAGCTAGGCGCTTTACAAGACGTTTGAATCAGTGCTGCATTTTTTTCAGCACAAAACGGATGGTTGGTCAGGTTATTTCGTACAGTAGAATCACTTAAATTGCAACAAAGGCCTTGTAAACTTTATAGATGAGCATTCAAGATGTATTTCTATTCGACTTTATACCTCCATTTGGCTTTGAAATTTGTTAACCTGTGATATTAATTATGTATGAAATATACTGAATTACGAGTGAAAACATCGCAATACATTTCGATATAAACATTCCACCTTCGATGAGTACAGGCAAGTTATGGTCTCAGGACCGTGTCATGTCGGTAGGTGAGTCATCACCACCGCTACTGAGCCCACTACAGACTGGTCAGAATGACATTGCGCCTATTTATAAGTTTGTGCTAACGGGTGGTCCATGCGCTGGCAAGACCACGTCGCTCGACCGTTTGTCAACGTTTTTTCGAGATCGTGGCTTCCGAGTGTATGTTGTTCCAGAAGCCTCAACGCTATTGCAGACAGGTGGCGCTTTTTTCTTGTAAGTGAATAATAACGTCTTAGTGTATAGCAACGTCGAGTGTTTTTCTTTTGTCTTACTAGTTGCTGCTATTTGTCAGAGATCTCAAGGAAAAAGACATTCTCAATTTTCAATGGCAGATTCTGAATTTACAAATATCGCTGGAAGATTCATTCTATTCTCTAGCACAGGATAGTGGCAAGCCGTGTGTAATATTGTGTGATCGAGGAGTGATGGATGGCTCGGCTTATATGACACCGGAACAGTGGGAAGAGCTCAAGCTCCAACACGATCTAGACACTGTCACGTTACGAGACACGTACGTTGCAAAATTTGACGATTTTTAGGAGCTGCGAACCGGGTCTTGATGCATTTTTTTGTGTCACTAGCCGCTATATTGCTATTTTTCACCTGGTGACTGCTGCCGACGGTGCTGAGAAGTTTTATTCGCTGGAAAATAATGGTATTCGCATTGAATCCATTGAACAGGCTAAGGTAATTGATGCACGTACCTGTCATGCCTGGATTGGCCATCCGAAACTCTACGTGTTTGGTACGAAGCTGTTCATTTTGTGCTACTGTTACTTGGTGTTTTACGCAAATGCTGTGTTACCACAGACAACTCGACGACTTTTGAGGGCAAGATGCAACGTCTTGTCGACACAGCGGCCGGACTATGTGGTATTCCCACAACGGTGAGGGCATCCCGAAAGTACCTGCTTGCTAATACGCCAGTTGCGATTCCGTTTCACCACGAGGACTTTGAGGTGGAAAAGGTGTATCTAAAGCCTGAAGCAGCTAGTACGTTCGTTAGCTTGGAGTGTTTTCGTTGTGCTTATTGTGTCACGATGTCACACTCATCTAATTCGTTGGTGTTTATGACAGAGACAAGCAAGGACTATTCTTTCGTGCGATGCCGTTCTCAGTATGGTATTCCCGCCTACGGCATGACCACCGTTCGCTATCTCAACACTGGTGATGCGTAAGTTGGTCTTCTGTTCCTTGCAACGTCTTTTGTTTCGTTCTGCTCTTTGTAACTGACATTCTGGTTTGATTCACGTGATTTCACTCAGAGTGCATCTCAAGCGCGTTCTCAGTGCGCGTGAGTATTCGTACGCTGTAAAACATCGGCGTGACCCGACGCGCAATGTGATCAAGCAGCAACGGATGTGCTTTCTGTACAAGAATCAATCGTTTCAGATCCACGTTTACAAAGAGCCTGCAGATGTTGCAGCTCTTACTGTGCTGCACGTGCAGGCATCCTGCGAAAACGACCAGGACATTGTCATGCCGTCGTTTCTGAAAATCGAGAAGGAGTTGCCGACTTTGGACGAGACCATGTCAGCTTATAACGTGTCGAAGAAAAATCTCGTGGTTGGGGTCGAAAGGAAGGAGTTGGCGGAGGTGTAGGCCTGAAGTATCTTCGCAAACGTTACAATTAGAAACCGCATGGTGGATAAGTGATTTTACTTGACAATACGGACTAAGGTCTGGCAGAGAATCAGCACTTATCTAAAGCCTTTATAATTACTTGAAGCGTCCGGGCGTTTGCATGATGATCCATTTTGAGAACCCTTATGCAGGGTGCGTTTGAAACGTATCCTTCTGAAATTTAGCTATTTTAATGCTGGACAAAGTCGACTAAGACTTATGTAGCAAGAAAAGAGATAGGTGCAGATTGTTTACCATTCACGTCTATATGCGGTACATCACGAAGGTAGAAGTTCTGCAAACGAAGTTCAGAAGAGCAATCGTAGAAGATTGCAGCTATGATGCTTCATTCTGTCTGATGATTAAGAGGACTGTTGCGTGGGATGGAGTCATTCAAGCTGGTTTTGCATCAATTAATCTGGAACTGTAGCGCAACAACTAGCGAACAGTTATCGATGCTCGACATCTGTATAAGACGGAACAGTTCGTAGCCATCTGCGTGAATAGACGTTCCATTTTGTACCCCGTGTTCCATTTCATTCTATTCATTTTCACGTCGTACGTATCAGATTCAAATGTGCCGCTAAACTTAAACAGCTTGTTCGGTAAGAAAGAACTGAGAGATGGATGGATGCCATATCGGCTGCAAGTAAACAACCATGTGCAACATGGAGTTTGTATGTTTTTTGAGCAAGAATGGTCTGAATAGTGCTTGAAACGTTATTTGACACGAGACAAGAACGAGATTCTGAGGCCAAGCGTGAATGCGACCTGAATATGAAGCACAACTCTGCTGACTCATTCACAAAATGGAGTTTATGGTACAGCAAGATACTCGAGGATTTGAGTTTGATCGTCACATAGAACTTGTGTTGCTTTGAGCAGTGAAAACAAACGTCTACTCTTGACAGATGATAGTGAAACGATCAAACAGTGTCGAACAATTGAACGCAGGAGCTGAAAGTGAAGGACCTGTCGGATAATAATGGGCGATGATGGTCTATAATTGCTGAGAACAGCAGGTACGTGCACAACGTAAGCAATAACATGATAAAGTTCAAACTTGCAAGTTAGATTACTATGTTGATCCACATTAAAGTATTACATTATGTTTCTTACCTTACATTCTCTTTGACGGACGCAAATTTACACATTGGGCAGTGGAAGAAACTTGTCAATCTGCTCCTGAGGCACACCGCGTTGATGGAGGTCGTGTCGCTCACGGAGCAATGTTGCTATACGTACTATTTCGCTCGTCGACGGAGATCGAGTTGGCATTGAAAGCCAATGGGATATTTCGGGTACAGCAAGGTTTTTCCTTACAGGTTGGTCCTCCTCTTGCTCAGTGTCGCTATCGGCGGAAGTTGGAGCGTGACTCGGGCTGCTGCCAGCTTCGAATGTATTCGCCTCTTCGGCGTCGTGACTTTCGATGTCGGGCACGACTGTTTGTGCTGTTGTAATCTTGTCCGTCAAAGTGTTTTGATAATCAGGGCTAGCATTACCTTCGGACAAAACAAGATCTCCAGGAAACTCATCACCTGCCAAATTATCTTCATCACTATTGTGTGGCTCCTCGACGTCTTGGCGACCACCAGGCGACAACACCCGGGGTTCAATAACACCAATAACATCTCTCTCCGCAAAGGCTTTTCTAAGAGAGGCACCGTATTGATCAAACGCCAACGATGGACGAGCTCTGCCTCCTGCTTGTCTTTGAAGACTGTCGATTTTTACTCGAATAGCGTGAATTGTACAACCACGATGGCCGACATTTTCAATCTTGTGCATGAGTTTAGCCAGCATTTTCCCTTTATCTCCTTTCTTAGTGGACTGCGTGTACGCAGCGTAATGGCGTTCCATCCACTCCACCAGTAGCTCCATAGCACTCGGACACCCTGGCGCCGCAGGTTTCATCCACGATAGCCGACTAGTGGGACTACTTCGAGTGTGTTTGATGGAATTTTTCGGGGCTACAGAAGCCTTGCTGTCATCGACAATGCTTTTCTTCGATTCGTAGGCATCAGTTTGACAGTGGACTGTTGACTGACAAGGCTATTGAGCTGATTAGACTCTTCCATTGCATCATCCCGATCCTCACCATCATTGATAACCTCATCTTCCTGGCTCTCAAAACTCTCAGCGTCATCTTTTTCAGCCTCGCCTTCCTGGCCAGCATCTCCCATTGTAAAAATCTCTTCAAGCACCGATCCAAACTGCTCCCAGGCAGCCGATCGCGTCTTCTCACCTTTCACCTCTTTGTGTAAAACATCAATCTTTGCTCGAACTGTGTTCACAGCACAATCCTGGATCCCAGCCTTCTTCATCTCTTTTACCAGCTCCCTCAGCATCTCTCCTTTTTCTCCCTTTCTCGTAGCATGAGCATACGCACTGTAGTTCAACTTGAGCCAGTCAACTAGCACTTCCATTCCACTTGGACCGCTATAGGCAGAAGGTTCGAGCCACGACAAACGACTTGAAACGCGACTTCGTCCTTTTTGCTGAACAATGGCAGTATCCACGTGACCGTCCTTGAATAATAGCTGCTGTAAATGTTCTTGATAAGGTCGAAGTGGTTTTGTAAGATCTCGATTCATTGTTGCAGCTTCATGTACAATTTCCTGTAAGTAACTAATATAATCTAAAATCTGATCCACTTCGCATTGGAGCCCGCGCGCATTGAGTTCTCTACACAAAGGTCCTAATACCTCACGCTGATGTGCAGAAGCATGATAGACAACACCATTATATGCAAACCAATCAATGAGTATTTGCAGTGGCGTCGGACTGTCTGGCGTTACAGGACGGAGCCAATTGATGTCCAGCGCTGACATCGCCGTCAATTATTGGAATCATGCGACTAAAAAAGGGATGGATTATAACGCCCAGACGATTTATAAGACCAAACTTGAAGTGTAAATCCATTCTATGAAATATTGATCCATTGCAGTGTCCAAAATGCACGTATACAGTATAATTTTTTCCACCATTCGTTGTTTTTTTTTAATTTGTGTCAAGTATTGCATATTGGATCCGCTGTTCGTTTTGTTTCATTCGTTTTATCTTGTCTGATGTCTACTGTTATCCGTATGAGTCACACCGCGAAACGACACTACAAATACCGGCAAAACGACACTACAAATACCGGCAAAACGACACTATAAATGCCGGTATGTTACATCTTCCAACGTTATGAGAGCAATACTTTTGTCAGGTGCGTCAAGCATTCACCCAGCATCTTCTGTAGCTTGTTATTCACACTCACCTTGCCTGCAATAGCTGAGCATCTGAAAAATAGGTCAAGTGAGCTTTCGATCAGGGTGGCCTCAACGTCATGAACAAAGTCACAGTCTTGAGCTCACATTTTTGTGTCTCTCCCGTGTTAGATTGTGTCTGGATCCTCATCACTGGCGCAATATACTGCAACCAATGACGCTGCGATACGTTGCCTACGTTCTCATAATCCTCAAGTGAACTTACTGGTCATACCCTAAGGACCAACAGAGGCTTCATCGTCCGATACCCATTACATCCACGTACAGGCCGTCTGCGGATTCATTTAGCCTTTCACACAACTAATGGCCTCGACAGCGGTTCCATCATGCGTCATGCAAAGGATATTGGTGAAGTACAACTCGAAGATCAATCCAACAGTGTCGAGGCTATGAGATCACAACTGTAGGCTGCGCGTTTCAACTCACCTCACGTCACATTTTTACCGCAGCAAAGTGCAAGTCACAAACTACCGTCACCGACATTCTCTCCCATTTTCGGTTTCAATACGGCAAAAGCTACAAGCCGTTCGATTCGAGAAATGCTGCAACCTCATCGCCGGATGGGAGGCTCGACAATGCTCCAGGACGCTGCACGCACAGAGCACTGGCCGCAGCAGCACGAGCCATGCAGTCTTGTACATCCCGACCCTCAGTAAACGCAACGGCAAAAGCGCCACGGTAGCAATCTCCAGCGCCCGTCGTGTCCACCACCTTTTCGACCTTGAAACATTTCTGGTACACCAGTGCACCATCCACAGGGATGAACACAGATCCAAGTGATCCGAGCGTGACCAGCACATTCCTGGCGCCTTGATCTTGCAACAACCTCGCCGCAGCGACAGCTTCATCGGTGTTTGTCACCTTGCGCTTGGTCAAACGTTCCAGCTCTGTCTCATTGGGACACACGTATGCAAGTAGCCGCAGAAACTCGGCTGAAACAGAAGTATCGTCACCACCGGTATCCCACATGACAGGAACGTTATTTTCAGCAGCAATCTTGGCCACAAGCGCGTTTATCCTTTGAGGAATCTCGCACTGGAGCAATACAATTGCAGCTGAATTGATAGCATTGATTAAAGCAACCGGAAGCTCCTCTGGCCATGCGTGATTAGCACCGCCTACAATAATAATCGAGTTGTCACCGTCCGGGTACACAAACACAAACGCTTGGCCTGAGGGACAGTCGGGACGACCAGAGAGATGTGTATCTACACCAACACTCTGCAACGCATTGATAAGCGCATGACCGTACGTGTCATTACCAAGTTGACCGGCAAATTGAATCGATAGTGTTGGATGTTTAATCCCAATGAGTTTACCAGCCGCAGCTGCTTGATTGCTTCCTTTACCACCTGGAAAGAACTTGCCTGTATCTGTCTTGGAAGCGGATAACGTCTCACCACGAAGAGGCAGGCGATTGATCTCTACAACAATATCCGCGTTTACTGATCCAATGACCAGTACTTGCTTGCATGTTTGCGTCATCTCGGTCTAATTCGCTTTGACTTAATGTTAAAAAACGATCATTTAACGCGCAGCTGGACACTAAAATTTAAGCTAAAACACTAAGTTTGACTGATACGAACTTAGCTATTTGCTGTCTGCCACACGGTTTATAATCCTGTCAAACTCGATCATAAAAGAATGGCTCCTCCGACCTTCAAGCCTGCGATGGTGGAGCAGCTCTTCCAGTCTGTCTGGGCAGCGAACGCGGCGACTGCAGCCGATACGATTGCTGCTGAAAGTAGTGAAGAGGAAGAACTCTTTGATTCTGCACCAATAGTCAGTGCAGCTGCTGCGGCCTCTCGCGTGCGGAAGATTCACACAGATGCCGTGACGCTCAGCGCTGAGATGCTGCGACTTTTTGTGGTAGAGGCGGTTCGCCGCGCACAAATGGAGGCCATGGTTGATGATAGTGAGCAGGTAGAGCCATTACATATTGAACAGATTCTGGCGCAGCTGTTGCTAGACTTTTGAGCGTCGAATTATACTGCGTGGAGTATCCGAAGCGACAGAATTGCCTAGGCCAAGAAGAGGATGCTGACGCTGAACAAGAGTGGGAGGCTGCAAAGATATCAGTCGTGGATGAGCTTAGTGTCTACAGTGCTGTTAAACATGTCGTAGACCACTGTGCGCTCCTAGCGATCATTTGGGAAGATGCAGACGTTTTGAGTGGCTGCGTAGCAGAAACTTTGTAAAAGTGAAGGGCAAGTGAGTACTTGAGAGGTTGGATGATGTCTACCTACGCTATGATCATATCGTATAGAAAAATATGTGTTGGAAGAGATATCGAGGTAGGATCATTTGGAGGACGCGCTTTTGGTGTTTTATCGCTGACACATCCTGGTCGAATTTACTCGTCGTATTCTTGCTGCCACATGCACTTGTCGAGGAACTAAGAGAAATAATACATGAAGACTGTAGTGACGTATTATGAGGTTGGTATGACCATCTCATATGTGTCACTGAAGAAGCTGGCGTCAAACTTTTTCGAGTAACCTTTGTGCAGTTTGCTCACGAGCTCATATGAACGTATTGTGGATGACGCGTTCAAGAAGATAGAGCGTTGTGTAAATATTCATAGCATCCAGGCTAATTATGCCGCTAGCTCGCATTCTTTGTTTATCGTGTCGCTCCGTATCGTTACGATCAACATTATATCTGCGCCGCAGATAGTTACGTCTATTGACGATAGTATGCCTCGTCATCGACGCTTTCTTATCGATTGAGTTGATCCCTCCCTGCCTTGCTGACGTCCGTCAAGTCTTATGTCGCTGTTAGGCTGCTTCTTATCGGCATAGAGTCGTATTACATATAGTGACTTCGATCTCGTCGATGCGTGATCCCGACAACAGCTACAATAGCTCCAGCGACAATAAAATGGCATGACAAGTAGGTGATAGTTGCAGAGCGCCAGAACAAAGAGAAACGCCAAAAGACAAGATGACGAATGATAAGAGAACGACCACAAGAGCTCATCATGCTCACGGGAGCAAAAGTCGCAGACCTGCACTTCTATTCCCTGTCATTATTTCCAGCTCGAAAAACGTCCACCCCGTTGAGCAAAGAGTGAGCGGCTTTGCAGGGTAGGCGACCATGTCTCCTCACACTTATGCCTTAATGCGACGGCTACGAATGGCTTTCTTTTGGAGTACACCTGAATAAATGATATAACAAGGAGCACACATAAAGTATCAGCAGCTACACTACATCCGACAGCTAGCGGTTTGCTCTGCCTGATAAACGCACCCTTCTCGACCTTCGCAACAGTAGACAGACGCGACCACTTGGCCAAAGCAGCCTTCTTTAGGTCACGACGGTAGTAGTTACGAGAGATATTCGCACGAATCGTGTTAGCACCACCGCGAGCACCCTTGCGAAGAGGCACAGCATTCTCAGCCTTGGTAGGCTTTTTAACAGCCTTCTGAATCTTGGTAGTAAGTGTCACCTTCTTGTCAGACATTGATATATCCACAGCCTTGACAGACGCTAGGCCTGAGTATTTGCGGCAGTTACGGTTCAGTAGATTAAACTTCTCACGTGCAAACTCATTGCCATTGCGTTTCACAAGAAAACACGACGTGTTCTTCGTCAGTAGCCACGTGAGAGTATCGCTTGACATCTACGACAAGATGACAACCACAACAACATTATCATTATGTGTTTCATTGAACATTGTTAGTTGTCTCTATTTCTATTTCCTCTCTTCATTAATTGGTCATTTCAATATCGCACCTTTTTCCGCTTCTTTGATGGAAATAATGGGGATGGCGGAGACTGATGGAGAGACCAGCGAGACGCTCGACCAATCGATTTGCCCAAGCTTTTTTTGTCAAAAACAAGACACAAAGTAATTACGTAAATGATTTTTAGCCAATCCAGTTTACAAAATATTATTAGCCACTCGTGCTGTTTTATTCTGCATTTGCTGTCAACGATTCGTTAAAACTCAACGAACTTCGACAAACCTCATTCATTGTGCCGTCAACAATAATGCGCGTACGTATCGCTCGTCGGTACGTTAGTCTAATGACAATATCTCGTGACTCATTGCACCTCATGACTCATTGCACCTCATTACTTGCTCTTTACATACAATCGTAACTACAGATCGTGCACACAAGTGGGCAGTTCATTATGCTGCAGCTCTTTCTCACGCAGCGTCAGTAATTGGTGCAGCAAAACATTGCTCGTTGCCTCGGAAGCTCTGGCACACGGCGATATTTCAGCCGTGGAGCTTACGCAAGCCTGCATACAACAGGTGGAGAAAACTAGAGCATTCAATATGTTTGTGACTACAGACTTTGATCGTGCGTTACAGCTGGCGAAGGCGTCCGACGACCGTCGTGCAGCTAGCAAGTCACTCGGTTTATTGGACGGTATTCCCGTTGGCATCAAAGACATTTTTTGTATGGAAAATGTGCGAACAACTGCTGCATCCAAGATTCTTGAGGGATTTTTGTCGCCATATGAGTCAACGGCCACGCAGAGACTGCTGGATAAAGGTGCAGTGCCTCTTGGCAAGCTCAACATGGACGAGTTTGCCATGGGATCTGGCACGCTGTATTCAAAGTTTGGTGCGACCATCAACCCGTGGTCGACGGATCTTGGAGACAGGGCGGTAGTTGCAGGTGGGAGCTCAGGTGGAAGTGCCGCGGCGGTCGCTTCCGGATGCTGTTTTGCAGCATTAGGGTCAGATACAGGAGGCTCAGTGCGTCAGGTGAGTAAATTCTGGAGAAGAGTTATGGATGTTAAGTAGTTAATGAGAACGAGATGTTTTTTGTATTTGTATGCTAATAGCCCGCTGCATACTGCGGTATTGTTGGACTGAAGCCATCGTACGGAAGAGTGTCACGCCACGGTATGATTTCGTATGCAAGCTCTCTGGATACGCCAGGCATTTTTGCGAGATCTATCGGGTGAGTGCAGCACCAAGGATAGGCAAATTATTGAATACGTGTTCACTTGTTTGTGATGCTTGCGACACAAAGTGATGCAGCCGTTGTCCTTCAGGCCATCGCGGGACCGGACCCTATGGACTCGACCTGTCTAACTGATTCGCTCCCGGAAAGTTGGGTACGTTGTCTTGACTTCCATTATGTTCGAAGGATAAGAAATGCTAACGATGCATTTGTAGTGCTCAAACACGGTCAAATCTTCAAAACAATGCGAGGAAGTTGACTTGACTGGTATTCGAGTTGGCGTTCCCGCGGAATACTACGTGAAAGAACTCCCTGAAGAAATTATAAAAGTGTGGGATCAGGGCGTCACATGGCTTCGTGATGCCGGTGCACAAGTTGTAAGTGTATCGCTGCCAGCAACAAAGCTATGCATCCCTGCCTACTACATCCTGGCGTGTGCCGAAGCATCCTCGAATCTATCTCGCTACGATGGTGTTCGCTACGGTTATAGGTACGATGCCATGAATAGGTCAAATCCGCTTGCATGTGCTTCATAGCTCCAAGAAAATCGCTAATTGTTTCCTTGTTCTGTTGCTTATGTCAGGGCAAAGGACATTGCTTTGAAATCACAGGAAGACCAGTCTGATGCTCTTCATGACTTGTACTGCAGAACACGATCGGAGGGTTTTGGAGAAGAAGCGCAGGTGAGAAACGTAGTGATTGCCAACTATTTTGCTAGCATTGTAGCAACATTGACCGTCTTCCTCTGATTTTGTTTTGCAGCGTCGAATACTCTCGGGTACATTTGTGCTCTCGGCCGGTGCCATGAGTGACTATTATGAACGAGGCGTGATTTTGCGTCAACGGATTCGCCAAGATTTTGAGCGAGTCTTTCTAGAGCAAGGCGTTGACGCCTTATTAACGCCCACAACACCTTCAGGGCCGTTTCCCATCCACATCAAACAGGTAAAGGAGGATCCCGTCAGCATGTACCTGAATGACGTCATGACCGTTCCAGCAAACATGGCTGGTCTGCCCTCCATCTCCCTTCCAGCTGCATTGACAAACGACGGCGATTATCCACTAGGACTTCAGCTCATGGGAGCTTATAAGATGGAAGATTGTCTATTGCAGGTCGCAACTGCCATAGAACAGCAAGCTCATTTTCGTCAACTTGTTCCTGCGCGTGTTTACGTAACGGACCGATAGAATGGAACTTTTTGGTGACAAAATGATTGAGAGACATCAAAAAAAGGGTTCTTTTATCTCTAATGTTTTGCAACAAACAATATTTTTGAAATATCATGTCGAATGGACCAAAACTAAATAAAAAGGGTAATTTTGTAAAATTAAGCGCAAAATTCTACGCCATGTATCCAAATATTTTGGTGTCATACGTGGCGATAGCAGCGCTTGTTGCGTTCGAACATGTGTGTATTGCCTCTTCAATCAGCAATACAAGAGACAACCAATCTCCTCTCTTTACCACATCAAAGTTTGTTCGAACTCTTGATACCGATAGCTTCAGCGCTGTATTGAACGAAACGCAAATTGTGTGGCTGGTGGACTTTTACTTGCCCTGGTGTCCTCACTGTCGACAGTTTGCACCTGAATGGGAAGAAGCAGCAAAAGTGTATGAACGTGTCGATAATGTCGAATTTGGTGCTGTGGATTGCACGAAAGAGACTAAAATATGCAATCGAGAAGGTATTCTTTCGTATCCTGGAGTCAAGATGTACCACGTGCCTCCTGAGGCAGTGGAGGGTATTATGATGCCTTACGAAGAGAATGTGTATGACCGAAATGTGGTTGTGTGGATTGAATATATGTTGAAAGAGAATAATATCCAGTCAGGGATTGACAAGGTATACATGGAAACTGCTGAGCACGATGATTCGATAAAGAAAGAGGTACACTTTGGTGATCCAGTGGAACCTCTTTATGATGAGCGATCGCTAGATATTCGGCTCAAGAGACTAAAGGATGCAGGAACTACTGCGTTGCACACATTTGAAGACGGGTTTTTCATGGGTACGACAATCTTGGAAGGAGAACGGTATGAGGCTGCGGTGACGTGGGTGCAGGCACTTGCGACTGCTTTTCCTATGAAAGAGAATCGTGATGCGTTTGAAAAGCTTGGGGAAGCGATGAAACAGCAGGAGAGATGGGAGCAGGCAGATTGGATCAAACTCATGACGCGGTGGAAAGCTACTGCTAATGCCATGAGCTACCCTGTCAACTTGTTTGCAAACAAAGATGATTTGGTTTTGTGTACAACTCTCACGTGTGGATTATGGACATTGTTTCACACAGTTACAGTGAGTGATGTCAAATCGGAATCGATGCGTAATCGTTGGAAAATGAGTGAAATTATGGCAGCTATCCGACTCGTGGTGATACACTTCTTTGGCTGCGAAAAGTGTAAACGTCATTTTTTGAAAATGAACCCTAAAAGTTTGCTAGAAAAATTGTCGCTTGCTGACGACGATAGTCCGTACGCTGTTGCAATCTGGCTTTGGACGATGCACAACATTGTGAACAAGAATCTCAGCAAACCAATGTGGCCAACAAAGCTCTCGTGTCCTCATTGCTACTACACGGACGGCGATGAGCCATTGTCATTGAATCTGATGAAGCTGAATCAAGACAATATTGTTGATTATATTACGAGTATATATAAGTTTGACGATGAGTGGAAGACTACGGAGCAACATAGTCGTGTGACGACGCCGACAATGGTGCTGATTGCTATAGTCTCTACACTTGTTGCAATTCTTGCCATGTTGCTGTATCAGTACAAGCATCACATTTCGCATTACGGGTTCAAGTCATTGAAAACACAGGACCATATTGCATAGAGAGAGAGATTGTAACATATGGTCATCATCCTTCAAAAAAAGCTTTTGTGGTGGGTCTAACATGAATTTTGTTCATTCCAAAGTTTTTATTGTATAAATAAGGTTTTAATTCCGCTAACAATAATATTGTCGACTAAAATGATTGCAATACTCTAATTCTAGCGTTTGATTGTATTGTCAGACTTTTCTGCCTTGGAACAAGCCAAAGATGAAGCTGTTGTCCATGCCTCTCGTAGCACTGATCATACTGCTGCAAGCCGAAACTTTTGCCTCGTCTCTTTTCAAGCACGACACGAGTCCTTTGTTTACAAAATCATTCCAAGTTCATTCACTGACTACAGAGAGTTATGACAATATGTTGAAGGATTCTACTACTGTCTGGCTCGTGGACTATTACGCTCCATGGTGTCCTCACTGCCGCGAATTTGCACCTAAATGGGAGCAAATTGCTAATTTCTATGCAAACTCAGACAAAGTAAACGTTGGAGCTGTAGATTGCACCAAATATAAAGAAATTTGTAATCAAGAGAATGTCTATGGATATCCTGGAGTGAAGCTTCATCACGTGCCTGCTGATGCAGAGAAAGCACATACTATGGCAAGTGGCATCAGAGGCACGAAACCAGTGATTCAATGGGTAGAGAAACTCATGGAAGAACATGGTGTGAAATCGGGGGTGGATATGGAGGACTTGGCAGCTCAATTGACAAATTTTCGAAAGGACGACGTCGTGGGAATTGATGGAGAAGAAGGGATGGTGATTCATAGTGACCAGTCGTTGGATGTAAAGTACAAACGTCTACATGATGCAGGCATTGCAACGTTCTCTACGTTCCAGAGTGGATTCTTTACGGGGACTAATGTGCTGGAAGGAGAGAGATACAAAGTGGCGTTATTGTGGATGGAGACACTCGCGATATCGTTTCCGATCGAAACAAATCGGCAAGTTTTGACCAAGTTAGCAGAAGTGATGAAGACGAGTAGTCACTGGAATTATGCAGATTGGAAAGTGGCACTGAATGGGTGGAAGGAACTTACGAGCAACACGACTTTTCCGGTGAACTTGTTTGCGTCGAGTGAGGAGAAACCGTGGAAGTTTTGCAAGACATACACTTGTGGTATGTGGACATTATTTCACAGTATTACAGTGAATGAAGTGAAGGTGTCCAAGGAGTCTTCATCTGAACCTTGGAAACCGAGCAAGATCGCGGCGGCAATCTGGCTTTACGTGAAAAACTTTTTCGGTTGCGAGGAGTGTCGGGAACATTTTTTGCAGTCCAACCCGAAGAGTGTCATTGACGAGCTTGCCTTGAATGATGCAAATGGGTCTCATGCAGTGATTATGTGGCTATGGAAGATGCACAACACGGTGAACAAGGTCGTTGAGAACGTGCAGTGGCCGTCGAAGAGAGCATGTCCAGTCTGCTATGTGGACAACGGCGAGCCTTTATCGTTGGACCCGGTACGACTTCACGAGAACGAGATTGTGTCGTACGTCATAAGCGCATACGGCTACGATGAGGAGGAGATTTATGCTATGGACGTCGTACACAATGGTAAAACGGTCACTGTCCAGTGGTCATGGATGCAAAGGTTTACTGCAATGATAATGGTACTGGGACTGACCGCGCTGCTTGGTATGGCGTACAAGACGAAGAAATACCGCACCTTTGATCACAAGACGTTTTTGATGCGAGATCATATCGCATAGAACACGTGAGTCGCAAATATAAACATTTGTATTTAGCTATAGCTTCGTACATGCTGTTGTTTTCATAGCGTGATAATCGTATACCATTGATCTGCAGCGTTATAGCTTCATGACGACGGCTACTGCTATTGTAATGCTTTGTAATGCCTTCGTTCATGTTGCAATCTCTGAGAGTTCACTAGACAGATGCGTGATAACAAACACTCACAGGAATTGATCAATACTGTTCACAAGTCGCAGATTTGCACTTGGTTCACATTAGAGGAAGAACACGTCTCCAAAACAGTATTTGAAAGGGAGTTCATGGCAGCCCGTCGCATTGAAAAGAAGCTGATGGTAGCTGCAGCCAAGAATGGTCTAGCTATTCCTTGTGACTCAGACGCAACTGCGTTTCTATTGGCGCATCCTCGAGGCGCGTACACCGCTGCTCGCACCGTACAGCAGACTCGAATCTTTGATTACGATTCGCATATCCGTCGTCTTGGTTTGTTCTGCACAATCTAAAGCTAATAATCCTGTAGCATTATACATCCTATCTGCATGCTGTGTTGAGTGTCGATGATGGTAAACTAATTGTAGCGCTTTTTCTGATGTAGTGGAGTCAACGATCGCCATGCAGACGAAAAAACCACCAATGCTTGTTCCAAGTGACGTGGAGAAAGAACTGAGACCACGGACGGAGGAGACGATGATTGCAGCTATGCAAGCGTTCAAAGACCTCTATGAAGTACACCATGACCAAGAATTCAAGATTAATGTCCTGGTGTGTCCTACTCAGGGAGACACAATGAGTGGACAACTATTAAGTGATCAAGATATATTCTGTCATGTGGGGCTCCTTCCACCGCGACGTAACGAAATGGTGAAGCTAGAGGTGGCAGGTCTTCCTCGACACAATGCTGGAGCAAAAGATTCGGCATGGGTGAAAGAACGGAAAGGAATTTATGACAGGATGGCATCAGATATGGAGGAGGTGATATTGATGGATCCAAGGACTAGACAATTGCTAGAAGGGTCACAAACGAATTTCTATGTGATTCAAGACGGCGTCGTCATTACAGCGGAGGAAGGAATTCTCAAGGGTACAGTCAGATCTCTCGTACTGGAGATTTGTGCGGAAAATGGAATCGCTGTGGAGCTAAAGCCTCCAACATTGGATGACATTGACAAGTGGCAAGGCTGCTTTATCTCAAGTACGTCAAGGTTGGTATTAGGAGCCAAATCCTTGCAATATCCAGAGCTTGCGACCAAGAAAACGTTGACGAAAACCTTTGCGCCGCATCCAATATTGGACCATATCATGACGGCAGTCCAACATTCTGTGGTGAAGAAAAGCACCAAAGTGCTCAAATAATTTTGTCTACTGTAGATACAGTCGCATTCCTTGATCATCATGATATCTTGCTACTTCCGTCACAATGATAGCCTTGTCTTTGAATGAACTGGGCATCCATAATAATACTGTCATCTGATCAATCAAGGCGGTATTTGCACGACTCCTTCGTTTATCGCTAGAATGCTTCTTTTATCCTACTGCTTTCGATCGTACTACAATCTATGATCAGTCACTACACTGCACTGCAACTTCTTGTCGCTTTTATTGCATCAAGATACAAGATCGAGTTTAAATACACGGACGTAGATATGATAAAGTGCGACTGTCTATTAAGTTTATCAATCAATCTCGTCAGTCAAGCATCAAGGCGAGAATAGACAAAAAATACGCAAACATCCTTTCGGTTCGTCCTTCCATAGTATAACCTCCATGGCTTGAAAGAGGCTATAGGATCAACTTGGACGACTGACCGACTGACTGACTGACTGTAAATTGAATGGTAACCACAGAATTTAATCAAGCACTGCCGCCTCCTACGAGGATATTGTTAATTGGAATGTGCACAAGTTTCACAAAGAAACCAATGAATCCCATCATGAGAAAACCCACAGAAGTAGCACCAGCAATACGAGCAAATTCTGTAATGAACAGTATCAACACAGAGTGCACATAATCAGTCATTGAACGAGTCTTACAGCTTGAAAATAGCTACAAAGACGCACCTTTTCGATCAGGTTTATTGCATTTCTTTACAAGATGATAACTGTTCTTAAAAAACTGGTTCAAAGGCTGGAACACGAGTGAATTGACGTCCGACATGATAAATACAGAGACAACGTCGGTGTGAACGTTCAGATAGGAGAACGAAAATGGGCAAATGACGCCACGCGGCGTTTGCCAGATTGCAAATAATCTGAGTTTACACCAATCCTATATCGTTCCATTCTTGATATGGCTATTCATTGGTAGAAAATAGTTTATGCCACATAGGGCAAACTTTCTTCTTTGTATTCATGTGGTAGACCTCAGATATGTATGTGCACCACATCATATCACAATGAAGTCTGTCGTCTCTCATTCAAGTCAATCATGAAGCGGCAATTTAGTGAGATGAGTGACGTAAAGCCCGAGCCAAATAGTGACGTGCAGCAGACAATGGTGATGTTAATTGCCCAAAAAGTGACAATGGAGCTATTATCTTCTTTTACTGGTGGCAACGCAACGCGCTTTGGTCGTGTTGCGTTTGCAGACGAGGAGCAACAGAACGTGGACGCATTTTTGCATCAGAAATTAGGCAAGGACAGTTTAACCCGTCGACCCGGGCCTGGAGGACGGAAACTCACGTATATTGAAAGCTGTAAGGCCATTGAATTAGCCAATCGTGCGTTTGGATTTAATGGCTGGTCATGTCACATTATTGAATGCAAAGAAGAATATGTACGTATGGGTCATGTTTTACTATGAGGATATTTGTATGTGATTTAAAATATATAATTACTTGGATGTAGAAGGAAAAAAAAGGTGATCGTTGGAGTATTGCGTATAGTTCCATCGTACGCATTGAATTGAAGGACGGCACGAGTCATGAGGATGTGGGATTTGGTTCTTCGGACGGACAGAGAGATTTAGGAGCGGCGTTAGAGCAAGCGAAAAAAGCTAGTATCTCGGATGCAAGGAAGAGAGCATTGAGACTTTTTGGAGAGTATCTAGGTAATTCATGCTATGATAGGGAACATATTAAGGATGTAAACTCGAACAAACCCATGGCGCCATTGGTAGCAGCACCGAATGTGGTGCTACCAAGACAACAAGGACAGAACAACGAAGCTCCACGTACGTCAGTGGAAAATGAAGAATTTGGAGGACAGAATGTGCCAGCACGAAAGCTACAACCGAATCAGCAACCGCGGCCACAGCAGCAGCCACTTCCACAACAACAATCGCAACAGGTTCAGCAACCTCTGGAGCAAATGCCAACTTTGCAATCTGCTCAACCGCATCAACACAATCAGCAAACTCAACAGCACAAGCACCAGCTAATGCAAAAGCAGCCGCGGCCACCGCAGCAGTCATTTCCACAGCATCAACAAGCTCAGCAACCTTTACAACAGCAACTGCCGACTCCGGAATCTGCACAACCGCATCAGCAAAAGCGGCAGTCAATGCAACAGCAGGCTCAGACGCATCAACAGCAGCAGTGGAAACCTCCTCAAGTCTTGCGTCACTTATCGACCACAAATGATAAGTTATCCGCGCAGCAGCCAACTCCGGTTCATTCAAGGTCAGCAACAATGCTGACTACTGGAAGTGACAGTTTGAGTGCTGCGCGTGTCCCCTCTCCCTCGACAACGGCAACGAGTTCTTCTACGAGTCGATTTCGCTCGCAGCCGCAGCGATGGGTCTCGTCCAACGCTCCGCCTCTACCACGCATGATGGTGTCGAAATACTTACCACCAATCGTGAAATCCGAGCAATCTTCAACAGGCCAAGCCCAACCAGAAGCACAATATAATATTGAAGACCTCAGCCTTTCACAGTTTGACTACGATCCTAACGCGGGAAACGACAACCCTGCCAAGAAAATGCGGTCGTGAAAGGCGGCTATCTCACAAGACGTCAAAAGAACAAGGAAAGCCTTGGCAAGCGTGACCTTTTCGTTACTCAAGTCTCAAAGACGCAAAAGAATGCATGAAATGGTAAACTTGATGCATAAGAATCTTACGGGTGATGTTCCATGCGTGGTCTCTTTGAGCTTGATAGTGGCGCTTCGTCGGCTTTGTGTCGTAGCTTGTGTGAATCCTCTTGACAACCGGCTTGACTTTCTCCTCCATGGAGGATTCGAACTGTGGTTGCTTGCTACTATGCATGCATTCTGAGATGATCGTGCCACTTACACAAAGTCTCACTGCTGACGATGGTAGCAGCAATACTTTGCTCTTCTGCATCAGCTGTACAAAACATGCAGGCGGGTACATACAACTTGTCATTTCTTGCTGGAATATCGAGAGGTGACACCATGGCCTGTTCAGGTCATGTTATGCTATCAGTAGACCAAAAGCTTGCGAAAAGGTCCGAGCAAGGAAGGGCTTCCTCGTGTTTTCAACAAGCCATTTGCTTCATTCTTTTTCATGCTCACGGGATATCCATGAACTGCCAACTCACATGGGGTATAAATCGCTATTTGACAATTGCACAAAGTTATGCGGCTTTGGTGTTATTGTACAAGCATCATACCAAACGCCATGGCAGTCAACTGGTAGTGGAGGTTGCTGGAGTTTTGCTAACAGTAGTTGCTCAACAACATGAACAAACAATCGTCAAAACGAGATAGCTGAAACAGCGTTGCAAAAAACAAAGCAAACTGGACATGTCGACACATGGAAGCCACCTTCATTTTGACAGAATTGTGCTGCTAGCTTTAGCTGGTAAAATCTTCAAACAAGCCGCCATAAAACTCACCAGGAAGCTTCGGACGCATGTGTTTCTCTACAAATGATGAGATGACCGTGCTGCGGTTGGCTTCAGCACCAACAGGTGCAAACGAAACTGCACCAATATCGTGCTGATAACGATGGAATGCGCGTGAAAGAACGGCTGCATTGATGGCAGTCTGGCGCACTAGCGGGGCTAACCAAGCACCGTTAACCACCATGCCATCCAGCAATGGACCAAGCACGCGGCTTGTATACACGTCAGCCTCATCTACGTAGCTCTCCTCTTGGTTCGCAATAACATCGCGTTGATTGAATAGCGGTGATGACTCGTAGCTAATGTGTACACAGTAAAGGTCGTTGCCCAATGGATCGATGATCAGCACCACTCCTGAAGTAGGCATTGGTAGCTTGAATACTGCATCCCACAACACACTTCCCGGGCGGTATGTCTGCTGGCACTCGTTCCAAACAATGAGTACGTTGGCGTGTTGGAATAGAATCCTTGCATTTGCCCCTTCAGTGTCTTCAGCTTCACTATCACTGTCGCTGTTTCTGTCCTCTCCTTCTACCAAAAGGGTAGGCACGTAGATGCATGCCTCGTGACTGTAATGCGAATAGTAAAGCATCCGGCCATTCGTAAGGTTGGCGTTGAAGCCAGAGTATCCTTTGTGGTCGTGATCACTTACTCGTTCGCCAATGGACGACAGAAAGAGCTGGTAGTCCTTTGACAGATCGACGTAGCCGGCGTGCACATCCGTCGAGGTAGCAAGATGTATTTGGTCGTAGCCGCCTCGGGAAGTCCCCGTGAATGCATAAGCAATAGAAATATCAAACGTTTCGCGCTCCGGTAGTTTGTCCAGCGTCTCCAAGTCACGGAGGAAATCAGTCGCAACTGTTGCATCCATGGCGAACACAGAACCCCAGTTGCGTACCGAAAGAAAACCCAGCTCACTCATCATCCTCCGTGATACTTCCCACGTCTGCAGTACAGGGTCCTTCTCAGGTGGTGTGGGTTTGCAGCACCTAACACCGCGCGCAGAACCCTTTGGCCGGGAAGCAAGGCGATCCTCGTGGCTCTGTGACACTAACAAGCTCATAAACACTGCATCCTGGTTACCCCGGGCATCCTCGCGACCAGCCTGAGCTTTCCGCTCGATCGTGCTCATGCCCGTGTTGCCTTCGCCTGACATGACTTTCATTGGGTCAGATTCCATGTCAGCCCCGCCTTCAAAAGATGAGCGCCAGCTTGTCATGGGAGTCTTTGCGTGAGTTTCACGAATCGCAACAAGCAGTGGATCTTCCACCCGTGACTCCTCGTCACTCTCGTAATCGCCATCGTCACTATCCTCGTGCGTATTTGCATCAGAATCGGACTCAAAGTCAGAACGCTTTTCAACCTGCGTGCCAGAGCCGTCAGTGAAATTTTCAAACTCAGCGACACTCTTAGGGCGCGGGCCATCGTGGTATATGGGTTTGGAGCGCCACACATAACGGCCAGTTGAGTCTCGCATAATCAGAATTGCTTCGCCTGATTGCGTCGCATTCGCGGGCTTCTCGATCACTGTCAGAACAGAATTCTTGTTGACAGAAAAAAAGCGACAATGGCGATAAATGTCGGTCGCGTCATTCAGGTCACAGAACTGTGCCAGCACGGACTGTAAGAGCAAGAACAAAGCGTGAGAAGCAAACCTTAGGACATCTTGATAGTTCACTCTTTTCGTACGATGACTTACCTTTTCAGTCAAACCCGATGAGGGGCCGATGGAACCAGCATTACTGGTGTGTGAAACATGATGCTTCATCAGCATGTTCACCAGTTTTTGAGCAGCCTCCCGCACCGCCATGTTTGTGGTGTTGGGAGACAACGATTGGAATCGCTCGTTACCATCTACAATAGTTGTGATAATCTTCGCAATAACTTGTTGCTTGCTTAGCAGCAAAGGCACTGCTACAATCCATTCAATTATGCAGTGGTATGCTGCTGCCATGAGACTGTCCAGATAGAACGGTGCCGCCCTCGAGCGCAGGACCGGCGCATTGTTGCTAATGAAGTCACAGCACGCATTCACTAGGTGGACAACCGAGTTTGCATGATGGAAGAAAACTTCCTCACAAACCAGTGACAAATGGCGAAGGCAGTCAAACGCAGTAAACAGCACTGGTGGCTTGTACTTTTGCGACTTGCTGATGATAGAGCAAATCAACAAGATTGTGAACGGAACTTGTGAGTTGCGGCTAGATGCCAAGCCGTTCGTCCAAAAGACAGCCTCCTGCTGAATGGCTACTGTCATGATCCACATCATCATCTGTTGGTTTGTGGGGTCTGTCTCGGTCTTGATCGCAGTCATCAGGAGGGCAACAACGTTCGAGCTAGTGTACTTAGGCAAGCTTGAATACAGTCCTGGAATATCGGCCATCGAAGGTGCGACGATCTCTTGCTCAGCTTCTTTTATCATCAGACGCTACAGCGGTATCGCGTTTTGGCAAAAAAACGTTAGTCTTCCTGGGTTACGTAACACGGCTGCAACAATCAAACGTACTGGGACGTGAGCATGAATAGTGAGAAGGGAGCTGCATGCCTTAATGCTCGCTCGGCGGAGCAGCACAATCGGAATTCCTCCTATATGTTGATCATCCTGAACAAAAAATGAATACCCGCCGCGCCGACCATCAGATTTTGCAGATGATGATGACGCGGCGTCCTTACGTTCCGCGGCACTACAAGAACGACAGCAAAGTCAGCACCATAGGAGCAAATCATCAGCTTCATTCCGCTTTCGTACCGGAACACACGTTCAATAGCTTTGTGGAATGGTCCTGCAACAACACCGGCACCACGTAACGTGTGGCTTCCATACAAACTAAACACGTTTGACCAGTTGAACACTGCGGAAGCTGCAATGCGTTCGTCATCGTCAAGCAGAGCGTTCTGTAGAGCCATCAAACTGCGAACGCTGAAAGCCCAGTTGACACGTTTCGAACGGCCACTGGAGTAATGACACAAGAGTCTCCCAAGGCAGCGCAGTGCTTCACTGCGGCCAGCTGCGAAGCGCGGTTTACGAGTCAAGCAGGCGTCAAACAACCATGGCCCGAGCAGCCGTAGGATCGAGTTGAGATCAGGCGGAGCTCGTGGCTGCTCAGAGCTTGTCAGGGGTGCAGCTGCGGACACGTCATTGCTTGCATCAGCATCCCCGTTCTGAACTCCTTGGAACACTGGGCTGTCGCGGTCCGGCGCTTGATTGAGTGCGCCCAACACGTGCTCCCATTGCACACGTGGTACCTTTTCAATGCGCGCAAATTCATCGGCTAATCGACTCACTCCTTTCAGAGCAGCAAGGTACACATCCGGATCAAAAATTGCAGAAGGATGGCCAATCACTCGAAAAAGACGGTACCATGCGTAAGCAAGCATAGGGCTCTCTAACTCAAACTTGGAGGGTTGTCGACTATCCGCCCAAATGATTTCGATCTCGTTAGAAGCGTTGCGATCGTGGATCTGACGCATGAGACTCCGTGTGAGTCCAAGCGTGATAGCGTTCCACTGTTCGATAACTAATGTTCGATGAATCCATCGCCGACAAAACTTTTGCAGCAAGCCCCAGAGTTCTCCTCGCGGTCCACATTGCGGCAATGACCGCAAATAGACTTCAAACAATAGTCGCACAAGCTGTCCACACAATTTATTACCCAATTGATTGCGTAAATTATGCAGCAAACCATCTGCTGCGCCAAGAATCAATCGAATAAGTCGATCCCATGTCGAATTCGACAATTGCGTCCCTCGACGCTTCACAAGAGCATCAAATGTGTCCAACACTCTATAAAAAACAAGACCATACAACATCATTACATGCAGATTAGTCTTGTTATCCTCCCAACGTCGGAATGTTCAAGTTAAAACACCAATCGACAAAAACCTTGTGCATAGATTCACATGTGTTGCCATATTGTTTTCCACATTGCCATCATCCTTTGGCCGTTCTTCAAGGAGTAATGTCATTTGACCCAACATATCCTGTATAAAAGTCTGTTCAACCTTTTGCATACACGCTGGTCGATGATCTTTGCCATTCTTCTCATCATCAACACCAAGCCAACGTTGATAGATTCGTAAAGAACCGGAAATCACCTCGGAATCTTCCATTGGTAAAGCAAATGAATGACCAAGTACTTCCATCGCCCATCGAATATGATGACCACTAGGTAATATAATCAATGTATCAATATTCTCGTCAGTAAGTGAGCTTACAACCATTGAACACATGCCACGTTGACATTTTTCAGTGAATTTCTATCGAAAAATGACAAGAGAGAAGAGAAGAGAGAGAGGGGGTGAGAGTGAGATACAAAAGAAAGTAGAATGAATGCAATCAGCCATTGATCATCATCCATAGTAGAACGTACTTTAAGGACATAGGAATCAGCAGGGACAGGTATTAAATCACACTTGGCAATCCATTGCAAGAACATTTGGACACCTTAAAATGAGAGGGTTTTTTCGAGTTACAAATGGGTTTTTAGTTAAAAGCACCCCTAGATGATGGGTGAAACTATTAAAACACATACCGGTTCTTTTTCCTCTTTTTTTGTCAGTTCAATCAATGTCTTAATTCCATACTACGAAGATTGAGAGAGAGAGAGAAAGAGAGCGATCGACCAATAGATAGACAGCACGAGGCCGTCTCGACGGTAACGTGATCGTGGTGGGTCTCATGAAGATTAAAAAACGTAGTGATGATGGTAAAAAAAGTCTATTAGAAGCGATTTTCTCCAAGAAAAAGCACGTGCCTGGACCGCCGCCATCGTGTTCTCCGCCTTTGACTCGAGTTATACCGACCCCGAATCCAGCAGCTGTAGCACGTGGTGTCAAGATTTTATGCTCGATCTTTCCTAAATGGGAACCTGAGACGTTACAGGTTGTATTAGAAGCGAATGGGTTTATTATGGAGGATACAATCGCTGCCGTTTTGAATATGGAAGAAGCAGAAGAATTGACGACGACAACAACGACGAGGATAATAAGTGAGAAATCAATGGGGAAGAAAAGTCATTGGCCTGTGAAAAACCCGTTACCAGATGATTTTTTAAGGGTGAGTGTTGTTTTAGTGTTGGATGATTGAAGAAGAGAGAGCATAGAGTTGACGGTGTATTTGGTTGACATCATGCAGTTGCCAGATAATGATGAAGTGAAAGAAGTACCATCCGAGGAAGGAATTGCTGAAGAAGAAGAAGAGGAGGAGGAGGAAGAGGGTGAAGAAGAGGAAGAAGAAGAAGAAGAGGAAGAGAAGAGACAAGTGGTGGAAATGTCGAATGCGAGCGAGGAGAATCGATCGGACAGGTCGAACAGTACATTAGCAGAGGATGATGGCACACTGTACGGCAAAGAGTTTAATGACAGCAATGCAGCGACGGACGAGGTTGTCATTCCAGTACTTGATGATGCAGCTATGCGTGCAAATCACAAGATTGTAACAGACTCGATGAACCGAAAATTTCTTCCAGTCGAGCTGCGCAAAGAACGTTCGAGCATTTTTGACATTGCGCACATTGACGTGATCAAGAAGAGCAAACTGAACTTGTCAGAGGCAGAAGAGCGTATTCGCCATCGTGAACCGCATCTTGTGTTTGAGCTTTTGTCCAAGGCGAGCAAAATATATCGTAGCGGTGTCATATCAAGTCAGGAACTCGACTATCTGCGCTCCATGATTTTGTCCAGGATCCAGCCCACCAAGATGGTGCGCCTTAGCTTTATTCATCTGTTCAAATCAGTTGTAGTTGCTGGTGGTTGTGCAAAACTTACGCGTTGTACTTGAACGTCTGCTAGTTAATGGATATGACGATGAATATGAATGGCATGATCTCAGACCACGAGTGGCACCTGCTCATTTTGAAAGCAAAAGGCAAGTTGAAGGACGTGGAACTAGATGTGAACATCAGATTAACGTTTGTGACTTGTGACTTGTATTAGGAATCCGCCATGCACTATCCATTCGAATCTTCCGCGAAGAAAGCAAGCCTGCCCGAAATAGTGGTCACATGGTGCGTACATAGCTGTCGTAAACTTTTGAGGGTCGTGTATGGTGACTTACATTCTTTTGTCTGGCTGGGTCTTTCCAGGAGTATATTGTTCGTGTTGTAGATGTAGAAAGTGGTGTTGTGTGGTTTACGCGTAAGCGTTTCCGCGAACTCTACAAACTTCACCGCAAAGTACGTGTGTTGTCATCGATAAAATTAAAAAACTGCCACCTCCAGCATCTTGCAATATGGCTTTTTTGCTGATTTTTTGTGTTTTTTTGTAGTTGAGTCGTTTATCTGGACGGGTCAATGCATGCGTATTTCCAGCTCGTCGTGGCCACGGCCGCAACTCGCCAAATCAGCTTGCATACGATCGTGCACCGGTACTGGAGAATTTTTTGCGTACTACAGCAGCACTTGTGGCACCAACACCACTCACCTTTTTACACGGCGTAGCTCTCAAGCAACTGCAGCAGTTTTTGGAAGTACCGCATGTGGGTATCCTTGAGCGCAATCGGACCCAGCCTATCTCTCGTGAGCTTCGTGTGTTTGTGTATCACACCGTGAACGATCTGGCGTCTCCTGAAGGAAAAGCTTGCCAAAAGTTTCTTGCAAAAATGAAGCACGATCGAGTCAAATTCGGGAAGAATGTTTTGGACGAGATTGGCGATATTTTGGACGGTATACAGGAGTATATGCTTGAGCATCGGTTTAAGGAGATGGAACTTATTGTTCAGCGTTTGATGAAACAAATCCTTGCAAGTAGCAGTGGCAGTCCAGGGCTCGGGCGGCACAGCTCTTTTGTAAGTTTGATGACAACGGATGCTGTAAGTAATCAAGACAAACTGCAGCAGCTTTTGTCGGATGCCATTCGACATGAGCTGGAGGATCGCATATGCGTGCCACTCATGTATGACTTGACACAGTACCTTCGCCGGCATGTGCGGCACGAAGAGCAACAATTTCGCCAGCGCGTGTACCAGCTAAGAGGCAAGCCACAGAGTTACTTTGGTATCCCAGTGGATAAAATTTCGTTGAGCAGTTGGCGGTCTGTGGTAGATATTATTAAGGAGGTGGACAGAGCTTTTCTCCCGCTGGACAAGATGCGTAAATTGGTCGCCACAGCACACCAGATTCACGTGCTGTACAAAACCGAACGTGCAATGTATTGGAAAGGTGCTTCACATCATCGTCGTCGAAACTCGACACCAATGGAATTCTCGCAGCCTCGGTCATGGCCTTTGCCAGTGAACCGGGTGCTGTCGCCGACAAGCAGCAATTTTAACAGATCTTCTCGGGGCTTGGCTGTTGGTGTTGAAGGTGTATCCCCCGCTGCGACAAGTTCAAGTGAAGAAGAGCAGCAAATTGCAGCAGATGATGATAGAGCGAGTGAGGCATCTACCAAGATGCAGGAGGAAGACGTACTGAGTGGAGACGACTTTCTGCCGATTTTTATTTATGTGATCGTCCATAGTGATCTGAAAGCCCCGATCCTGACACAAGTGCTGTTAAACCGTCTATGCGATCCCGAAAAGCGACGGAATGAATCCGGTTACTACCTTGCAACATTTGAAGCAGCATTGCACCATATTTTGTCACTTGAGTTGCCTGGTGCTAAGACCGAGGATGGACTGTAGACGAAACACGAGTATGTAGCCATCATCTATCATCAATAATAAACCCATGTCGTTGTTTATGTAGTATACACGAAATTACAAGGAGGGGAAGAACTTACTCACTCTTAGTGACGACGTAGCGTCACGTTGAGAGAAAGTAAAGTGTGAGGTTGTTTGTTCCCAAGGGCCTAATTGAAGGTCCTAAAGACTACACTAGTATCAGTATTGACTATATTTCATTCATTCAGTGAGAGTCTCACGTAAACGGGTAAAGTTTTTTTATTTTCGAGAGCTTTTTTCGGGACAATATCGTGCTGTCTTCGTACGAATCAATTGAAAAACATGTTTGGAATGGACCCTGTACTATCTGGATCATTGTGTTTCTTAGTACTGGCTATTGCAATGTATCTGAAGTTTATACGTGAACAGCCATGGAGTGATGAAGAAATATCAGATCATAAGAGTAGCCCTGTGGATCGAGAAGATGATACAATGCCCTTCCTACATCATCAGACATCTGCTTCTTCTTCTACTGCTGCTGCTACTACGAGATTGCAGGTTCAGCAGCTGAACAAAGGACCAGGAAGACAAATGAATCAAACAATACAGCAGAAGCTGCAACAACCTCATCATGGGTATGCAGGATTCATGCAGAGTAGACAAATGACGTCCTCTGCGGTGGTAGCTGTTGGCGTCAAGGTTGCAGCTGGATCGAATTATTTACCCAAGAATCAGCCCATGAGAAGGCGAACGTATAGTGCAACGAACGCATCGACGACTTCACACAGTAACGAGGCTCAAAATTCTGCTATAGATGGAGAAGTTGGCATGGATCAATTGCCGACTACCATTTACGAAGGAGCTAAATATGATCAGCTTCATGAACAGAGACAACCACCAGACTCGTTACGGAATCAACATCGGATCACGTTTGATGATTACGATGAAGAGATGGGCTTGCTATCGCCACCTCGACAGGCGGATACAGTGGATGACTCTTTGGAAAGTGTGTCGTTTGAAGACGAGAACAACGAGTTTTATGACCTGGAAAACCATCGACCGAAAGACCATATGCTTTACATTACAGACACGTCAGAGCAAGGACTTAACCCAATCCAGATGGGAGGACAATATCGGGGTGGAGACCTGCTGGAAGTGCCGGATACGGCAGATACGTCTTCTGACGCAAAGACACTGAAAACAAACATTGAGCGGCAATTTGTGCGGGATGTCGCTCCACCAGCTCAAATGCAACTCGAGGTCGCGCGCAAGGCACGGATCCCGCTGTTTCTGCACTCGCCAATGTATGTGAAAACATCGGCGGCCCCTGTGGTTGATGATGTTAATGCTGGATGCATTGCAGAGTTCGCAGTAGATGAGGTACAAGAAGAATATGATGCTGAAGATGGCGAGGGCGGTGCTCGGCCCGACGGAGTAGGAGGTGCAGTAGATGGAGCTGTTATAGATGCTTCTGAAAACCGTACACGAAGAAAAAGACCAAAATTGTCGAAGGCCAAAACTGACAGTTTGCATATCGACTTCAAGGAGCTGCAAATTGATGAGATGATCGGTCAGGGTGCATTTGGAACCGTGCATCGTGCTAAATGGCGTGGAGCTGCAGTGGCCGTGAAAATTCTAGTTTGTCAGCACCTGACTGCTGACATACTTGGAGAGTTTGAAGCCGAAGTGCAGATCATGAGCATATTAAGGTATTGTTGCTTCGTGAGTGTAACAAATCAAGACGCTTGGAAGAACTAAATGTGATGTTGTACTGGTGACTCGTGGTGACGATTCATAGGCATCCCAACATTTGTTTACTAATGGGTGCGTGTCTAGAGCCACCAACGCGGTGCCTCGTGATTGAATACTTGCCCCGCGGTTCGCTCTGGAATGTTCTTCGCCAAGATGTTGTCATTGATATGATCAAGCAGCACAGGTAAGATAGCATGCATGCACTTGTACAGCTTGCGTTTTTGTTTCAGTGTATCTCGCTTTCTTTCATGTATTAGAAAACGGACCAAGATGACGTTTGTTTTTTAATGTTTTGCATTGTAGTTTTGCACGTGATACAGCACTTGGTATGAACTACTTGCATTCGTTCCAGCCACCAATCTTACATCGGGATCTAAAGAGTCCTAATTTGCTGATTGATTCTTCCTACGGGCTCAAGATTTCCGATTTTGGGTTAGCTCGTGTTCGTGCGCATTTCCAGACAATGACGGGCAATTGTGGCACAACACAATGGATGGCACCAGAGGTCTTGGCTGCTGAAAAGTACACGGAAAAGGCAGATGTGTTTTCTTACGGTGTTGTTATCTGGGAAACCATTACACGACAGTGTCCGTATGAGGGTCTCACACAGATTCAGGCAGCACTTGGTGTACTAAACAACAGTTTGCGTCCCACAGTTCCAGAGAATTGTCCGTTCTTGTTCAAGAAATTGATGACGATCTGCTGGATGAATAATGCTGAAGAACGACCGAGTTTTGAAGAAATACTGGACATCCTCAACAGTTCTTCTAGTAACATGTCGTTACTTAAGCCAGCACCCAATGACGTATGAAAGTGAACAAACAAATGAGAACATCCAAGTACTACTTCTGAATTTTATGCTAAAAGTTGAGGGTTTGACGTGTCATAAAAAAGACGTTAGCAAGTGTTAAATCGAAGTTGGAAAAAAGTGGGTTGCTAATCCACTCTTAATAAAGAGAACTATATGTCAGAATGACTGTAAAATGAATCGTAAAAAGGTTTAAATCATAGTCTCATTTGTCTTAAAATATAACCTTTATCTCATATCTTTTTATCCGTCATGACGCTCTCCCCTGATACAACATTGGGTCTATTAGGCACAGGCAAGATCGGTTCTGCTGTCTTTACTGGTTTCTGTAGCCCAAATGGCTGGCGTCCTAAACATGTCTATATCTCATCACGTACAAAATCAAAAGCCGAGAAACTTGCAGCAACATTTCCAGCTCGTGTGAGTCTCATGACAACGAATCAAGAAATTATCGACAAGAGTGATGTGATTTTTATTGGTTTATTACCGACTGTTGCTCGTAAGGAGCTACGAGAGCTTTCATTTGATAGTACTAAAAAAGTCATTTCCATGATGGCTACAATCCCATACAATGAACTCTTGGAACTTGTTCAATTACCAATGGAAAATGTCGTTCGTTCCGTGCCATTACCAGTTGCTGCAAAACGTACTGGTCCTGTTTTAGCTTATCCGGATCATCTCTATGCACGTGATTTATTGACACAAATTGGTACACCGATTATGGTTACAGACGAGACAGAGATGACGAAACTTACAGGCATAACAGCATTGATTTCATTCTTTTATGCGACGTGTGACACGACACAGCAATGGTGTGTCAATAATGGTGTTGGTACGTTTACACACATCCATACATTCTTGTTCTTTCTCTATGAAGAATATTGCTAATAATGAGTAGTACAAGAAGACTGATGTATGTTTTTCATGTGCTTGTTGCAATAGGTGACCAAGCTTCACGTGATTACATTGCGTCTTTTTTCCGTGCACTAGCAACGGCTGGAGCTGAAGCTAGTGACCCGTTTGGTGAAATGGCCGAGGAAGCAGCTACTCCAGGTGGTTTGAATGAACAAGTGCATTGTGCATTGCAAAACAATGGAGGCTACGAACTGGTGGCCGATCAACTGGATGCTATCTTTAAACGCCTGTCGGGAACTGATCCGGTCCCACGCCCAACACGTTGCTAAACTGTAATACATTATCCAGCAGCATCGATGGTGGGTTGGGTGTATGGCTATCAGAAAGGAACGATCGGCATGATAAATCGGTAACAGATGATAAAGGTTCAGCTTGTTTCATTCAACTCTGCATTATGTTTGTCTTGACACTGTCGTTACAGATTCGACAACCGACGAACTGGCGTAGCTGAAAAATGTTAACCTTGTCTCTTTCGTAGGGTCGAGCGCCAAATTTCCTGCAGCATTCGACGCGTTTTTCCAAGCTCGCGCAATCTGTTCGACAACTTTTGCCTTCTCAGCTGCCTTTTCATCTTGTCTCCTGAATGTATTCTTCTACATACCGCTTGACCTCTTCTAGAGCTGCGTAGTTTCGTTAGCTTTCTTCACTAGCTTGTTTGTTGTGGGCAGTACATTTGAAAGATTACCATAGCTTAGTCATGGACACTTGAAGAAGTTTGGACTGCTAAGTTTCAATCCGAGAAAAACATGCAAATGCTTTCAACTGGACCATTGTAATTGCCTCCTTACTTGAACACGTACACCAAAAAATACTGCTATTGCGTGAATCCGAAAGCCTCCAAGCTTTCTTGTCAACTTTCTACTCCTCTCTCTTGTATAATGAGGCGCCAGACTGCTTATACTTTGCGTTAGGTGCCGTTAGATAACTGTGCAACCTTATACTTTGTAGACACCTTGAATGGATCAGAAAGCACTTCAGTCTTCTGCATCAGCCAAAGCATCTTGATCGCGTCACTTGAGCCAGGTATCCGCTTCCAATCTACCTTGTGCACCTCCCCCGACGTTGAGCGGCAAAGTGTAGCTTGTATGGGCGCCAACTTGCTTGCATCAACAACTTGCAGCAAGCAATTAATGGCTAGGCTGCCATCATCAGCAATGTACGGCTCGAGAAAAATTGACCCGACCGATCTTGAATCTGATACACGGCCCTCACCAATGCAGCTACCGTCCCACTCGCCAGTGACCACAAGGCGGACACTTGTGCGGTCCAAATTCATTGAGCTCTGTTTTACACCGAACGACACCGCATCGCGGTGTAGTGCAAGGGCTACCTGAGAACACACGGCCGTCTCAACAAACTCGCGCAGCCCATCGACACCTGACACCTCACGTTGTGAGGCAATTCCGGTCTGAACAAGAATGCGTGCTCCGGAAATAAGAACCTCCGTGGAGAAATTCTTGCCAACATTCAAATCAAATGCTGAAAGTGTCGAGTCAAACGCACAAGTTTTCCATCGCGGACTCACGTAAACACCACGCACTGAATCGCAAATTGGCTGCAATAAGCCATCATCAAGAACGCGGCCTGAAGCTGATGTTTGCAGCTGCTGAAAAGCAAACACCGAGGACACTTCATCCAGGTATCGCGTCACTTCATATTTTAGCAGACTATGGGCTAAGACAGCCAAGGCTGTTGCCAGGGTTTTGTCTTGTTTGTCAATCTCGCTTGCGAGGCCCATTCCAGCAGCACCGCCGGTACTAGTGCCGGAATTGCCAGCATTCACACCACCTCCACCAGGCGTCGATATGTCTGGGCCCGTGTACAACAACGCCCGCGATATGTCCTTCCGGCCGTGACGAGTCCGAATTTCTTGTTGTAAGAGAAGGAGCGTGTACCGACAAGTTTGGGTCAAAAAGGCTTCATCACTATCAGCAGGGGACGAATATGAGGTAGACGCAGCACGCCGTAGTTTGACTGGACTGCTGCTCGGTAACAGCGTATCCTCTGCTCTGGGTTCTACCATCTTTATATCTGTGACAGGCTCGATGTCCTGCCCTAGTTTTTCGCTAACCGCTTCTGGAGCTTCGTCTGTCTCCTTTTTCTCCGTTGCCGTATTATTGTGCTTAGTCAAACTCTTGACATCTACAAGTTTGATCGTCAGATGGTATCGTTCGTTCACGCGAAGATGAATCTCGTCATCCAGCACTTGCAAAACTGAAATGGGAGTGTCCACGACAGCGCTATTCTCTCTTCCGTGCTTCCTGACAGCGTAGCTGCTGCTACTGAATGCCGTATCTGTCCACTTGAATGTATTCTGAAGCGCCTCTTTCATTAACGTGTAAAATAGTTCCTCACAAAACACAGAGAACTGCACTGCCTTCAGAACCGACATGTTGCGCTCTTCCAGGACTTTCAGATCTTCAGGCGTATCATTCAACTTATCCATTTCTGCCTTAGTCCTGCAAACCACAAATCACTCTCGTCAATTATTCGTTTACTCATTTTGTCATGGGCACGGCAAACGTACATATGAATTAGAGAGGGTGATGGTAATATGTAATTTCCCTCCTTTCCTGTATCACTTGCTTTAAGCTTCAGCTAATAGACACACGAACAGTCAAATGTCAGTAACACGAAGATATTCCATTCAACGGGTACAACATTCAACCAACCTGGATCGTACGAGTCAGAAAGTCTTCAGGGGTCTTTACGCGCACAAGTCCCTTTTCCGTGCGGCTCAGCTTACAGCAATAAACACAACAATCTCAACACTTTGAAGCTAAAACAAAGCCACTGGGCTTGCTGTTGCTGTAGACATACCTCGGCATAAGCAAGATCAGCGATCGATCGCGTCTGTGGCACGAAAGATGATCCCGCTATAAAACACGATACCACCCAGTTAGTTCCAACATCCAAGCAAGTTGCGCTTCCATAATCAAACGCTCTCACCGCTGTCATAGCTGCAATCTACTGCAAGTGGCTCGCCCGCACGAAATGGTTTCGGAATGGTTCCATGAATAGGTGCACAAATTTTCCACTTGCGCACCATCTGTGTAACACCCTGAAAGAACACACTTTCCTTTTCCACCGTCTTGGCCAGCGCTTCAACTCCATTCAGCAATATCGTGCCACTTTCTTTTACTTGAGCTCTTTTTGCCTCCAAGAGCTTTTCCAATTCCTCTCGCTTTGGTGCTGTATTCTCACGAATGCAACGCATCTCCTCAAGGAAGTCACGACGACGGATCAAGTCAATAGAGTTAATGAGTTGATGTAATTCAGCAACTGCTGCTTGAAGTTCTGCCACCATGGGGCGGTAATGAATTCTCGGATCAATCACTTTCTCCTCGTCGTCGGCATTTTCCACCGACTCGTCTATCTCCTCAACAACTTCAGCAGTCTCTGTAAACTCCTCACCATCTTCTTCTTTCACTCCATTCGACTCATGAATGGAAATATTGTCCTTATCGTTTGCTTTCTGTGGTGTCGTCTTCTTCCTTTGCGTTCGCACACGTTCCAGCTCTTGAATCGAGTGCAGGAACAACTGCGCTTCCGTAAACTCCCTGAGCACAAGAACATTATGAATTATGACTACACATTACAAATATTTACGCAGCATTTAGGGATAAATTGACATTAGTAGTTACTGTTGCACGATCTCCTTGCCCTGATCCGTCACCATCTCGACAACCTCGTAATCTGCTGGATAGAGCGTCACGCCCACATTTTCCACACTTTTTTCCTCCATGTTATCGTCCAGTCAATGTTCTACTTGTCACTGCTGAAGCTGGAAATGTCTCTTGGAGGCCTGCTATACCCACACACACACAATGAATGAACGTAGGACAAAGAGAGCTTTGAGCGACCTTGAGGTGTGAGACCAACCTCACTCCCCCAATTCCCTTACTTTAGTGACACTCAAATAAGTATACACTGTATACGATATACACATGTATATATATAAATTCCGACAGGTCGTGAAAGGTCACTTACTAGCTTCAAATCATCATCATTAAAAAAACTAATCACTTTTTTCAATATTACGACATAACTCACATTGCTCTGCATCAACAACTGACAAAAGCAGTCTCCCTTCGCATTCGACTGTTTTCAGAGATGAAATGGCTACAGTATCTGCAGCACAAAAATTCCAGCTCGACTGATGGAAAAAAATACATACCTCATGAATAGCTATGCTCACGCTTGGCGTACTCAATGGCTCCCTTGACCATGTTGATAGCGCGCACGCGGTCCTGACGCAACACGCTGAAGGAAATCAGACCTACGAGTAGACCCTTCTTATCCACAGCAGCACCACCACTAAAGCCGTTATCTAGCTGTGCTGCGGTACGGAGCATTGCCTTGTCAACTTCTTCACCCTTGTATACTTGAGAGTCGGTGCCAGAGCAGATTGCATGATGCACTGTGATGGTATTGTGACCACTGCTTGGGTAACCAAACATCCACATTTCGTCACCTGGTTCCACGTTGTTTGAATTGCCAATGCGTACAGCCGGTAACTTGCCTATCGTTTCTCGAGAAGTACCTTCTAGTTTCGTTACTGTCCAGTTGCGCGCGATCATACGGTCCGTCACATCGCCTATATACAGTCCGCTCGGTGGGTCCGAAATGACCTCACAATCCAAGCGCAGCAGAGCGTAATCGAGCTCCTCATTACAACATTCAGGGATCACACGTGCGTGATACTTCCATAACGGCGGCAGTGACGTAGATTCTGTAGGCGCCACCAAAAGCATGTACTCGTCGCTGTAAATGCAGTCAAACTGCTCACCCTGAAGGCAATGCCGAGCAGTAGCAATCAGTCCATCCTCGTGAATGATGATGCCAGAGCCCACATTACAAAGCTCTCCTTCGTTTGTCAGGATGGCAATGCGCACTGCCGATTGCTGCACACGGCGGACAAGCCCTGCACGGAAATGCTTCATCTCAGCACGCTTCTGCTTAAATCGAGCTACCGGTGTAATGGGTGTCGACTCCATCGATGGTCGCTCATCATCATCATCCTCGTTGAAGTCCGCTAAACACGCTGCTGCATTCAGCAGCTTCATGCGAGGGCCAAACGGGATGCCAAGATCGCGCAGGTGGCCGGCGTTCATCAGACACAGTGATTCAATGTCAATCTCCTCTGCTTCGAACAGAGTTGCATATTTGCTTAGCTTGAGCGACGCCAGCAAGCTCGACATGACCAAAAAGCTCTTCTTCTTCTCCGCAGCCTTCCGTGCCGTCCAGCGGATAGCAAATTTGTTATACCATGACAAATTCTCAAATCCAATGCCATGTACATCACGCTGAAAAGCCACTAGTGACTCGCGCTGCGAACTGCTTTCATCATCGCCAAACTCCTTAATGTATAATGGACGCCACGTAATATCCAGCAGAGCTCTCTTGTACCAAAAGCGGCACGTCATGGATGCCAGACACAGATCCACATGGTTCAAATAGCTAAGCATATGTGTAAACACACCACGAGGGACCCACGCCTTGGAGTGCACAAAGGCGTTCATGGGTGGTTTGCTACCAGACAAAACCTTGGGAAAACATGTCTCGCAGAGACGTGACTTGTGCGTATGACCCGTCAATGCCGCTTTAAATCTAGAACACTTGGCGCAAAACAAGTAGCCACAGCGTCGGCAACGGTGTGACCGTCGAAGAAGTGAAAACTTTTCATGACATAAATTGCACGAATTAGAAGCGTGTTGCGACGCCCATCGGTCCCCACCACTGCAAGATGAGACAACTGATGATGTTGCCGAGTTAACGGAAGAGCTCGAAGACACGGACGAGTAGCGAGATACGCGACTTATCTCATCAATGCCCGTTGTAGCAGCGTTAATCGTTGTTACTTGGCTGAGATTCATTTGCCTTGTTTGTTCCATGGCTGGAAAACGACTTCCCGTAGTGTTGTTTTTGGACTGGGTGATGATGATGTGCCGTGACCGTGTCGATAGATTCGAGTTGTTGTAAATAGTGTTAGACCGCGCTGAAAGCAAATAATGACGATTCTCTTCGTCCATAAACCTTATTGACTGTAAAGGCGTTTAATATGGACGACGGACGACGCTCTGCACTTAAGAGCGTCGCCACTGCTGGAAGGAGGAGCTCTCTGCTTAACGTCCCTCTCTCCCTCCTCTACTTTGTGATTGGAAGGTAATTACAATGACTTTTAACCAATCAACAAACGAATATAACAATTAGCTGACTACTTAAGGAAAGAAAAGGAGTGACTGACGGCTGTAGCTGCTGGTCAAAAGCATTGATGATTGGGCTCACGGGTTACTACTTACTGGCTCCAAGACCGTTATATTTTACACAGTAGTAGAGGATGCTGCAATTAATATGATGCTATACACAACGACTCAGCTGCTGTCAAGAAACAAGCTTCTTGTAAGCAATGTGTCAATGGTGAGAATCATAGCTACATGTATTCATTTTGAACTATTTGCAAGGCCTGATTATGCAGTCGCATGTACGGAAATATAACTAACCTCAATGAACGCTGCCAACTGCTATATGGACTAAAGTTACCGTAAGGAAATATCAAAGCCACTTTGTAGAGTAAAATAGAGCCGTTACGTATGATGTCAGGTAACCATGCAGTTAGTAGTTAATCGTAAGATTGGCTGCGTCATTAATGGCGGTGTTGATTACAGTAAATCATTGTCTTAACGGGCAGACCATTGACGTCAGATATGTTGTGAGTGCATATAAACATTCCCACAACGCCACAAAAGAGCAACAAATACAAAATGTGCTCTAAACAATGTTGCGCTATTAATAGGCGCTACTACTAGACGCTACTAATAGACGCTACTACTAGACGCTACTAAATGGCGGTAGTTATAGACGTGATTATAATAAACGGTACTTTACCATAATAGACGGTAATTTCGTTGTGACGATTTTCATGCAGTTGCCACGCGGCATTTTGTGTTTGATACACAGAATTTTCTTTGCCGTCTTCGATCACTTACTATTCATGATGTTAGTTATAACAGGTCAACTGAAATAGTAAGACAACGTAACTGATTATAAACAGTAAAATGTATTTTGACAGGGTATTAGTTCTGACTATCAGCAGTTACACGCTCCGCCTTGACGCAGGTATTTAAGGCATTTCGGAATTGGTCACAAGCACCCTCTACACTAGAATCAAGTACTTTCATAGTCCACACAGTATGGCCTCTAGAAAGAACGTGTACAATGACGTCTCGGAGAGTGAGGTGCGCTCACTGCTCATCGGCAAGGACGGTAATTTAACGCGTGACTTTGAAACTGTGCTTACGCGCCTATTCATTTCGTACCTGGAGAACCCCACGGACAAGAGCTTGACGCTGCACAAGCTCCGGGAGTTTAGCAAGATTTGTAATAATGGTAAACCATTCAAGGATGGTGAGATTGAGGATATTCAAAAGTATTTCCAGTGTGATGAGAAGAAGGGATTGACGCTGAAGGGTTTCAAGGACATGTATCACACGCAATCTAGTGCCGAACCCATGGAGACTTGGCGAGACTTGAAGAAGCTTGGGTGCGTCTTATCTAATGAGCTTATATGTATGTTGTTGTAGCTAGGAACTAATGTGGTATTGTGGTATTGTGTTTCTTTAGTTTTCACAAGGAGCTGATTGATAAACGCGATGCGGCATTGCGCTGCCGCGTGTGCAAGGACCCGTCCGTGCTCGTATGCTCGCGCTGCAAAGCGGTACGATACTGCGGTGCTGGGTGCCAGAAGCAGGATTGGAAGATCTGCCACAAGCAGAAATGTAAGCCATCCATGGTCTAGGGATGTCCACGTGGTCAAAGCTCATGCTGACAACGGCGACGAAGCTCATTGACGTGAATTCGTACGCCCACTAGCATTTGATGTGATGCAGAAAGCAAAACGGGGGCGAGAGGAGAAGAAGAGATGTCAAGAAGAATAAGTGGTGAGCAGCAGAAGTGACGGACGGAGAGATGAGAGAAAGACGCGCTTGACTGCTGTGCGCAGCTTCGTTAGATGAATAGATGCGATTTGTGTATATTTTGATAAAAAGAAACAAGGTCATTAAGAGTGAAACACTAGTACGAAGCTTTCATTATGTCGGATGAAATTGCAAGTCTGCATGGTCAAGGTGTTGATTTGTCAATCGAGCTATTCGGTATAGACTGTATAGGTACTACCGGTCTTCTAGTCACCACCGTCGCCAGTATTACAAAACCGGTGCCATATTTTGCTCTGACGCCATCTAATGTACAGACAGACGTCTGCATTTGCAGCTTATTCTTAGCCGGAGCTGGCCATTGTTTGCTGACATAGCTGTACTGTGAGTGCATACTACTGATGTGTAGATAGATGACATCATAGCGTACTTATGGATCAATTGGCGACCAGCTGGAACACGCTTTGGACTAAGTAAATCAGTCAATGTCAGCCCGAGTGTTTGTGACATTTTAGAGCAACGACGAAGAGCCCATCAACGAAATGCACATTCAACGCAGCTTTAGTAACCTGTTTTGATTCATACCATTAACATTCGCAAGCAACCTGCGATGGGTCTCGAACTTGTTATAGCCACTCAGCTCTCTAACGCGTCTTGAGAGTCGGCCCAGCAGGGCTGTTTATCTGATAGCACATAGAGTAGATCGTCACCCGTAATCACTTCAAAAGGCTGCGGATTCACATACACATAGCCAAAAGGTACGCTGCGATCCTTTTCAGGTACTTGAACTCGCGCTATCGACTCTCCGGCACTTGCAGCATTCATGTACGGGTGGCAGCGATAGAGTCCAATCACCAAAATGTCGTCAGATGACAGCAGATAATGAAAAACATACTCAAATGAGCGACCCACAAAGTCCAACGGTACTTCGACAGCAAAAAGAGAGCTGCGCTGGGTTTCTGGCTTCGACTTGTCACCACGCAACGTAGCCCATGTGTCGCTAGCGCGAGATGTAACCATAAACTCACCCAAGATTTTCTTGATCTGTCCGTTGAAAAACTGGTTGATTAACAAACTGTCGCACAGCGACGTGCTATATGTTAATCCAGACGTAAATGCCGGTGAAAGAAAAAAGTTGCGCGAGAATGTCTTTGTCGAAGAAAACATGGTAAGTTCATTCTCACCGTCAGGGCCGGGAAACCAACCGTTTGCCAACAAGTTTTGAGCTACAAAATGCACACTGGCCCTGTTCCCCACTTCTGTAATTACACTCGGTGCCTGTTTCACACCGATAAAACTTGTGATAAACTTGTGCAGCGCGATTGATTCCTACATAACACAACAATGCAGTGATCAGCATCAGCACAAAAAGATCTGCAATTGATAAAGCTCCGACATACCGCATCCTGGAGCAATTCAGAGTCGTTGTCTGACGCTGAAGCTGAAGTACCCAAGATCAATACACGATGAGCATCGAGAACGCCTGCCCTGTACAAAGTCTTGTGGCGGTATGGGTCGCCAACGACAAAGTGGACATCAGGGAAGTGGCTGAAACCATCGTAGATATCGTCATCAGGAAGCTTTGCTGATAGGATTACTATCGGGTAGTATCGTTTCAAAGAGCGAGTGCGGAGGGGACCGATGAGATGCTCCAGATCATTCGCGTAAGTCGATTTTGTGGTTACGCAGATCACGATGGGATCCACTCCAGAGCCGAGCTCTTTCACGTCATTGATGACAGCATCTTGAACCGACTTGGAGGTGTTTTTTGTTGGAGAAAAAGTCTCGCCCTTTTCCTCTATTTCTGTCTCCTTCTCAGACGCCAAGTCGTCATAATCCCCAAATTGCCAGTTCACAAACCGCGCGTGGTGTCGTTGAAGAGGAATTTCTGCATCACGATCGTCACCTGCACCGGGCTCACTGCGCACAAGTGAGGAAGAGTACGAAACTTGCATTTCGCGCCATGCCAACGGCATAGACATTATTTTCAGATCTGTCAATGCGCTAGCATCGGCTTGGGTCTGAGCAATCACGTACGCCGTCTCACCACCGACACAGGTGTAGGAATCGCCAGGGTTGAGGACTATTTTGCCTCGGGAGCCATCAGTAACAGCAAAAACAATAATTCCATTGCAATGCGAATAAGCAAGCGAAGCCAACTCAGAAAAAGTTTTGCCCGCGATCACGGATGTCGGCGGCAACTCGACTACGTAAACCTCGTGGCTCGCTCCTAGCAAATACCTGTCCACCCACGAACCTTTTCCATTGTCAACAGCTGTAGAGCGGTTAGCACGCTTAGCATCAATTCCCAGGCCTTCGTCGTTGTCGTCATCAAAACTGGAAGTCGACGTGAGACTGTACATAAAGGTTGAGAAGCCGGGACAAATGCAGTTTTGGCCAAGTAGAGACATCGTCATCTCCGATAGGCAGAGCACATTCTGAACTCCCATGTCACGAACCAGCTGGCAGTGGACGGATCGATTGAGCTGTGCAAACACGCGCGTCTTTGGGGCCTGCCGTTTCGCCGCCAGCACACGCATCAAAGTGCGGTGATCGCTGACCGAAGTTTCTTGATCGCTCACAGTGTTTGTCAAAATAAAAATGGCATCTGCAGTGTCACAAGCCGCGCGTCTTGTATCGTCAATGTCAAGCAAAGACCCCTGGACAAACCGTACACGCTTTGCAAAGAATGGGTCCAACAGCAGCGCTTTGAGAGACGTGGCCGGAGGTTCCTCACTCAGCACAACGACGTGGATACCAACAAAATCATGATCATTGTGGAAAATCTCATGAAAGAAATGACTGATGCGAGAAGCAGTGAGATCGCCACACAAAACAACATGCCGGCTCTTAGAAGAAGCCTTGTAACTAGCTTCCTCATAAGGTGAGACAGAGTTGCTCAAGTCCATAACGCTTGAAATCTGGTACGGGATAACTAAAATGAAAACACAGACGAGCATGCCCACAAAGACTTTTGACAGGTTGTTCTCCGCAGGCGGTTTGTCAATCGTCACGAATGTCATGACGGAGTTAAAGAACGAGTTGAAGAAAGTCCACTCGCCAAGGTTCTTGACCGAGAGCGTACCATCCATCGTCTCAGCAACTTGAATGATGCCAGCAGCACCCAACAGGATACATGCAATTTGCAGGTAGCACAAGAATGCAAACTGACGCACTGGGTTCAAGTACGCGTGGCAGCGGCTCAGCACTGCTTTGCCGGTGAGATAGCACATGGCAAAGCGTAAAGGATAGATAAAGCGCCACCAGGACTCACCGTACCAGAATGTACTAATAAACAAACAAAACAAGATCATAGCTTGAGCGCATGGTATCTCTTACAAACAAGCAGAATAAACAGTAAAATAACTCAACTGGTAGCGGATGAAGAAGGATGCTGGAAGCACTGGTAGAATGTTTACAAGGTAAATGCATGCTGTTAGCGACAGTAAATATTCTTGGCGTCGACTAGTAGATAGATAAATGCCTCGAAACACGAAGTCAATGGTAAATAGCGACGCGCAGATCAACTCAACCACCCAGATGGAGTGGGGCATCTACATCCACAGCAACAATATTAGCAAGCAAGACCCCATTTTTACCTACACAGTACGAACCGTACACTATTAAAAGGAATATACGTGTTAGCAACGTATGTAGCAGAGAAGACTATCGAGACAAGTGCCATGAAGACATCAATGGCGGCGCCGAGGTTCCCATTGTCCAAGTGACTGTCTCCCGTTCAACACAAGCGTCAGAGCACAATACTAATGTATACAAGATCTCATATATCCTCTTATTTGCATTGCACAAGTGACTGACCGACTAATGCGCTCAATGTTGCGAGCATTACCAATGATGTCGAGTGTGTTGATCTGTGATGCGGCTTTTGGTTTAACAGCAACAGACTGAACAGGAAATTCACAATCAGTGTTATTATAGCATACGTAAACAAGTACAAAATTGTATGATGGACATAGATACCTCAGAGACGCTTCCATAGTGCAAGGTGTCATTGAATAGCGGCTGATTCTCCATGGTAGAAGCTCCGTGAATCGGCGTTAGCTTTAGCATATCAATGCTACCTCGGTCGAGGATATATGGCTACATCGTACTTAAGTCTGTTTCAAAAGCTCAATTTTATAAGTATCTTTTCAGTTAGATACGATCATTGCTGTAGCAGTTGGAAGTAAAGTAAAATAATTTTAGTTAAAACATGTCTTAATCGGTTTTAGACAAGTCAGATTTAGAAAATTGTCATAGCTTAATTTAGCGATATTAATGAAGATAAAAAAGATCAAAACCTGCCTGATTCATCACAACCTTTACAACAAATCTGATTCATCTCATTCTCAGACCTTGAGTTGACACAATGGACATTAAGGACGCGACGACACTGAGTTATGACGAGTTTTGCACTCATTATATGGCATTTAGTCGTCCTGTACTACTCCGTAACGTAACGGATAAGTGGTTTCCAAACACTACGCCCTGGCGCGACGGACAGAAAATAAATTACCAGTATTTAAAAAAACATTATGGAACTGCTGTCGTACCCGTAAGTAAAATAAAAACTCGTAACAAAAAACGAGCTGTCTTGGAGCGAATTATTACGAAATAACATAAATTTCAAGAAAGTGGAAAAAAGGGTTAAAAGCTATTGTCTTATTGTTTGTAAGGTGGCAAGTGGAAATATAACGGAATATGGAGCAGAAGACCGATGGACAATGAGATTTGGTGAGGAAAGAAGAGAGAGAGAATGAGAGAGAGCATTGAATTTACAACTGAGGAATGTTAATTGAAACGGTGTTTTCATCTATAGACGAGTATCTGGATTCCATTGAGAATGAAATAGCCGGCAAAACTTATTTGAAAGACTGGCACTTTGTGCACGCTTTTGGCCACGAGATTTACGAGTACGACCATAGCAGGATGGAGATATTGTAGTTGGTAGTACAGTCGGTTTGTATTGACGAGGTGTTGTCTTTTATTGGGGTAATCTTGTGTCAGAACACCACTGTTTTTCAAGAATGACTGGCTCAATTGGTACAATTGCTACTAGTGTTTAAAGCATTGTAAAGGGAGTGTAACGTCAATATGTTGATGTTGATGGCATTTGTGTATTGATATTTGCTTAGGTGGTGGGATCAGAAAGAGAAAAGTGAGAGTGATTATCGATTTGTGTATCTTGGTAATGGGTCAAAGATTCCGTCTACGAGGTGATGTCTTGTAACTTACTACTCTATTTTGACGTACAGGCCCTGCTGGTAGCTGGACGCCACTTCATCAAGATGTATTCCGTTCGTACAGGTATGCGTTTGTGATGTTTTAAGTATTAACTAATGACTAAAGAGTGCCTTTTAGCTGGTCGGTGAATATCTGTGGTCGCAAGCAGTGGGTTCTCTTTCACCCCGATGATGTATGTATGTATTGTAGCGATACTATATCGACACAATACTGACATGGTAGTGACTGAAGCTGTGGATGTGGAGCAGGAACCAAAGTTGAAAGATCGTTTTGGCCGCTTTGTTGTTCCCGATGTAACAGCTACGGTGATTGACAAAGAGAAGTATCCTCACTTTCATGAAGCAAACCCAGTTTATGTCGTCCAAGAAACGGGTGACGCGATTTTTGTCCCCAGTGGGTGGTATCATCAAGTGATGAATATGGAGGATACAATCTCCATTAACCATAACTGGTTCAATGGATATAATATTTGCGAAGTGTGGAGATTCCTTAAACGTGAGTACGCCGCGGTCGCACATGAACTCGAAGAACTAAAAGAAATGGGTCTTAGTGAACGCGAATTTGTCGACCAATGCCAGCAAGTCATGCTTGCCAATACCGGAATCAACTACATCGAGTTTCGGGAGCTTTTGTATGCCAAGGCCAACGAAATACTGTCACAGCGTGAAGACTTCAAAGCTAATAAAGGCAACGGATTGACGACTGTAGGAAGCGATCTGCTTATTCACTTGGAGCAAGTAAGTGTACAATTGTATGTTGTGAGCACGCACAGATATTTATGAATGTGTAGGTGCGTATCATTCTCCGGCAGCTAAACGCATCGTTGAGCACTGTAGACGATACGAAAGACGCGAATGTGCATGAAGCCTGGTTTGATGTGGATTTGCAATTGAATGCCATATCTGACACGTGTGGCGAGCTAGTATATCAACCATAGAAGCAGAGGTGCGTATAAAAGATGATCTACCATAGTATTTTACTGCTTTTGTAAATGTCACGATTTGCAAGGGCGTGCTTGAAGAGCTTGTGTTCTTTTGTTATGTCGTGGTGGCATCCAGTGACGCAGTTGACAGAGAATATGCATTTGAGAAGGCACAAAGGAGGCAGTCTTGCAAACCGCGGAAGTAGATAAACTATGAAGACATCGACAGTAGGTTACTATGGAAATATAGAGAGAACGGTCATTGGTGTGAGAGCTACGCAGCTTAGAGAAAGGCCCAAGCAAGATGCCGACTGGGGGGCAACAAGCAGCAATACTACTGTGATACTATCTCTACTATTCCGATCTAAATTTTGCTTATCAGTTTTCAAGTGGGACGATGTCAATCTTTCATCATACTACTCAAGCTTCTACCGTTGCTCACGTGACTTTCACTCAATTGCACTCTATGTCTGTCACGTGACCGCGGCAAATGATGTCAATGCGACGCATTCAATGTACGCATAATTCCCAAAACCAAGCACGCTATCGAGTGCAAACGAAAAAATTGCTATGGAGACGAAAGAGTACAACAACATGAAGCTGGTAATTGCGTGGATTGAGACGTATGGCAGATCATGGCATTTACTGGATTCCAGGCCATATAGTTGACGCTTTCGAGAAGAGAATGAGCTGAGTTGATCCGACAAATGGTATTGCTGACCAAGGCGTGCGAAAAGCGTTAGATGGCGTCCAGACGCCTATACAAGATGGAGTACAAGTACCTGCAAGATGGTGGCAATGCAGCGATAAAGTCTTGATGGGAGCTTTGTGTGACTGGTTTTATATGGCAAACAAGCGATATGACGCTGCGTTGCAATGGGCGATTGTTACTTCCTTCCAGTGTCGTGAAACCGTGCGGCAAGTGTCATGAAGCATTGGTGTCTAGTTCAGTGGCACAAACTTATGACAGATTAGAACGAAAGAAACAAGTGTTTGTAGCAACATGATTGATTCTCGGAGAGATCAAAGCTGACCGAGCTGTTGCAAGACGAGCACAAGTACGCTTTGCCACATGTGTGACTACAACAAACACGAAAAGGTGTGGGGACTAGCGATATCGTGGACTTCATACATGCATTTGGTTGCAATCACCGTCTGTGACGTATTTGTCTTCTATGGAAACAACGTTGTTTCCATAGAAGACAGACGTTCATGATAGTACAACCCAGCAACGACTTGACACTTTAACAGACTCAGTATCGTACTACACACATGAGCGTAACGGGTTCTGCGTGTACACAATACTACTCGTTACATACAAGTACAGCACTTTCGTAACCACAAGCATTTAACCACCCGTCTTGAACGTCTTGGAAACTGCAAAATGCTGTCGCAAAATCCGTTGCCCGCTATGCGTTTTTTTCTTTCATCAAGCGCCGTTGAGGATGTTCATTCACTTTAGTTTTCTCCCAGTCAAGTCCAAGAGGTCAATGGCGTCGTCTCCAGTTCAGAAACATTTTTCCTTAGCTTCTGGTAGCTCTAGTAGCAAAAGTAATGCGGTCATTGCCCAATACATTGTTTCAAAAATTGCGTGGTGGGCTACGTATCCCCGACTTCTTCTTGTCACTTCCTCTACTCTTAGCACTTATAACCCCGAAACATTTCAATGCACGGATCAGTGGGAGATTGGTGACATTGCAACGGTAGAAGTCTTAGAGACAAAGGATCAATTTATACTTCGACTTGAGAAATCTCGTTTCCGGTCCACCAAGTTGAAACTCGCATGTTCTGCTCGAGGTCATCTACTATCATTGCTGGCTCGATTACGTCGACAAGTTCAGGGTAAAGCACTAGTGTATCGACTTGTAGGTGCCCGTCGACTTCATTACCGATGCATTGAGCAATTTGCTGATGCATCGACCAAGTTGTTGTTTCTCCAAGTGACCGTCGCTAGTCTTATTTTTCTTGATCAAAGTGGTCGACCTGTGCAAATACTACCATTTCTCTATCTACGCAATGTAGCTTTAGCGACAGAGCATAGTGATGGAATGGTATTGTCTACAGCCTTTCATGATCGTTTTTTTCTCTGTAGTGAACGACGGGAATGTCTACTCGAGATCGTGGCTGCAGCAAATGAAGCTGGACTGGACCTGCATGAAACGTCGAGTGAGATCACGGCATTACATCTCCGTCTACATCATATGCAGATACTCGATCGTCCATCACTTTTCCGATTTGATGTGAAGAAAGTGAAGAATCAGGATTCCAATGGTCATGTTCTACTAGAAAGTAACGACCGTGTTGCTGTAAACAAGGAGATTCAATTGATCCTGCAAGCTCATGAAATGGTTGAAATGCATTCCTCGATGTGCACAGTTATTGCACGTCCGTACAACGCGCTCTTAGCAATCGTTCGTCCAGATTGGAATTCAAGAACGCTTGTGTTGGAATTCAAGCAGGAGGATACGCTGATCCTTGATGTGGATGGTCGTAATGAACTTGTTACCATATTACTGCTCGTGTGTCACGAAGCAGGACATCACAACGTCATTCTCACTCCCTCAGGCCTCAACTATTGCCGATTCTATCACCCTCATGCTGCTGACACCACTACAAGTAATGCTGTTGGTGCATGGATGGAAACGTTCCTACTAAGACGAATCGCGCAAACAAGTGTTGGACCGGAAGAAAATAGTGGTGGGAGAAGTCGGGGTAGTAGTGTGTGGTCACCCCGAAGACGCCGTGGAGGAAGCGTAACATTCCGAGCTACTCTAGGAAATAATGATCTCAGGGAATCTGACTCGAATGGACGTGGCAGTTGGTTCCAGCGCCGCATTAACAAAGACAAATGTACAGCAGAATCTCTTTATGAAACACGCAATTCCATGGATTCGGGAGTGTCCATGAACGATAACGTGAGCATCGTCATTGCTATGGAGGAGCTCAATGCAAACCTTTTACTTGACGAACTCACGCGTAGTAAACCAAAGCGAGTTAGAGTGGTGAACAAGGCCATGAAACTTGTTTTCGAGCATCTTGTGACTCTAGTAGCTTCACTACGACGATACGGGGATACCACCAGCTCGGAGCTTATTACCACGTTGCAAGCGCTCGTGCGCTTATACTATCACCCAGATGCTTACTTTACGGACAAATTGGTACGGTCTTCTTTCCTTGTTCTTGTATGCATCATTCCTGCATTTGTTGACAGCCATTGTTTTGGTAGATACCTCACGTACTTGACGCTGTGCACGAGCTCATTTTACAGCAAGATATTCTCACATGCTACTGGTGCCTACGACTGCTGCAATGCTTCCTGGGCGTCAGAACACCCAACACTTCCTCTGCCTCTAACTCAGCTGAGCGAGATCAACGTGCCAAAATGATTCAGCACTTTGTCCACCACAAGACACTTCAGCACGCCGTTATCGACCTCATTCCAGCCTCTTATACTGCATCGGTCAGCTCGTCATTCGTGACATCATCTTCCGCCATTGGAGTAACATTGTGGATGGCTGATCTGGACGTTGGGAGTAGCGCTTCATCTAGTCGCTCGTCAGCTCAGTTTTCAACTTTGCGTACAAAGGAAGCTCGAGTGCAAAACGAAATCAGTGTGGTGTTTTATGAGACACTGCTCACGCTGCACCATTTGCTGATCCACATGCAAGGTGCGGCCAAGTTGCAGCGCACCGCACGCGATCGACAAAACTATGTCGCAGCGGGCAAACGAAAAAAGCTCCAAATCCGTGGTTTTGATGACCTACCCGTTGAGAAGCAGATGGATGCATTGGGAGGCAAATTATTAGAGAAGCACCGATTCTTGATGGACTCCGTTTTAGACGCTCGTCTCGTACGTATGGCTGAAACGTCCATAGCGCTAGTGAAATTTGTACTCAGTCACTTTGCGACCAAGCCACCTGATAGTCCACTTCAACCATCACCAAGTGACAACCAGCTACTGAATTCACGTGCTGGAAACTTCCAGGATTCTCGAAAGAAGTGGCTAGGTGCGCTTGGCTTGTTTCTTGATGACTATGTAGCAAATACTGCGGAGAGACCGGAAACCCAATCACTGCAGCTTGGCTCCAAGAGAACTATTGAAATGCCGGACCAAGGATTCAGCTATGGAACCAGCGAGCCCACAGATGTTGCGATAGAGAAGCTGGCTAGATTTAGCACCACAAATTGCATTGGAGCTATTACGTCGAATGGATCAATGAGGCTTGAGTATCTTAACCCAAGCGAGCCGCCAAGCTCTACACGTGGAGAAAAGATTGATAAAAACACGTCACAGCTAGGTCCTCGCAAAACAGCGCCAGAACTAGAGAAGTCCAGACAGAACTCAAAGCATTCACAAAAACGCAAGACTTGCGAAAACGTGGCCACAGGTCATAGCCAACGGCAACACCACACCGGCGATACCAGCCCCGCACATCCTATCTATGACAGCATTGGAACAGACATTTTTGGAAGTGACGATGGAGATGACACGGTAGGTCCGATGCTGCGCAGTGATCACGCGCCCACAGCAGCGCAAGCAATTCAACGATCTTTCCAGGCCCCAATTAGATTGCGTCGAACAGCGGGAACATGTGATGCGTGCATTGGATGCAACGATGTGTGCGCCAACGAACGTTGCTTCGTATGTGCGGAGAAAGAGTACCAACTGAAAGTAGCTTTCGGAGATTCATCCGAAGCTACCGGGCCTACAGTGCGGCAAGCAGCGTGGCAACATTGCGCACCATCATCAACCGATAGTTCCTTCCATGTTGACCGGGAGTACTCTTCCTGTGAGATAAAGCGGCATCAAAGCATGCGGTCGTGCTGGATTCGGGTAGGTGACAGTATATATGACGTGACGGATTTGCTTGGCGTACACCCTGGAGGGGCACAAGTTCTACTGCAAGCTGCTCAACATGGCGGGAATTGTGACCCTATCCTGAATACGCACCCACCTGCAGCACGAAAAATGCTGACGCAGCATCGCCTCGGTCGATACTACGAGTGTACAAACTCGTAAGTCGTTATGCACAGAGATCTAATCCGTGTTTTTTTAATAGGATGCGGTCCATTGTAGTTAATTCACCTGAATCTCCATGGCCATTCGTGATACTCGTACCACCGATCACTTGTCGTTCTTGAGTTTCTGCAGCGAGCGCAGCGTCGTTTTGGCCATGATGGATGTCAGTTGAGTGGCGATTGTTTCAAGAATTTCCACATGACTGGCACATTGTTGTGGGTATTTTGAGATTAGTGTGAAAACGACGGTGGCGAATTTGAGAGAGCCACGCAGTTGTTCAGCTTCTGGCCGCTCTAAGACGGCCTCGCACGCTCCAACAAACTTCTCGACTGTCAGTGCTGACAAAGCTGGTTTAGTGTTGAGGATGTTCTGGAATACCAGCAATGCCGATTCATTGGAAAACAAATGTGGAGTCGAGTTGTTTTCATTCTTCACGGTCAAGGCTGCCAGGACGAATTCATTCAGTTGATCAGTTGGTACTGTGTCAGAGCTGCGCAGAATGCGCGTAATTGCTTCTGCTTGAGCGGGGCCGATCATAGTATCCTTATCACCAAGCAGCAGTGGAAGCAAGAGTGAGTCCAAAAGTGTACGAGTGTAGACAGAGCCAAAACGTAGTGCTGTCTGCAGTAAGACACGCGAGATTACTGAATCAGCAGCACGAATCTTGGGCAACACAGTTGTTTCGAGGAAGATCGCCGCATATCGAGAACTCCAATTGGCATCGACCAGAGCGCTGTTAACAGAGGACACAAAAGGATGCAACGTCACTATCACAACACGATCGCCACTTCTGAACGATGCGTACCTAGTGATCCGGGCGAGCACTTCGTCACTTGTGGAATCCATCCGCAACAGCTTGCACAGGTACTGAAAGCTTTGCTCATTGGCTGCATATGTAGTATGAACGTCGTTGACGACTTCAGCAAGCATGTCAAACGTGCGCGTGGCAACATCGTCAATTGTTGCGTCGGCATCAAAGCGTGGCAGTTGAGCAAGCAGCTTGGAAAGTCCAGATGCGCGATCTTCCATCTAGCCACAAGACGAGTGTCAGGGGTAGTAAAGATTCAAGTGAACTTTGCCGGTACTATACTTGTGATACAATACCTCTTTTGTTAGCAATGGTCGTTCTTGCAGCTTTGTAGCAAATAATGTCGGCGTTGGTGTGTTCTCTCGTATGTTTTGCTCCGTCTTACATGGCCATGGGTCCTCAGACACCTTCTCTCTGTAGCGTTTATTCAATCGGGCCGGAGACTGCATGGCCATACTGGATAATGACATCCCTTGTCGATCAACAAGCTGAACGTCATCATTTCTGTTCAAGAGCAATGGAAACTGGACTTGACCCAGAGTTAAGCGCCGCATACGGCGTCGAAACGCACTCGTGCTACCATGAGTCTCTTCACTCTCTTGTTCGCCTGTTACCTGACTCAATACTATCCTCGCCAAGGATATACAAACTGCATCATTCTCATGACGACGAGGCTGTGCAGTTGCTCGCAGAAATGCTCTTGCTAAATTCACGACAGCGGCTTCGTTTCGAGACGCATTGCTCGCCAATGCGCTCCAAATCTCACGCTGCGCTCGCAACGGCAGTTGTTCCATACCGATACCCACGTCCTCAACCGCTTTATCATTGCTGTGTCCATTACTAGATCGATTGCTCTCTTCCTCTCTATCATCCCGAAGGACAACAGTAGCGCTAAGCTCTTGTAAAATGTTGGGAACCTGTTGGTGATGTTCTGCAAGCAACAATGACGTTATTATGGACATGACATGATACATTTCGTACACCACGATGATGGTCATATACCTTCTAGATAACGATGCACGCCAATTGCGCCTTTCGACTGTGCAAGAAACACCAAGAAATGCAAATGAGCCACCATTGAAGCGTCAGATCCGAGTTGAAAATGAAAATGATCAACATGGACATTAGTAGTATGATAAAATTCCATTCATTTTAGCAACTGTCCATCTACATGTCCATTTACATGTCCATCTACGTCAACTGTCCTCCTCATGCAATACCAAAAAGAATATTACACGACACACGCTTCATTTCGCTGTGCGACGAAGGCCATCGAAAAGTGACGGGAAGTCAGTGCTGTGTTTGGACGCAAAGCGAATGTTTGGACGAATTGATAGCTTCGTCTTGTCCTCCCCTGAACCTTCTTGGTCAGTTTCTAATGGCGCTGATCCATTTTTTATGACCTCTGACATAGTCAAACATAGAGGTGACAACGTACCTGTAATACTTGTCGGCTTCGTGCTACTTGTCGGCTTCGTGCTACTCTCCTGTCCTAGGGCGGCAGTTGTAGATAACTTACGGTTCATGAGAGGAAGCTCGTGTCGAAGCTGGCACGCCGCTCCCTTTGGACAATAGCCCTTTGTAAACGGCTCGCAGACTTCTGCCGTCGCACTCACTTTCACGTGACGATATTTGCAGCCTTCTCGTGTACATGCTCCGCGAAGGAACATTTTGCAGTCTGGAACTTTATTCTGCACATTCATGCACAGGAGATACATCGCGACATGTTATATAAGTTACCGCAAGCCCGCACCATTACCCAACGCAAGCCACGTGACTCAAAACTGTCTGCGAGCAATGGCAAACGCGAGCAAGCAAAATTTAGTCACTCTCTTCACCTCGTCATGCTGATGTGACAGCAAGCACTCGGGATCGTCACACGCGTTCTTCAAAAATTTTCGGCACATGGCCACTCGTCGACTGTCGTGGATGAATCTGCACGCATCCTTGTTCTTGCAGAACCCTATCGTCCACCAACCACAAGCACATCATTAGCAGTACTCAAGACCAGACAGGCCAATGTGGTGCAAATAATCAGCAACAAACGCGATTAAATACTTGCCAAAACGGTCGTAGAAAGAACAATTCACCGTGCGAGCTTTGACTGATTTTTTTGCCTGATGAAGGTGTTTGTTTCGTACACGGCGCATAGTCACTTTTGCCGGAAGAAGTCTAAAGCAAGCAAAAAATTCGTAGAATTAGCATACAACGAGAAATGAACCACCATGAAAACAAGGCAAAATAATCAAACTTACGTGGCGTGAGCAGCTCCGCTCTTGGTCGACGATGCCCTTGAGTCTGATCTGTACATAGCACTCGTCGTGCGTTCCTCGGCAGAACACCGTTTCAGCACCTTGCCTTCATTTGCAACCACATACTCCACACCACCGATATGCACAGAGTCTAATCAAAGCACACGTCACGACCCTAAGACAAGCTCCATAATAAACACAGTACCTCAACAACAAATTTGTTCAGCCCATCTTACTGCTGTCTGAGCGGGATACTGGCATAGATGCTGCAGATTTATCACAAAGTCTGACAGCTGAAGGCTGCTTTATCCCAGCCCGGACGAGACTAAAGCCGCCATTGGCCTTCGAGTACTCGCCGTCTTCCAGCCGCAGCACTTGCAGCTGCATGCTCTTGCTCTTCTTCGCCATCAGCTTCACCTGCACAATCTTTCTCTACTCAGTAATACATGACAAACAGTCTAGAACCAACTACACTTCACTCACGGGTTTCTTCCACGTTTTCTTCGTCTCCTTTATCTCCACCAAACTCTCCCTCCTCTTGTGCTCAAAAGGAAGCACTGTTGACACTGAAGAAGCAGGTAAAATATCATCTCGTCTCCACACTTTATTAGCACTTCCAGGTACTACTTGACTCGGATTAACAGCAGTCACGGGTGGTTTCAAGCGATTCCATGAGCGAGCTATTGGCGTTGATTGCGCATACTTTTTCGACTGATAATGACCACGATGAGGACCATTGTAGCTATAGCTACAAACCTCAGTAGTTTCTCCACTCTCACTTCGTTTCCGTTTTGCCTCTAAAAGGTTCTTCATAGCCTGAATCTTAGCACGTAACGTCGCTTCCTCCATCTCAATAATACGTTCACTTTGTTCTTGAATTGCTCAGTACTTGACTGCTCTATGTCATAAAAAAGAGCTACTATACAATAATCAAATGGAATAGGATGCTTTCATTAAGTACGATCATAAGGGTAAATTGGGTTACACAACAACGACAACGTGAATCATGGCAGCGAAGGATATCACACGTGACTTTGTAGGCATTACGGTGCTCTTTGAGACAGGTCAATACGCACGACCACAGACCCATCGACCACTATCTCGTGATGCACGTTTAGCTCAGCAAATTTCGGATCAATTGCGACAGCAGGAGATGTGTCTACGTGAGTTACAGGAACTTGTCAGCAAGAAATCCATCATTGGCGATGATCCGAGTGCACAGATTGCGACATTGACGGATGTGCTCAAGAAAGAATTGGGACTTGTGGAACGCAATATTCAAATGTTTCAACAGACGGTCAATGCACAAAAAGGTCGTCATCAGCAGCATCATCAGGCGCATTTTATAATTGTGTGTCAGTCACTCAAGTCGCGTTGTGCCAAGAGTGTCAAAGCGTTTCATGTATGTGGTACTTGTTGTTGATGGATGAATGAATAATGAATTGATACTTATTAGTGTCTCGAATTACTATAGCAAGCACTTCAGCAACATACTGTAGCTATTCGGGAACGTAGCTCAAGACGTAGCAAGTTTTCGCATGGAGGTGGCAACCCTATGGTGCATATCAACGCTCCACTTTTCTCACAAACAGGTTCTTCAGGAGTATCTGGACATCAGGTAATGCCTACGAGCAATGGTGACTCCTTGCAACCGCTACGGAATCAACCGCCTCGGCAATCTGCTACTGGAAGTGGATTTCCAGCACCGCCTGTGCCCACACTGACAAAAACTGGTATTGCTGTGATGGGACAGACGACTCTAGTGGTGTTTGCAGTTATCTTACTAACATGTGCTATGTATTTCGCTGCTGTGGTTACAGGTGCAGCTCCGGCGTTGAGTCCACCAGGTCCAGGACCAAGTCTTCGTCGCCGTGCTAACCTCGGAGCGAGTCCATTTATGCAGCAGCGCATAACCCAACCGGGAAATGCTGCTGGAATGCAACAACAGCAGTATCGTCCTCGCGAAGACGCTCAAATGAGGTACAATAATGCAGCACAGGTGGAGAGCACCATTGTGGAGGTGCGCTGCAGTTTTGGTAAGCAGACATATGTTGCAATTGAAAATTAAGTGTGCTGTACATGTCCGTAGATCACAGGCATGTACACTCGAATGGCGACCATGGTTGCTGAGCAAGGAGAGATCATTTCACGTATTGATGACGACATGAACGTAGCGTACGTGACTTCAAAATTTGAATTGTTGTGGTGTATCACTTGCTGACTTGTTGATGCTTTTCCTCTCAGGCAAGTTAACGTGGAAGCAGCACATGGTGAACTGCTAAAGCTGTTCAACATGGTTCAGGGCAACCGGTCTCTGATCCTAAAGATCTTTTTGGTGCTAATCCTTGTCATTTTCCTCTTTGTCGTCGTATTTTAGCACATTCATAGTACATTAAATAGAGTTTGGCTTTGAGTGACACGATAAAGTAACAATGAAAGTGTCGTCATCTGTTCAAAACTATAACGATCGGTACTGCCAAATACGTGCCGGTTACTCCAACGCGGATAGTGTTGCCGTTATCATGTCCTGCCATGATACGCATATCACGTTAGTCATGTACGCCCAAGCCATCGACAAAATTTGGTGTTGACGCTACAACAGAGTTACAACCCCTGTGTCTGGAGCAAAAGAACGATAGCTGCCGGTCACCTCAAAAGTTAAGAATGCCAATAATGGCACTTTCTGACTGCAACACCACCGACAAATAATCGCAGACTTGCGAGGACATCACAGCTTTTTTGATGGTGATGGTAAGGGTGCTAGCACCCTAGTAAGCACCCAAGCACCCCTGGATAAGACAAAATCCATTCTCTCTGGATCAGTCTTCGATTATTATCACTATATTCCAAGCGTGGGATCATGATTGAAGTCTACAACCTTGTTAACACGGTCTGCCGTTCAAAAGTAGTTTAGCGCCCATGTATGACAGCCTGGTTCTGCTTATGGTATAAAGCCAAAAGCTTCTTTCAGTTGGAGCCGGGAATGGGGTGGAATCATCTCATCTGGGAACGGAACACTAGCGTGACTAGCGAGAGTTGAAAGGGATGTTATGCTGGAACGCTCAAGCGCTGCAGGATCCCATACTCTCAAAAAGAACAATAAATTTGCCAACGTCTGTGCCACTTGAAACGATGAACGCGGCTGCTTCGATGACGTGACTGCACGCAATGAAACCACGCGGTATTAGATGTTGAGCATACATGATACATAACACACAGCGCGCACCAGATTTGACTAGCGAATCAAAAAAGGCAACACCAGGAAAAACGGATGCGCCGCACGAGATTGAGTCCATATTTTTCGAAGCAATCTCGATAGCTCGCTCGACCTAATCATTAAAATGACGACAAACGAGTTAGGTAATGGGCCAAGGTCACAGGAATACCAATATGCGTCAAAATTCACATGTACACCTGTCCAAGGTCCAAAAGGGTGTGTATAAGCGGACCATTCTCCTTCAACCGACAGTACATGTCCAACCCCACTTGCATCAGAGCTGGATAGATCTTCCCGTTCCGAACCATCAACTCTGCAAGCTCCACCGAATCGGCAAGCACATGGTAGTGCAAGAACTGGTAAAGCTCGTTCGGCTTTCCTGCAGCTAGAAAGCACTCGGCGAGCGCGATATATCTGATAAAATCTCTTAGCAGCACGAAAGCAGAATCGACTCATACTTCACTTTCAATAAGGCATAAATACTCACGTAATGTTCTCCACTTGCACCTTACTCTCTTGCAAATTCTTAATGTACTCGATTATATAGACGCTCAAGTTGTAGTTTGCACTGAGCTAAAGAAGGTCAAGAATGTCAAAAAACTTGATCCGAATACAGCAATACTTGAACGTATATGGACGTACATTCGTGTCTTCAAGTATGCTCTTCCACACGTGATGGTAAAAATCTGACTGTTGAATCAGCATGAAGCCTTTGGCATTGCGAGCAGTTGGTCTCGCTCTCAAAGAGTACTTGTCTGTACGTTGATCCAAACTAGTACTATTATTCGAGTGCACGAAGAGCGAGTCACTCAAAGATTCAACACCTGCAGCATTCTACAGTTATAACGAGCAAGTTAGTTGCTATCGTAACCGGCAGTCAACCAAACAAAGCCAGTACCGCATCATGTCGCTGGTTGCCATGCATGGTCTGAACAGTAGTCAGCAATTGCACAATTGCAGACAAAGATGATTGCTGCTCCACAATATGGTTTCGTACTAGCTTCAAAACCAAGACCATTGCAGATTCTTGGTCCTCTCGACGCAGCAGAAACGGCAGGATCTCACGATGGCGTGCGCAAGTTTTACATACTTCGGCCAAATTCAATTGCAATTTCCGAATTTCAACTTGTTCGAGTCCGTTTACTGAACATGATCGCTGTACAAAATTAGAGGCATGAAATTGCCATCGGAAAAAGCTTGGAACAATGGCGTTAGCTTTCGTTGTATTCGTCTTCTCGACACTTGCTTCCGACATCGCACGCTGAAGCCGTCGCGCTGACCTTCGACTTGCTAGCTGAGATGCTGGCGATGATTCAAATGATGGAGAAGGAACAAGTGCATATTCATCGCAACTGCTATGCAGGTCTTGATCGTCCATGCTAAGTGCGTGACGAATAGTACAAGGTAATTTTGGAGAGCTCAGTATCGCATCGTCAAAAGCTTCTTGGTCATTGTCACTAACAATCGTTAGAACATCAGAAGTAACTTTCTTGATAGTGTCGACACTTTTTGCTGCTGAAGCCGTCTTCCTCTCAGAAGGAGGGCAATTAGGTGGCCATAATGAAATTGGCAACGGCGCCGAAAACGGATCACTGCTACTCGCGTCACACTTTATATCAAAGAACAGGCTAACATTAAAATTCAGGCTGTGGCAGACGAGCAGGTTGTCAACAACGGAATACTCGAGAGCCGTCCGAAGTGGCAGCATAAGATTCAACGACCGCACGCATGTCACCTTAGTCCGTCCTACCAAGTATAACAGCAACTTTGTAGAGCTTGTGTCGCTATAGATTGCGTACACATCGCCATACAACGTAACTAAGTGCAGATCATGTTTGCCTACCGACGTGGAAAACACCAACTTGGGCAGTGTCTCCACGTTTGGTCCGTGCAACAAAAACGACACAATCTCATTCGCTCTCGAGCCAGAGCTTATAAGCAACACTCCATTTGAGGCTTCATACCAGAATTCATGGATATAGAGACCTATAATCTTGTTCAATACACAATTGCGACGTTTACTGCTCACGCGGTACTGTTCTAGTCCCATTCTCGTAACTAGAAACAAATCCTGAGAGCTTGAAGACTTGGTAGAGTGTCGATTCCATATAACACCTCTATGCAGGATTCTATTACCAGCCTTTGATCTGCATAACACCCAATAGGACGCTCTTGTAGCACGATGTAGCACTTGTACTTCAATGTCACTGCGTTGGATAGCAAGAAACTGCTTATCCACTGACACTTGCAGCAACATAATCGGCGTTAGATTACGTTGCCGCACGACTTCTTGATTCATGGTGCTTGTTTCGGGTTCATTAAAGTCATAGAGCGGTAGAATATTCTCCAGCCAAGAAGTGGTGGATGTTGCAGGATATAATGATGAATCTAAAGGTAAAAGCTTAAGGAGAGAAGAAGAAGAAGAAGAAGAGGAAGACAATAGTAATACACTCTGGTGTGTTGCATCATACCACGTACGATGAGTGTTGCTCGTGTAACTAACGCCACTAGAGGAAAGATACAAGTGACCGTCACTCATTGCTCAGGTTCAATTTAACTGGTCGGTAGCAGAAGCCATTGACTTTCAATAAGGGCTAGGGTTTAGCTTATATAGTTGTCATAAACACGACGACTCAGATCTGAGACAATCAGATGTCACGAAATCGGTCAAGTATTATTTCTTTTGGACCAATGGCTACAGTACTAGGAACGAATGAGACTGCGAGCGACACCTGGAGCGGCATATTAACCGATGCCGTGGTGAGATGTGGACGTGATAGTGAGCGGAAACTCTACTGTGCGTCATATTAGCACTCCTTGTAGGAAATTTGTGTGAATTGTAGTTACACTAACGGCACGTAACTTGATGGATTTGACGTATTTAGTGTATGGTATTAGCTCAAATCGTTGCGCCAAATGCCAAGCAAAACTTCAATCTGGCAACAATACATGTGGTAGCTGCAATTACACACACAAAATAATATGTACGTTGTCAATTGAGAGGGTGTAAGGCAAGAGCAATCGAGCGAGGTGCGACTGACTGGGTCTTTTGTGTTACAGGCAAATGCACACGCTGTAGTCAAGAAAACAACCCCGTCATGTGGTGTGCAGAGTGTGACGCTTATTTTTGTGCAACGTGTCACAAGAAGCCGCACGTGTTAATGCTGGGGAGCGTTAAACCGCACCATTGTTTTCCTATTGACGGCGCGAGTGGAAAGCATTTCGTGGAAGCTGCGTGGTCGGAAGAGTTTATAGCGATGATGGTGACGACGTATCAACTTCGTCTTAGTGAGAAAACAAAGAAGCAGGCGGACGAGATGGAAGCCAAGGTGCCAACGCAAGTTACTGGGCAGCTGGCAGTATCGGCCGTTAATGAAGCTGCAGAATCCTCAGCAACAGCCACGACCTTGTTGGAGCAGCCACAGAATGCTGCAGAAAGTTCATCAGCTACTGTTGCGGTAGATAATAGTGATGCTGCTGAAGTTTCACTGGCTTGTGCATCAGCTGTACCTCAATTGTCGGACTCGATACCAAACATGCAGGAGCAGCCGCGAAAACGGCAATTTTCAGACTCAGATGATACGTATGATAGGCTTCAAAAATCGGTTTGCGCTACCAAGCCCTCACATTCGGGTGGACGAGCTGCTGTAACATCAACGCCAACACAAGCATCAGCACTAGCCGATGGAATGACTTTGTATGATCGCGTTAAAGAAATGCACGATCTACGAGTGAGAGCTGCACAGCCTAACGCACCAGAAGCTCGATCGTCAAAAGTAAGTTTGAGTCGGCTGTCTCAAAAAGAAGAGCAATTACAAGAGCAAGATGAACGCGCAAAGCAAAAACCCGATCCTGCGGTTCAGCAGCAACAGCAGCAAGCACAGGTAAAAGCTGAACAGTTGAAGAACGAACAACAGCGCCTGAATCATTTAAGACACTTAAACATCCAGAAACAGGAAGAAAGGCAACGACTAAAGGTTGCACAGCAAGAGCAAGAGAAGCAGCGGAAGGAAGAGCTTCGGCTAAAGGCTACACAGAAAGAGCTAGAGAGGCAACGGTGGATAGTAGAACAGAAGAAACGACAGGATCAACGACCGCAAGCGAATCAGTGGCGAGAAGATAAACGCAAACAAAGTGAATTACAGCAGCAACAGGAACATCAATTGCTGGAAGAGCGAATGCGGCATGAACAGATTATGCTTCAGCAGGACGAGGCTCGCTCATTGATACGTGAAGGTGATCGATTCGCTAGTCATGCTCAGTATATGCTTCATGTTCAACCAAGCTATACCTCCATAGCTTCATCGGACATTTCGGCACCGATGCCAGTTGCCGCCATAGCGCCGTTGAGCGTTTCTGTCATGATGCCTTCAGACGCCCGCTTCACGCAAGTTCAGTCTCCAGCTAGCGGTTCTCCTCATGCCTCGCGTTTTGGCTCGGACGTTTCGTCCCCCCCAACAAAACTATCCGCTTCCATCGAATCGTGTTGATTCCGCTGCAAATGCGTTTTCACCGATTGGCAATGGCCATGTTTATCAGGAGCACACAGCAGTACCAGTGTCGAGGTTTGAGACGATTTCACAGAACCACGACGGGAATTGTCATCTTGTCGTAAGGAATTCCAATCCGAATCCTCAACAACAGCCGCAGCTGCAGTCAGATTATCCGGATGCAATGGTTTTGCATCGACATGTGACAGAAGGAGACTTAAGTCCTAGTATGTCTGGCGAAGACGATGAGCTACGTGCGATCTGGGTGAGCGATTACGACAATGTGAATGCGTTGGTCATGCAATTGGATATGGAGATCACGAAGCGGGCAGAAGAAGGACACTCATTTGTGCACATGTCAAACAGCATTACAATCCCCGAACAGTTGAAGCTGCAGCTCAACAAACTTTGTGCTCAGCGGGACACAGCAATAAAGAAGAGGTTCAATTCACTCGCTCGTGTATTGATCTTCTCCAATGCGGTGCGCTCGTTCGCACAGCAACACGAACACAGCAACATTTGGAACGACGTCCCGGAGGTTCTGAAGGCATCGCACAAAAAGTGTGCAGAACTAGCCGTCAGTATTCGCGTGTTGGAACGACAAGCGCAAAAGTTACGCGAAGGGATCAACGAGGCTGTATCGAACGGGGATCCAATGCAGATGCAACATGTGGTACATCTGAGTGCTCATATTGCCGACTTGGAGAGGAAGATCCGCACTTCGAACGGTGAACGCGACAAGCAGTTCATTTTCATGTTTCAGTTCAGCAGCAAACTGAGAAATATGGTACGCGCCGAGTGGGCAGCTACAGGAGGAGGAGGTTATCAATCAAAGCAATAAGCAATTGCTTTAATTTCGTAGACCTATGCAATGAGATTCAAAGTGACTATCAGACAGTGTCTCTTACTCTCGTTTGTTGACGTTCATTGTTCATAGATAGCCCTATGAAGTACACTCAGTCCATCATGTACTCAGCCGATATCTTTCTATATCTAAGCTTCAAAACGTAATGGAACTAGACCAAAGACTCTGTCACAAACAACTTATTTTACTTCAAAGAATGTCTTTCATCTCCAGTTCCTATTGCTAGCTTTCTAATGAGTATTTTCTTGTATAAAGGGGTGATGTTGAAAAACATCAGAGAATCAAAACCAAACAACTTCTTAAGAAGCTATCTCGTATTGGTGGAAACGACCATGAGCACACTCCAAATGAACACGTAGCAAATTGTGCACTTAGTAGTCCTGTGACGCTGAAGATTTGCCCTTCTTACCAGCTGAAGCTGATTTCTTGGGCAATAGTACTGAGTGAATGTTAGGCATTACACCACCTGAAGCAATCGTTACATCGCCTAGTAGTTTGTTGAGCTCTTCGTCATTGCGCACAGCCATTTGAATGTGACGTGGAATGATACGCGTCTTCTTGTGGTCACGTGCAGCATTACCAGCAAGCTCAAGAATTTCAGCACACAAGTATTCAAGCACAGCAGCCATGTAGACAGGAGCACCACTGCCCGTACGTTGAGCATAACGACCCTTGCGAAGATAACGTGCAACACGACCAACAGGAAACTGAAGACCAGCCTTTGCAGAACGCGTACTGCTCTTTCCAGTCTTCTTACCACGTCCACCAGTAGCAGCCTTTCCTTTTCCAGACATGATTCTTAGTATGTAGTAAGTAGTTAATGCGTTGAGTATTTGATCAATCGACTATGGAGCAAATTCGAAAATGAGCCGAATCAAGCAGACGCTTGCATGACCTCTTCTTCTTCTTCGTCTTCTTGGCGCGTTATGACTGCTATTGATTTTAGAGCGTAACTGTTCCCGCGTTTAAATTCCACCAATCCAAATACACGAAAACAAAGCTCCATCAATCATATTGCTTTAACTGTTTATCATCCAATGTGATTACACTTTACTATTCGCCTGTGACTTCGCTTTTTCAGATAGTGACGAAGAAGGTGGCTAATATCGTCAAGCTTAATATCTTGCAGAACAATAGGTGTGGTAAAAATGTTGTTTCCAGCATTCACATTGCAATTCTCATACACTTGATCAAGTGATCCTGGCATCTCAAACTCTTCATCATGTCTGGAAAAGGAAAAGCTGCTACTGGAGGACGTGGTAAGAAAGAAAAAGGCAGCACACGCTCATCAAAAGCTGGTCTGCAATTTCCTGTCGGTCGTGTTGCTCGATACTTGAAGAAGGGCCGCTATGCTCAGCGCGTCGGTGGTGGTGCTCCCGTCTACATGGCTGCTGTGCTTGAATACTTGTGTGCTGAAATTCTTGAGCTTGCTGGTAATGCTGCACGTGACCACAAGAAGACGCGTATCATTCCACGTCACATTCAAATGGCTGTGCGCAATGACGAAGAGCTCAACAAACTACTAGGCGATGTAACGATTGCTTCAGGTGGTGTAATGCCTAACATTCACTCAGTACTATTGCCCAAGAAATCAGCTTCAGCTGGTAAGAAGGGCAAATCTTCAGCGTCACAGGACTACTAAGCGTGCAATTACGCAAATCATAAAGCGACGAACAGTGATCATGTGCTCATCAGCGAGTATATGACCAGATGTCCATGCAAATCTTCTGCAGTTGGTGACTGCTGTCTAATGTAGCAAGTATTGTTGCTCGCTGTACTTAATTCTCTGATGTTTTTCAACATCACCCGTTTGTAAAAGAAATTACAATCCATGTAGCAATCTGTCACTGATGGTGGACTAGAATCGAGTAGGATAGCACCACAACTCTTGTATCAGGTCGGATTGAGCGTCGTGTTAGACCATGAGTGGCTCCAACTTCCCATCTTCTGCTCTCTCACGCTAGCTGTTTGTCCCGACGGCGTAAGAGTTTGGTCTGGTGCACGACAGGATCATCTAGCAGTGCTGAATGTGTTGATGTATACACAACCCGTGTCTTGAGTAACAAGATCTAAATCTCATTTCTGATGCCACGGTTTGAGCGGGGCCACGAAACGAAAAGGTACTTTCCGGTCGGGCACATAACCATGCTCATCTTCGTCCTCATCAAATTTAAGGATTACATATGGAGCGCCCTGACAACAAGAATCATAAGTTTGTGTTAGTATGGTTCAATAGTCACACTTTCATACTCATGTAGCTTAATCAACCCTCGGATTTGGCACACGAATGGTGCTGCGAAAGAAACTGGTTGTGTTGGGATACATGGCCATGACGCGTTCGTTCACTGCATAATGAATCCACTCTCCTTCAGAAAGCGAGTCACCTGGTAGTTCCACCACCTGCTGCCACGGCACAATGTAATGTCTTCTTGCTGCATCTGCATCGTCGTCATCGTCACCAGAGTCGACGTCTTCCACCTCATATGTGTTCGAGTCAGCGTTAAACTCCACAACACGTGCCATAATCCACAGTTCATGACTCCGAGCCACTTTAGCAGCAACATGGCACCCTACAGCAAGCACATCTTCTTTTCTCGGCACCATAATGCCAACGTAGCCATTACTTTCACTTGCTGCTGCAGCCATCGAGGAGCTCCCTACTCTAGGACGAGTGTAAGTTCGAATGTAAAGATTAACTTCTTCCTTCACTTCTGCCTCCTTTTGCTTGGCTATTCCCAGCCCAATTATTCCACGGCTGTAGTCTCTTTCTACACGCTCAATGCAGGAAGTCAATTGCCGTCGCTGCTTTGCTAGTAGACGGCAAGCGAGAGCTAACCAATGCTGAAGCTGACGTGCCCACTTCTTTTTGGTCGCCTCATCACCCTCGGCACTTCCACATCGCAACAACTTTTCATGCAAGACGTTAATTTTATTCGCAATCATGTCCATGCCATTATCCAGCAATTGTGAGATCACAAAGGCATCTAACGCGTCCTGCGACGCTGGCACACTCTTCCTGCTGGTGCTCTTTGTCATTGTAAGAAGTCGTTCAAGTTGCTGCAACTAGTAAAATAGTAACTACTAATTGTTAAGATTACTATTTTTTCAAATGTAGTAATGCATGTGTGTATTATTTTACACAAAAGTCCTCTTTTGTAATTTATCATTTGATTGCAATTTTTCAACAATTTGTCTCATCATTACAATTCGATATCGTTCAAGTACGACGAGCTTAGTAATTATAATAATCAAGATTACTATTTATATCAATTAATTTATCAGACAATGGTCATCAGATTAGAAGACTCAATAGTCGCTGTCTCTGCGCCTTCTCCAGGACCACATGCGAATCTTTACGTGTGCCAGGCCGTATTCGAATCCAGAAGATACTTTGTATACGCAATTGACTCTCTTCTCGTTATCTTGGTGGAAGCTCTTCTCGTCTCGACTACGTCAACAGCTGCAGTCCATGACCAAGCACGATGTGCACCTAAATTCGAGCTATGGCAAGTCTGGAACGCCCAAGATCCAATTAAATGCGTACGATATAATACAAGTAAGAAGGCAGCACGTGGTGCTCTTGCTGTCTGTATTGAAGAAGGCCGTGGTGTGCTGCTGATGCCCATTAGTGCTACGTCTAGTCAGGCAGCAGCTGTCATAGCGACATCAAGAGCTTCGTCGAACCTGGAAGACAATGAGAACATACAGCACTTTGTAGCGTTAGATAAGAAGTTGGTACCTAGTCTTGACGATGTGAAAGCTCATTTGCATCTTCACTTGCCTCGATGGGTCGAGTCTGTGCGCTGGACGTGTGAAGATCATATGCTAAATCGTTTAGAGTGGGTCGAAAACAGAGACGATCTACTTCTGCTTGGAGCTGGACAAAAGCTGTTTATTTGGAAGCTAGTGGATGACTCTGTCCAGGTTTCTCTACAACGCACAGTGATGTTGTCACGAGAGGGGGATGTTTCGGTTGTACCATTGTGTTACTTTGATGTGGCTTCAAGTGGCCGTTTTGTGGCGACGGCTGGTAAACATGATCGAATTGTCAAGGTGTGGGATTTACAAGACATGACGCCGTATGAAGGCACACCAATGTCATTGTATTTGGCACATACCCGTGCGATTGTATGCATGGCGTGGTCAAAGGAGACAAATGTTTATAACGCTAGATCATCTGTAGCTACTACTACAGGTGCTTGTGAAATGCTTTTTACCCTAGACCGGTCTGGAAATATCTCGATCTGGAAAGAAAACGTCGCTTTACTGCGGTCGTTTGTGTTATGGAAGCGATTCGCTGCCGCGGACTATTGCAGCTCCCCTTTTGGTGAGGAAAATGATGAGAGCGTAGAGATTCACATGCGTGCATTTGGTCTGCTTGATCATTACTGGGCTCAAGAGGCACCAAAACCAATGTCATCGATAGATGAGGCTTTACTGAGTGAAAGTACTGTGATGGATGCACTTTGTCTATTCCATTATGGTTATGGTTCGCTGAACGAAGCGCGCCGCAATGAGTTGGTTAGTCAGCGAATGGACCGCACCACGCACATGAACACTACGTTTCTTCGGGATCGAAGCGGTACCGTGGCAGACACTCATGTAGGAGAAGCATTCATTTGCGGAAATGTAGCGCTCGAGCAAACTTTTGGAGTGCATTTAATTTATGGTGTCCTAAGCAATGGTCACTTTTGCATCTTTCGCGGGGCTTCCATTCCGTTTACGGTGCGTCTAACTTCCTGCTAAGATGAAATGGGACACTGACTGGCTGTTGTACACATCGTTTGATGAGAGCAGGGTGCTTCGCCCAGACTATCTCTTCTTCTTTGTTACACCGGCCTTCAGGAGAAGCTCCTTGATGCACATATCTATAGTGTCATCTCGTCTGATTACCAAGGTGAGCATACGAGAACTCCTGTAGCTTTAGACACGTGCGCTTTCTCTTATAGCTGATGATGTGTATATGTACGGCAGACCAAGCAAGCGGCTCGATGGTTTTCTTTATTGAACTGTTGTTTCAGCAGGAAATTTCTGAAAGCTACTTGCAGTGTGCAAGGTTAAAGCTTCAAGCCGAAAACGCCTCGGTAGGAACTTGCCAGGGTTCTATGTTTTATACCGTTCTAAGCTGCAAAACCTCAGTCATATGCAGCAGTATGATGAATGCCGCAAAGGAAGCAGACGATCAAGATACTTCATTTATAGTTGCAAATATGGCACCACACTGCGAATCAGGCGGGTATGCGAACTCAAGTAGATCTGCTGTGAAGCTTGTTGCTACAAATATAGGTGGCAGTTTAAACGTTTTTCGAGCAAGTGAATCGTTGCGCAAGCTTGAGATTGCTTTTCGATCGAAAATTGAACACGCTGTTGGCCCTGTCACACACACAGCATCGTATGAGGAACAGTCCGTGCTCTATTTAATTATTGACGGGAGGTTGCACGTTGCAGCTGTGGCGCCTTGCGACACGCACCAAGTAGAAAAGGTCACTACAGGCTCATCTGCAATACCAGCAGGACGTCAAAGTGATTCCTGGCTTTTTGATGCGGAGGATGATGTTTTGGCGCTGTCCATGTGTTATATGGATGGAAGCAAAGATTTTGAAGTGCTGGATGAGTTGATTTCTATTGCAATTCCGGAATCTGTCAAGATCAAGTGGTCCAACAGCACCATATGCTTTGCTGAGTCAGCGACGAGCAAACCCGCGAAGGATTACAGTATGGTTGTTGGCATGCACAAAGGTGGAACGAAGTTGACTGTGTGGGTTTTCTCGTTTGAGATTACAGTCTTGGAATCGCCTGCTTCTTCTGTCCAGCTGTTTTGTAAGACCACGGTTGACCTCCCTGATGCAGATTTGTTGGGTATTGCCACTGTCCCGCTATTGAATCCATTTGAGCTTACTCTTGCCAGCTTTGATGCGCATTTACAGCTGACGTTCTGGACATTTGCAGACCTTGATGATTTGCTTGAAATGACGCCTGCTCATCGGGTTGATGTTGGTGAGTTGATAAGATCATCCGGCAGGGCACAAAATCCACATACCGAGGTTCACACTACTGGACATCGACTTGTATTCAAGCACTTCAGCTTTAGCTCTTGCGGACGCACGGCTGTATTATTTGGAGGGGGTGATAGCAAATGTGAGGACCAGATTTGCTTCTTGTCTATGATAGAGAGTACGGTGGAAGGTGTTGTTGAAATTCCACACAAAGAGTTTGGTGAGGTGATTTCTTTGGAATGGATTCCGCCTGTCACCCCAGAGCGAAACTGTGACCTCGTTTTGTTATCAACTACGACCATTGCCACGCTGAAGTTTGATTATTGGCGGCCAACCAACAAATGGAGTATTGCCTGGTCTTCTAGTCGTTTTAGTGTGAGACCCAAGAACATTTTGCTCTCGAGTTATCCCTACAGTCTCCTCAGTATTGGCTTCAGCTTGGCGCATCTGAATCTTCAGGATATTGCTAGAGTCAGATCGTCGCTGCTCCAGCTCCCGCCAAAAAATCGTCCTCGTGAGCAAACCCTCGGTGCTCAGCCGTCGTCAAAGGTCTTTCCTGCCCATCACCCTGTAATACTAATGTACTTGCTAGCGCGTGGGTCGTTTGAGACTTTAGAAAAAGTTCTTGAGCATGTGAAGACAAAAGTCTTGGACCACGTAGAAATGTGCTATCTGCAAATGGCAGACGACACGGAACTACGAAGTCTTCCGTTGGTGTCATTGTCCCAGCTACTTGGAGACCCGAAGTCTACTGAAGCCAAGCGCGATGAGCGGTCAGACACCTACTTGAAAGGAAAAAGAAGTAAGAAGCCTGGAGGGATCAGTCATTGCGCAGCCTCGACGGGCTCAGCTAGAGCAAGCGATCTGTTTGCCATGGACTTTGGGGCACCGTGCCGATATGAAGCTAGCAGAGGTAGCAGTGACCGTGCAGATATGCTTTTTGCACCTTCTTCACATGATGTGCCAAAGCATAAACTGACAGCAAGCCTGAAATCGAAGCTAGAAACTAACATTTATCCAAAGTTCTTCAACGATCACAGAAGTTCCTTGACATTTATGACAACTGAAGAACTGAGGGTTTTTCTTACGATCGTCGATGGTATCAAAAAAGTTGTGAGCTGGGAACGTGACAGCAGCCGCCAAAAAGACGAAGCTGCTCTTCGTTTCTGTGCTTCTTTATTATGGCCAGCAAACTGTTCGGCAAATGTTCAACCACGTGCCGCAGACTCTGATGTGCCAGAGCAACAAAAAGTCAGCCAAACCACAGCACCTACTTCGTTCTGCCTCTGTACGGAGGGCCTGTGCTCGGAACAGGTAGTTTGGGGAGCACTTAGCGACTTCCAGTCAGAGTTACTTCATGAATGCTTCTCTGCACAGACAATGAGCTGGAAGGAGATGAAGCGCCTACGGCTTCCGTTCTGGTTGAGAAGCTCAACAAAGTTAATCCAGTTTGCGGAGAAGGTGGCACAAGTCGAGTATGCAACAAACCGTGATCCATTTGGGGTCGCTGTTTTCTATGTGCTGTTGGGAAAGACAAGGCTACTGGCAAGTCTGTTCAAATTGGCTCACGAGTCGCGCATTTCTGATCTTCTGGGCAACAACTTCTCAGACATGCGTTGGAAAAACGCAGCAATTAAGAATGCTTACGTGTTAATGACAAAGCAACGATATGAGCTTGCAGCAGCGTTTTTTCTTCTTGGCGGCAAAGTCATTGAAGCTGTTTCAGTGGCTGAACAAGCGGACGAGTCGCTTGTGCTATCATGTCTCATCGCTCGAATTTCAGAAAAGTGGGATCTCGTCCAAGATGAAGCGATAGGTAGCTCCGGAGTTGCGGTTTTTTCACAGGCTTCATTGACAGACCTGGCCACTAGTTTTCATGGATCTGCTGGAACAAGCTCCGTCGTGTCAATGGACGACAAATCGTCAGAATCGAAACATGTGTGTGTCGACTTTCTCCGCACCACCGTGTATGAAAAGGCTTTACGTCGTGGTGATATATACATGTGTTTTTTAGTGAGGTACTTGCTGGGGAAGACGAGCGAAGCTATTGATATCCTGGTTGCACCACCAACTGACGACATGGAAAGTATGTTTGATGACTGTGAGAGCTCGGGTATGAAACCGATAAACATGTATTGGTCGGCGTATGCGAAAAGCCTTCTTAGTGCATGTGACCTCGTCCGGTTTCTTCGAAAGACACTTTCGCCGATGAAGTTGACACTAAAAGAAAAAGTGCTGAGGCTGAACACGTCAGCGATGCTTCGTATGCACAGTGCTGGTCTCGTAATTGCTGCGCTGCTTCACCAGCGCGACATCGCTTCTTTCGTCCAGAAAATTCGTCAGGAGTGTGTGACAAGCTCAGATGTAGCAGCATTCCTGGGCTGCCGTCAACGTGTTCTGATTGCAGCTATTGGTGGCCAAGTAGACTTTTTGTACGCCATCTTTGTGCACTTAATGCGTGAGGCAATGAAAATGCCTGCGACGTCAGCTTCCAGTACACGGTTTGACCTCGAAGAGCGCGTGAATGAAGAGATTCAATGCATCGTATGCCATGGAGGCGACTATGGTCTGCCTGGTGTACTTGAAACGAGTAAGAAGCATTTGCAACACAGAGTCCGAGCCGCGATAGTAGAGTCACTGATTTACTCCGGTCACCTTGCTGCATTGGATGTTTTGGTGGCTGGGTGGAGCCATTCAGAAAGTTCGTCGCCAATGTTTGCTTTTGCCAGCCCGCTTCCAAAATTCGTAGAGATAATTGCAGAAGGAGTTGCAACTGTGGCGTCGGGGGACCTCACGTCTCCTGCAACTGATTATTTACACACCCGAAAAGTAGACCAGACTTGCTGCAATATGCTAGCCACGACGACGCAGCTCCTGCTTTGGTTGCAGTATTTTTATCTAAAACCTCCGAAGCAGAGAGGGATGTTGCCAGACTGTGAGCTTGTACGCATAGCAGTGGCAGCAGTTCATAGTGCCATTTCCATATGCTGTCGCTACCTAAAGCACCCATGCTGTCTATATAGTGTTCTCGTCCTCATCAATCCGCACACAAACGGATTTTCATCAAACTTGGAGAAAGCGCTTAAGGGTATTACCAGAAGTGACATTTGTGTAAACTGCGCCTCAATTCGCCGTTCTACGACAGTTTCGTTGCCAAGGCGAGATGCATCGTCATTTCCGCAAGACATTCCGATGCTGTACCAAGTAGTACGAATTTTGGAACGAGCGTTGGGCGAGTTTACGGCAGCAGTGAAGACGAGCAGGCTACATCATCCGATACCTTCGCGTGACTCAACAACCCCACAGTTCTCATACTGTTCGTTTTGGGAACTGGTTCTAATGATGGCAGCTGACGCCATGCCTGCTCACCTTTTGAACATCGGTGGAGAAGGTGTTGCTTCCACCTTGAATGCGTCCAAAAAGCTCGTTGAGGCTTGGACGAACTACAGCAACCGTCTTGCTAGTTTCGCTCTGAAGCATCTGCTGTGCGATTTAGCTGGACCATTTTTCAGTCCATCATCGATTGTGCAGCCCACAAGTCGAGATACAACTGTCGCAGAATCACCACAACGGTCTTCCTCACAAGCGCAAAGTGGTGCTCCTGGCAGTCCTCGTGCATGCATTCCGGATGTTTCTGGATCTCCTCCATCGCCGCTAAATGTCAGTCGAAATAGTCGCCGATTGCTGAAATGTGAATGCGACCACTGCCCATGGCTTCTTCTAGTGGAACTTTTTACTGATCGGGATAAGCTTCTGCTACGCCTGAATGCACAAATGGAATACTGCAGTGAGAAGATTAATGCGGAAGTTTGGTGGGGTCGACTGCCTGAACCTGCTGTACGAAAGGCTGGTCTAGCGCGCTCCCAGAAGTCACACATGTCGACTGCCGCGGACAACGGACTTACATTATCGCGCGCCATAAACGTTACAGACCAACCCAAACGATGCACGATGCCAACGGCCACTGCTACTGCTGTGAATGTGCAATGTGTGTACCGTAGCGAGACCTCCATCAAATCAATGTGCGTCAATCGTGCTGCTGGTGGCGATACTGAAATGAGTGTGTGCACCGGCAAAGGCATTTTTCGCGTTAGTTCCATGGACTATGTCGATGGCTGTCGTTTCCAGTTCAAAGGAATGTACGCTGGACCACATAACTCTGCATTCTTTCCACCTGACTCAACTCTATCTTCACCTATAAAGGATAGTCAAACTCCAGATGCTATGCTGAGCGGTAACTTTGGAAGCGGTCGTCAACAAATCTTGTCCCCGTCTTTGACTATGTGCAGGGATAACTCTCGTTCACCCCTACGAAACCCAGTTCATCACCTTGCATCCCCGTCCGAGATGAAGGTGGCAAGCTTCAAGCCAACAGCCGTGACCGCTCATCCCTTTTTGCCGCTCTTCGTCTCTGGAAACCACAAGGGACGTGTGCACCTATGGTCATATGACCGACTCAGTGCGCTTTGCGCCTTCCAGAGCAAAGACGTTGCGGTGGTAGGCAATGTCCATGGCCGGACATCATCTCTTTGTCCGTTGCACGTAGTTCTAATTTGTCGTTGCTGTGTTTGACTCACGCAGCCTTATCCAGCAAGCCCGTCGATGTTGTCTGACTGGAGAAGTATCAAGGCACTCGAGTTCGACAATCTCGGCCAGCAGGTATGTGTCGAACAGCTACGTTAAAGGCTATAGTCAAAAAAGCTTCGTTGTTGATGTCGTGGTATTCTGCTTTGATCGATATAGCTTGGTGCTGTGGATGCAGGGGGGACATTTGTTCTTGTGGAAGTTTTCCGAGCTGGATCGAGTTCCATATTACCGCGAGATGGCGGCAAGTTCCGAGATACCCGTTTCACACTAATAATTAGCGCCCGTTGCTAATAAGATTACTTTGGTGTGTTAGTGTCATGATAAAGGCGCAAAGGGACTCACATTTCTCAACTCCAGCAGCACTATTGCCACTGCTGGACTATCGTCTGAGTATGTTGTTGTTTGATCACTTGTGAGGCGTTACAAAGCTGATAGTTTAGCATGAATGTACGCAGGAAGAGAAATGTATGCGTGTGGGATACACTACTGCCGACTCCAACAGCTCTCGTTGCAGCACCTACATGCCACCCAGCTGGTGCGACCTCAGTGGCGTTCTCGTCGACCCACCAATTGCTAATCACGGGTGGCGCAGGTGGTGCGTTGAGCATTTTTGACATGAGGCAACGGCGCGTCTTGCACGCAATCTCGAACGCGCACGAGACTCCGATCAAAGCACTTGTGTTGCACCCTAGTGGTAGCTGCGTGCTTTCTGGATCTGCAAGTGGTGACGTCAAAATCTGGGCGCTGCCTCTTTTTCGGGAAGTTGCTTTCCTAAGCAAGGTGCACGTCAAGCCTTCGTTCCTCGGCGACGCGGCAACAAATCTTTTGGGCGATACCGCGTCGAACGTGGCGATTAATGTGGTACGTACACCCCTCAGCGTAGCGAAAATGCGTTCATAGCGTTTACTATGCTGAATGCCTCATTGCTTGCTATCGCAGACGAACTCTTCGTGGGGTGTAACGGATGCTATTGCGACGAAAGACGCGTTCTTTACAAGCGGCATGGATGGATCGGTTCAGCGTCTCAAACTGCCATCATTAGGGACGCGACTTTAGGTTACGCAACTCTGACATGTATGTGCAGCGCGTTCTTATGCGGTGCGGCACTGCTGGTGGCGATGCTGGGCTGAAGGAGTAAGGAGACAGCTGCCATTTTGCCACAGCTGTGTAACAAAAAACTAGCCGTGTGTGATCTTACAAGACTTTGAAATCCTGTGTAATGTCATCCGACGGCAGGGTGGCCAAGTAGATATTGGCAAGATTGGATGAAGCTCGTTCATGCGGTTGAAGCTGGTAGTAGTGGTCAAGCTGATCCGGAAAAAGCATCATTGTCGGAAAATTGCGAGTGGATGATTCAACTTATATTGCTTCACAAGCATCTACGTAATTGTTGTCGGAATGGAAGAAGAGCAGCACAGTCCTCAAAAGCATACCGGGTACGCGTGCATGCATGCAGGTCGAGACACGGCAAGTGAATGCTGTGCGCTAAAAAGGCTCACCCACGAGCTGCATGGCAGCCTTAACAGCGCGAACTGGACGGTGTGAGGCGATAGGATAACATCCCTTTGGATTGTGGCATCGCTGAAATAGGCCACGTCACGGTTTTTGCGCAACGGCAAAGTGCATGTATTTGACATCAGAACAAGCACAAGCAAAGGGTTGTGAAGCGTGCTATGCTAGGATCCCATTGTGCAAGGAGGAAATGATCTTGACGGTGCACCACAGCTTTCTCCATATCTGCGCAAAATTTCTGGTTCCAAGAACGTTGGGTTTGCGTGTGATATTCCTACCAGGTGGCTCCTCGGTCATTCCTTCTGCTTCTGGTTGCGCGTGAAGGCGTGGATCAAGAAGTTCAACAAAACTGAAAGTAAGTTTCCAATGTACACGGTGTCAAAGCTTGCAGCTTTATCGCCGGGTTGGTGTGCAGCGCTTTACATGCATCTTCTTAAAGCCATGCTGCAGCTAAACTGCCGCGTTTTCTTTAGCAAAATAATGTGCGATACATCCTAAATGTTGACCGATATCAACAAGAAACCTCTTCCACCATGCTATTCACCTATTCCAGTTTTGTAAGCTCTGTACCGCAGCTTTTGCTTTGACTCCGCTAGAGATGCTGTCGTTGTATCAGCTTTGCTTGACGCAGACTTATTGTGATGCTTAAAACAAAGGTAGGCATGATCATCTCCCATGCGGTCGCGCACGCAGCGATCCAACCGCGGGACATGTAGGTTCAAGACATCGTCCAGAAACGTTTCATGCATCGTCTCGATCGTGGGAAACGCCTCGAGCTCCATAGACGACAGAGCCAGCTCAACACCTGGTCGAACGGCATTCCACTGCGTCATAATTTCATCGTGGGCGCGATCTGACTTGCACAGGAATGGGCCGTATACACGCTCAAATGTGAGCGGAAGCCATTGCAATACGCTTTCACGTTTCAACTTTAGGTTCAGTACTGACGCTTTCCAAAGCACGAGGTTTGACACGCAAGATGAAAGCACAATCTTGAAGAGCGTACTAAACTTGAACACCGAATGCGAGCGCGCCACTTGCTTGGACCAGTTTTTTTCCCACGTATCAGGCGTCTTTTTCACATAGGTTGCAGCCGACGTCGTCGACGAAGCTGCGGGCGATACGGTACGAGTCAAATCGTCCACCGACAATGCGCTTAAGGAAGCCGACGCGCCCACCGTGCGGATCAGATAAAACGCTGTAAACCCCACTCCTGCTATGACACCTGCAATCTGTGCGTGCTTCCATAACGTGCGCAGGTCAAAGTACTCCATTTTGCAAGCTTCAACTAGCGTCAAATGCATCTTCAGCCTCAAAGCTGTCGCCCTCAAAAGATTTAAAACATTGTCCGTGGCACGGTCTGGTGCTCGCTTCACCTCGCGAATCACTTCACCGCGTATTCCATCAAACTCATGCTCCAGCATCTTGGGCACGTTGAACACCGTCTCTGTATTCTCTAGCGCATCAGATGCTGCTTCGCGTTTATCCTGTGGTACGTACATTGTATAGATGAACGGCAAGTCCTTGCGTCCAATGACTTTACTTAAATTCCAGCACAGTGCTCCGTAGGCCCTTGCAAAGTCATGCACTGTCTGAAAGTCGTCGACCTTGTTTAGAATCAGCAGTACTTTACTGCTCATTCCCTGCAGTGACTTGGTCAGCACATCTAGTGTTTCAAATGTCGTACCAGGTTTGTCTGGATCAAACATGACGAGAATCACATCCGCTCGATCTGCAAACCACTGAACTACTCGTTTAAAATCATACCCTCGGTCCTCGTCCGTACGATCTAATGACGCACCAGGTGGATCAATCATTCCAGGTGAATCTACAATCATAAGTCTTCCTTCATCCAATAACTGACTCCCAACTACTACTTTCAATTCCACTTGGGATACAAAGTCTGAGCCAAATAGTCGTTGTACGTCTCCAAATCCATACTGCGCATGACGCACAAGTGCTGCACCATCTAATCTTTCCTCTCTTAATCCACCAGATAGTACCGTAAACGTACAATCAGTCGGTGCACGTCCAGTCTTTTGGACACGCTGACCAAGCATATAATTAATAAAAGTGCTTTTCCCTGACGAATGATTCCCTAGGACTAATACCATGGGTAAATTTACTGGAGCAAAGGAAGGAAACAAAGTCTTGACACGAAGAGTCTCGAGACGTTCATATAATGCACTTACTTCACTCTGAATCATACGATTCACTTCCCCAGCAACGCGTACATTATTGTCCTTCATCGGCTTTAAATGATTGCAAGCACAGCGACCGTGCGAATGTCATTACTATAAGTCCCTCGTAGTAGTGACAAACCCTTGACCATTGCCAATCAATTATATTAGATACCGAACTAATTACTTTGGTTAGTAGTGACCAGTGTGTTGTGTTCTCTGTCTTTGTCTTTATGAAGCGACGCGTTGCCATTAAGCGTGGCACGAATAATCAGTCTCATAAGAAGAAGCGTGTTCTTAATGATGATGCATTTGATTGGTCGGGTAATAGTAAGGGTGACTCAAACGACGTGATTGCGTCGGATAGTGAAGGTAGTGAACATGCAAGTGTTACGAGTGGATACAAGAGCGAAGACAATGAAGAAGATAAGGAGACAGCTCAAGAAAAACGTATGAGGTTGGCAAAAATGTATTTGGGCAAGATTACGATGCAGGAGAAGAACGGGATAGAGGAGGACGAGAATGGCGGTGTCGAGGAGCTTGTAGGTGCCAGATTGCAACAAGATGCGTTGGAAGCCATGGGCAAGCTATTCAAAGAAGTAGCAGCAGAATATGTGGCATTCGAGTTTGATGCAGACTCGACCAAGTTTCTTACGGGTCACCGCTTGCCTGTGACAAGTTTGTGTTTACTAGAGGACGGCAAGACGGCTTTTTCGGCGGCTAAGGATGGATCAATTTTGCGATGGGACTTGGCTACGCAAAAGAAGACCAAGCTTGCTTTGCCAAGGGATGATGCTGCAGCAGAAAAAGCGACGACGGATAAAAAACGGTGCATCTTGGCGCTGGCTGCTAGCTCGGACGGAAAATTCCTGGCCAGTGGTGGTCGCGACAAACTTGTACGTGTATGGGATCTCGAAAAAAGTGAATTGCAGGAAAGCTTTTCGGGACATCGCGATGCTGTTTCGTCGCTGGCGTTCCGTCTTCGCTCGCACTCGCTATTCTCTGGATCGCTTGATCGCTCTATTAAACACTGGAACCTGACAGAGATGGGATACGTCGAGACGCTGTTTGGGCACCAGAGCGAAGTGAATGCACTGGATAGTCTATATAAAGAGCGTGTAGTGAGCTGTGGTCGGGATCGCAGTGTGCGTGTATGGAAGATCCCAGAAGAGACCCAGTTGGTTTTTTACGGCAACTCGGGCTCCATGGATTGCGTCAAGATGATCACGGACGAATACTACGTTACAGGTGGAGATGACGGCTCTCTATCGCTTTGGTTCAACGGCCGTAAAAAACCGGTCTGCGTTGTTTCAAACGCTCACGATGGCAAATGGGTCAGCAGCGTGGCTGTCATGCCACGCACAGATCTTGTTGCGTCTGGATCTAGCGATGGTCAGATTCGGTTGTGGCAGGCTGATTTACAAGGACGGAACCTGGTCCCTGTTGCTTCTATCCCGATGGAAGGCTTTGTGAATGCACTGTGCTTCGATCCGAAGGCTCGATTTTTGCTCGCAGGTGTGGGCCAGGAGCATCGTCTAGGACGATGGGAAAAAGTGAAGGTTAGGAATGGTGTTGCAATTATTGCTTTGCCTAGCATAGATGGTAGGGAGGAAGGAGGCGATGACGAAGAAGAGGATACTAACAGCGACGATGAGTCTTAAGAGCGAGCACGTGCGCGCTACGATCACCTCATATATAATAGCATGCTTCCTACTGAATCTACTCGTTGTGTTTGAGCGCCGTGCTGCATAGGAACCAAGATGCTGAGCCAGCCTTTGTTGCCTTTGTTGATTGATATGAGGCATCTAAGGCAAAGCTGCCTAGTCTTCTTCCCAAGCCAACCGCGTCGCCGTACGCCACTGAGAGCTGCATGAATCCGCATCGTCTGACAATCGATAGGTACGCTGCCACAATTACAAATGGGGCAAGGAGAACTTGGTGCAGTTGTCGGGGTGTGTTGTTGTAGCCTCCACGGTAACTTACTTACGGTTTCCGTAGCTTGGTGCTCTCCTCCACATTCGGGTGTATTGAGCTGCGCTTACTAGAAGCAGCTGACTCAGACTGTCATTCTTGTCTGCAATCAGTTCGGCATGCGTCTGCATTTAGTGTGAAGCCTGGCGACGACTGCGGAGCTTGTCTCGCAAGAAGTTGTCGACGTTGGGCCACCTATACCACATGAAGCAAACCAAGACTGACAGTCAGCGAAGTGTGTAGGAGGCTGGAAAAAGATGATGAATCTGAAAGAAATTAGCTTTGGGCGTTATGCTCGACGGCTATTCTCGTGGAATTAGAGCTGCTGTGTTTGAGTGCCCATGTAATTGACACGTATATGGCGTGTCAATTTCTAGCTGATCCATCCGCTGGAAGAAACCCTTCGCTAAAGTTATCTTCGTCAATTTCATTCTACATAAACATGAGAAATGACCAATAACAAGTCATGTGCTTCGTTACGCGCTTAGCTATAGCGCGTGATAGTCTAGCAGAAGCGGTCCGCACAAAGTGAGTGGGCTCCAACTTCGTCAAACTCGCGCTTAGATACCCAAAGCTGCTGGAAAGAGCCCAATGATGCTAAAATGGACCCGCCGATGAAAACGCTAAATTGTCGCTCGATTTTTGATACAGTCGTGAAGCGTACCTTGAAGGTACCAGGCACCATACGTGTGAGCTCTGCATGCAGTCGCTCGGTGACACCAGGCGTGAGACTTCCACCACCGCATAAAATAATGTTCGTCAGCATATCCCTCCGCAAGTCGGCATCACAGAGGTGCACTGCGTCGTAGAGCATGCGATGCAGTCCCTTTGCCATTACCTTTGCCGCTGCTGCAGCGTGCTGCTCATTCTTGACCACAGCACCTCCAAAGTTCTTTGGGTGCAGCAAAAACTCAGGCACCGCATACCGCTCTTTTCCCAGCAAAACAGTCTGTCCATCAGGCAATTCATATTTCTGCTCTGTAATCTCCAACGATACAGGTTCCGACGACGAAGCTTTTTGATCACTTACATCTTTGTGCTCTTCAAGTGGCGTCTCTGACATAACGCATACAGCCTCCCGCATATCTCTAAACAAATCTGCTTTAAGAAACTTATGGTAGCTGACTGGCATCGCTGGTGGCGTCGTAAGTTCCTCTGGCAATGGAATTGTCTCTAACACCCCCGTTTGCTGATTCACTTTTCTTACAAAGGTCCCTCTTGGTCTCACGGTCACTGGCCGGGGATTCTGTGTCTCTACCAAGTGCTCCAAGTACTCAGACAACTGATTGCACCCCACGGACGAGTACTGCGCTGGTCGTTCCAACGCGTACCCGTCGTACACTGGTACAACACGAGAAGCTCCTGCTCCAATCTCAGCAATTAAAGCTACCGAACGTCCAAAAGCAAACGAATCCAGCACCGCATCCTTTGCCATATAAAATGCAGGAACCTGAAAGGTCTCAAACATCATCTCCAGGTACTTCTCGCCGTCACGTGACGCCGCATTATGGAGCGCGTCATTAGCAAAACACGAGGCCGCTGAGGTGATAACTGGATGGCTCTTGGCATCCACATGAAGCCGATCAAATGCGTAGGTCCATATCTTCTCCAGAGCATCCCAATTTGCCACAGCACAAGCCTCAATAGGTCGCACAATCTCCAGATCCTTTCGATGCCATAGGTCCCCGAGCACGGTAGAGGCTCCAGACGTGTCCGTAGTACAAGGCGGTCGACGACCTACAGCACTATTTAATACCAGTTTTGGTGTATCTTCTCCAGCCAGTCCAAATTTGCTTAGCGCCGTGCCTACATCGCCCACGACGGCCTCCACATCGTCACCGCAGTACATTCCAAGCGGTTTTTGTACGATGAAACAAAAAGTGTCCAATCTATTGAAAGAAGACGTGCGGACATTTTTACATTAGGTGTTTAAATATTACATTCCCTCGTTTTGAAAGTTATTTAAATTACAGCAAGAATAAATATAATACGAATTTAAAGATTCCATTTCGATTGGAACGCCCCCCCCCCCCGCTGCAAATATTGTAAAGAGTTCTACATTTACATTAAGAATGGCAGAAGAGAGCAAACTAGATTGTGAATGGTTACCCGAAGGTACGAAAGCACTAGCTGATGGTGAATATGATGTGATTGTGCTAGGAACAGGTCTAAAGGAGTGTATTCTGAGTGGATTATTGGCCGTGAACGGTAAAAAGGTGCTGGTTGTTGACCGTAATCCGTACTATGGCGGTGAATGTGCATCACCTAATTTGACGAATCTCTACAAGAAATTTAAGCCTGATCAGGAACCACGCACTGATTTAGGTGCTGACCGTGACTATAACGTGGACTTGGTGCCCAAGTTCATCATGGCGTGTGGTAAACTAGTCAAAATGCTGTTACATACAAAAGTGACGCGTTATTTGGAGTTTAAGAACGTGGATGGAAGTTATGTCGTTAAGAATGGACGGACATACAAGGTCCCTGCTACTGGAGAAGAGGCGCTGCGCTCGTCGCTCATGGGGATGTTTGAAAAGCGCAAGTTCCGTAAGCTCATTATGTATATCTACAATTATGAGGAGAATGATCCGAAGACGTACGAAGGCATGGATCTGTTCAAACAGTCTATGAGTGAACTATTTGAAAAGTACGGAGTTGATGCCAATACACAGAGTTTCATGGGTCATGCAATGGCTCTTATGCGTGATGAATCGTATCACAAGCGTCCGGCTATCGAGACAGTGCGTGCCATTAAACTTTATGCTTATTCGCTTGAACGCTACGGCAAGTCTCCGTACATCTACCCACTCTACGGTCTGGGTGGCCTGCCGGAAAGTTTCTCGCGTCTCTGTGCTATTAACGGTGGTACGTTTATGCTAAACCGGTCGGTGGACGAGATTCTTACGGACAAAGACGGCAAGGCGTGGGGTATCAAGTGTGATGATGAAGTAGCCAAAGCCAAGCTAGTGATTGGTGATCCATCTTACTTTTCTGCTCAGAAGGTGCGCAAGACCGGCGTGGCTGTCCGCTCCATTTTCATTCTGAATCATCCCGTGCCGAATTCAAATGATGCCGAGTCGCTGCAGATCATTATTCCCGCTGCCCAGGCCAACCGCAACAACGACATTTATGTCGCTGTTGTGTCATTTGCCCACTGCGTTGCGCCACAAGGGATCTATATTGCCATAGTGAGTACGCTCGCAGAGACTTCGATGCCGTTGCAGGAGCTTGAGCCTGGTGTGAAGCTTCTAGGCCCGTATCTGGAGCGCTTTGACGCTATTACGGATATGTTTGAGCCCGTGGCAGATGGCAAAGAGGATAACTGCTTTATCAGCGCCTCGTATGACCCGACAAGCCACTTTGAGACAACATCGGAAGACGTGCTGGACCTGTACAAGCGCATCACTGGTGAAGATCTTGACATGAACATTAACGCTGATTCAACTGACGTGGACCAGTAGTGACGAGTAATTGCGATGAAGAACACATGAAGCAAAGTAGGTGGCGAAAGGCTGTTGTGATGTATGCAAATAAACAGACAGACAGACGACAATGCAACTCGAACGTGCTTGTTTGTTGTAGCCATTTTACTACATACCGTCAAATATATCACCATACTGAAACCAATACACTTTTTCTGCATGACATTTTAAAGAAACTGTAGTCAATCTATCTTTGACATATGGGAAAGCAGTGCGCAATGGCATCGGACGAGCGGTCGCTTTACGAGGCTGGCAGTGGCCGTATATTAAGCCACTTTGCAAGCCTTGTGACGCCTAATATGGTCAAGAAGAGTACGTGGCAGCAACGGTCTTGTGACGCTGCGTCTAGCACGGGGCCGTGTGTCGTTTCACAAATCAAGCAAGTCAAAGTGTTTGATGATTTTGTACTGGACAATCGAACGGAAAGTAGCAATTGGAGCAGTGATATGAGTGGTGAGACGACTAAATCATACGCCTTGAGCTTCTCACCGCCGTGTTATAGTCTCAAGAAGTCGAGAAAGGAGACAAACGTCGTGGCACCGACGTCAAGTGTTGATTGTTCGACGTTGAGAAGCTCAATGGGGACGAGCTATCGAACAGAAGATCTCGATGAAGTCATGGAAGAAGACATGTACTCGCCTGTGACATTGTCTGTGAAATTTCTCATGAGTCGAGACCCTGAGGAAGAGGAACGAGTGCTCAACTTGAAATCAGACAGAGATAAAGTGTATTTGTACAAGAAGGTAGACAGGATAAACTATGGTAACGTGAAGTAACAACGATACTAATGGATAAACTGTAATTGTAGAGATATACCGATACGTATGAACATGCAGTTGCATTGCTAAAGCATGCAGCATCACTGGAGCGTGAACGTGCGGACAAACAGTCGGATCTCGAGTATTTAAGGGCGACCGTAAAAACTCAGACACAGATCATCATTACACTGAGTGATAATCAGGTGCGTAGTATGTTGTCGTTATATTTGTATCCTTTGTCTTGGATGAGTTATTTAGCGTCTTGGTTGCTATTGACGAGAGCAGCAGTTGAGCGAACCGACAGGTTACCAACAGGAGAAAAAGATACAGGCTCTGTGTCGTGAAGTCACGGGGCTCGTAATGCAGCTAAGTCAGCGTGATTCGCTTATCAATAGCTTGCAAGAAGAACGGGATAAAGCAGCGGAAGCGATTAATGCGCTCAAGATGTCGCAGGGCCTTCGCTCGACTCGTGATAGCAAAGCGACACAGTCTATTGATGGTTTGCGTGATAAGCTTGAGGTCGCACTTCGCGAAAAGCAGGAAGCTCTGAAGAAGGAACTGCGAGTGGCAGCACAGTTAAAAGATCTGCAATTACTTTATGAGAAGTGCGAAGCTGCAAGATCAGCACTTTCCGACGGACTCGATCAAGCAGAGAAGCAGACTGCAGCGCTACATGCTCAGTGGGTTCAGGAAAAGAAAGAAATAATGACTTTGGTGCGAGAAAAAGATCAGAGGTCGGTAAAACTTGCGGCAAAGTGTGAGCAACTGCTGAAGGATAACGAAACGATGAAGGCTTCTCTCATCCGTCTGTCAGAGAACGAGAAGAAACACCATTCGACGACGCAGAGTCAAAAGCAAGTTATTGACAACTCCCTGGCGCAAATTGCACAGTTACAATCCGAACTGAGCGAATGTCGACCGCAATTGCGTGAGCTAAGCATGAAAGAGGCAAAAATAAATGCTCTGGAAAGGGATTTAACTGACTCAAAGGAGAAACTTCGACGCTGTTTGATACGTGTGGACGAGCTCGAAGAACGGCTTAAGCAAAGAGAAAAAGAAGTCCAGGCTACTCAATCACGAGTCCTGGAGCGTGCTACCATTTTGGAGCAAAGAGTATTTGATTCTGAAGCAGTTCGACGAAGTCTCCATAATAAGGTACATAACATAATTTGCGAGGCAACGGGCTTGCGTTCATATGTCATGATATTTGGTGTAACGCAGGTGATGGAACTGAAAGGGAATATTCGCGTATTCTGTCGCGTCCGGCCAGTTTTGCGGCACGAACTCGCAAGTTCGAGAGGTGAAGAGGTACTGTCTTCTTTTTACGGGTTCATGCTGTGGCTCTCGGTGAAGTACGTTTTCTGACATCTGCTATAAATGTTTAGATATTTGCGTTTCCCGACTACCGTACTGAGCGACGACAAATCGAGCTTAGCGCAAATCCGAAGTCTCACGTTGGCTACGGCCAAAATGGGTCACGGAGCGTTGTCAAAAAGTACAGTTTTGACTTTGATCTTGTGTTCAACAACAAGTGTTCGCAAGAAGACATTTATTTGGAAGTGTCCGCGCTGATTCAGTCTGCTTTGGATGGATACAATGTCTGCGTCTTTGCTTACGGTCAAACTGGGTACGTTTGTATTTGTGCTCGTATAAATAGGTTTGGTTTCCTAGCTGATCAGTATTTGGTTTGTAGGTCTGGCAAAACGTATACAATGCAGGGAAAGGAACACAGTGATGCAAAGTTGATGGAGCCGTCACCAGATACTGGAATTGTTGGTCGAGCAATTTCTCATATCTTCGCTGGCACAGATGACTTGAGGTCAAGTGGATGGAATTTTGCTACAAGCCTGGAATTGATTGAGATTTACAACGAGACTTTGCGCGACCTACTCGCGCCTGCTGAAGTAAGTAGCTTGTATTCATGCGACGTATTTGCAAGTTATTGACGCGCCAATCTGTAAATTGTGCAGTCCACCGATAAAATTGATCTTCGTCTAGACAGTGATGGCAAGGTTATTATGGTGAACTCGTGCGTCCGCAAGGTTCACAGCAGCCAAGAGGCGTGGAGCCTCCTACGAGGGGCAATGTCGAAGAGATTGACAAAGCTCACAAAAATGAATGATCGATCTTCACGCAGTCATTGTGTCATCACATTCAGGTATGCATTCATATAAAATTTGTTATCTATGGTGTACAAAAGGTGATAACGATTCACAACATTTTTTTGGCTTTTAATTCAGGTTAAGCGGAGAAAATTTGCTGACTGGGGAGCAGCGAACAGGGATAATCAATCTTGTCGACCTGGCGGTACGCTGCCTGTGCTTTTGATTATCTTTTTTCTACTTGCATGCATGTTCAGTGCTCACGAGTAATATATTGCAGGGATCCGAGCGCTTGTCAAAGTCTGGCAGCGATAGCAACAAAGAACTTCTAAAAGAGGCTACATCGATTAACAAGAGTCTTTCGGCACTAGGCAACGTAATATGTGCCCTCGCGAAAAAGGTAGGACTGATCGCTTTTGTGTCGTGGCTGCTGAAACACTCATTGCATGTATACTTTCACTACATCCGCAGTCAACACATGTCCCATTTCGTGACTCGAAGTTGACACACTTTTTGAGTTCCTCGCTCGGTGGAGATAGCAAGACGCTTATGATATGCAACTTGTCGCCGCTAGGCGATCATCGCGACGAGACGCTTAACTCACTTCGCTTTGCTAAAATGGTAAATTCTTGTGAGATTGCGTACCCGTCTACAGTATCCAGTCGATCGTAGACGCCAGCCAGTGAAATGATTAATAATGGGCTGTTATAGACAATATTTGCTCAGGGTGACAATCATCGTGCCTTACCTGTTTCAGCTCACCTTACCTACTCAACTCTTTTAGCGCAGGCGACATGGTGAGCCAAGAAAAACAGTCTGCCGTTGTTTAAACAACCCAACACATCTCTACATTTGCTTCATTACACTATCGAGTTTGAATAATATGAGCGTGCGGATGCAACATCCTCGACATATTCCTGCAAGACAAGCACAACATCATCCTCTACCTTCATCCAAGAGCATCCCAATGACGGCGACTACGAGGAAACAACAACGTTGTAACTTCACTAGCGTACCATTTCAAGGAATTCACATAGCGCTTGAGACGCATAAGGTGCAAGCTTCGGGTGATGTAAGACTTTCTTCAGATACATTTCAAGGCGTGATTTCATAGACCGCGGACGTTCCTTCCATAATATTAGCTTTCTGTCGTCATATGTTTCCAGCGGCAGAGTGCAGTCGGCACGAACTTCCTCAGGAAGCTTAACGTTCAGATACAAACACAATAACAACTGCGTTAAGGCCATCCACTACCGAGCGCTAGCACTAAACTGCTTGCTTACCTCTTCGTCTAGAGCAGCAAAGTCACTGTAAGGCCGTCGAAGTGTCCAATGGTCGTCGTCCGTCTGCACAACAACCTTAAACGAGACAAACTGCTTGTTGCACCAGATAAAAAGACGTGGTCGCTGGAATTATGATGTCAAGCATCGCGTTCTTTTTTAACACTCTCGACAGAAGATGGCTACATGATCAACAGTTAGCTCTCATCTTATGATACAAGCGGCAACAGCTACAGCTAATTACGCACACATGTTGCAAGGTCCCGATCCTTAAAATAACCCTAAGGCGAGGTAGGTGGCTGGTGGTATGTTGCGTTGAGGTAAGCTGATGGAGTGCTCGCTTTTTTCGAGAACGTGATATACTCTGGGGTGATGCTGGAAGGACATACCAACGTAAGCAATACGAGAACTGCAGAAGCAGCGTAACATACACCGCCACATAGAATGCTAGTCATGTTTGCCGTAACACGATCGTCGTCCAAAATTGATGCTTTAGCAAACGTCCCGTGCATGATGAGAAAGCAAGTAGCTTCAATGCATTTTGTAATCCAGAATAGCCGCAGATACAACGACAGAGTCAAGTCACGTCGATATTCCATCCACATAATGCTCGATGATGTTCCCTACAACAATAATTCCGACAAAACTCGACTTCAACAGCATGACAGATTAACATCATTATCCTAAACATAAACTCACCCAAACCAAAGTCTCGATCATAGTTGCAACACTCTGTTCATGTCGACCAAAGAGTCGATGATGCAACAACCATGAGCAAAAAATCTCGTCATACAGCCACCACAGGCCGTTCAGCATGAACAACATCAACGACGCGGCGAATTTACTGCAAAACTATCTGTGACACAAGGATATCAGTAGATTGCAATTCCCAGCCCTCCCATGAAGTAGCCATCACAATATGACGCACATTGGTGGGGAATGCAATCTCGGATAGATACGTCATTGGTTTTGGTGCTAGTACACGCGAGCCATAGACAATACTACCGAATAGAAACGAGACGTTCAGCACTAGCATCATCGTCTGCTCAATAGAGACGCTATGCAATTGAGATAGATGATCAGTCTCAGTGCAATCGTCTCCATCTTAACATGAGACATAGCAGAGGAGCTACGTATAGTAATGATTGACCGTGATACAAAGTAAGAAGAATCACCAGTGAGTGAAGACGGACGGAAGAGACGAATGTTGCACATCATCATGACGACAGTACGCGAAGGTAGCCATTTGGTCCATTACACGAGTACTGATTGGCTAGAAATGATTAATGATGATTGTACGAAATAAATATCGTCATATCGTTAAATGAAAAAGTATACGCTTGTCAGCAAGACAATATGTTGCGGTAAGATGGTTTTTCTTACATACTTTTCAGTAGGGCAACTTATCTCGTCGGTAAGATTAAACCTTAATCGAACTCAATGGCGCTCACGCCGCCAAGAAGCAGGTACCAAGATTAAGCAACACTTTGCAAACCAGTTCTCGGACCGCACGCGGACGACGGCCTTAACGCCCCTGAAGAACCCGATTACCGCATACGAGCTCGAACGCGCGTTCCGTCGCTTACGCAATGGACGCGCACCGTGACCGGACTCTATACCTGCCGAGTTACTCAAGTATGGATCAGAGCTACTAGCTCAACCCCTCGCCGGCATCATCAATCACGCACTCGCCACAGGAGACAACATTCACCTGGGCGACGGGATTCTTCTCGGACTTGCCAAGCCAAACAAGCCGGCTGGCCAATGCGCCAGCCTTTGACCTTCCGTCCTACTCAACAGCATCCGTAAGACAATCTCTTGAGTGGTGCTTCGCCGCATCTCCCCATGGTAGAACGATTTCTGTCCCGCAACAAAGCGGGTTCAGACCCAGTCGCAACACTGCTGATGCAGTGTGGGCCCACAGGTGGATAGTAGCACGTGCTAAGAGGTACAAAGAACGATTCCATACTCTTGGGATCGACCTCTCCCGTGCTTTCGACACCGTTAACCGCGATAAACTTCTCTCCCTGCTCGATCCACTTCTTGATGATGACGAAGTTCGACTGATCCGACTACTAACACGGGACACAATGCTCTCCCTCCGACTCGGCAATCGCCTGCTCTCACCTTTTGAGAGCAATACCGGTACTCTCAAGGTGTCTCACTGTCCCGTGTTCTTTTTGTTGTTTACCTTAAAGCAGCTTTACGAGATCTAGCCATCCAACTCGACGTACTCCACGATCTCCTCGCTGACGTGATCGTGTACGCCGACGACGCCGACTTCGTCTGCCAAAGCGCTGTAATAGCTACCCTGATCGAGACTGAAGCCCCTGTTGTTTGGCCAATTGGTCACTTCGGATGAACACGTCAAGACCGAACGCACCATCGTACATACACCGCAGCCTAAGAGCGCAGTCCAACCGGATTTCACGTACCAAGGATGAAGATTGGCGCATTACGCGCAAACTAGGTTCTCTCCTCGGCGACGCAGAAGACGTCTCTGCCCGTCGTAAGAATTTAGTGTCCGCCACGCTCCACCGTATGTGGAAAGTTTGGCTTCGGCCATCGAAGACTCGGAAACTACGCTCTTTCGCCTCTACAACTGCTACGTCTTACCGATCCTGTATACAATTGCAGGACTTGGTCCCTTACCGATTCCGTGCACACAGCCTTGAAAGTGGTCAACAGCTCCGCAAAGTGATTGGCGTACGTTATCCAGACACGATTTCCAATGCCAAGCTCTACGACCGTTTCAAGACTGAGCCACTCCGATTTCACTTGCTTCGCAGCGGATGGAGCCTTTTTGGCCCCATCCTCGGCAGACCAGCAGGCATCTCAGCCTACCGCTTCATGGAAACTTTCTTGAATCTTAGGGAGAGCGGCAAATGGAGAGGCAGACGCCGACTAACGCTACCGATCGTCCTCGATGCCGACCTTCAAAGACTTTCCGCAGGACACCGTTTCAACGTGCTCCAGGCCTGTTCTTCCTTCGCCTATGTGCTCCGGACAGCGCAGCCTGGAAGGACTTAATTGAGGCGCTTGTAGCGCACGCGCCGCTTAATGGACTCTGGCCGAGAGAAGAGAGAAACGCAGAGAATGAGAGTTAACCTGACGCATGCGGAAGTTGAGCCACTTTTTGTGGCAAGACGGCTCGCGAAACGCGTTTACATACATACATGCATGAGCTAAAGTTTATATATTGTTTCAGATGTTTGTATCTGCTGTCGCTATTGTTCGAAATGACATGTGATAAATAATACTGTTCGTATAGAAAAGGACGTAAGACATGAAGGTGACACGTGTAAGTGAAATGCAAAAAGTAAGATCTGATGAGAAGTCGAGATTCGAGAGCAAGCAGTTATGACGAAGCTATATTTACTGCTACTTTACTGGAGAACTCCAAAATGATCTAGTTCTTATGATGACGATAGTGAAATATTTGACCACCAGAAGGACGTGACAGGATGCCTATGCAGCTTGGACTTGTAGGTATAAGCTTCGTGGTGCACATTTATGCTGAACACTGTTGAGTTTCTCAGGCATGTACAGCAGGTGTTGAGCCAGTCGGAGGATATGGAGCACAAGGTGTATTCTGCTCTTGCTGTTTCTGTTGCTCTTGCTGCTCTATAAGTGTCTACCTCTTGCAGATATGTGTTGTTGAATTGACATTGCAGAGACAGCTACCACCGAAGCAGAACGTCACAATGTTGCGCGAGAGCAAACGATACCAAGATTGGGGCAAAAGCTTCTTAGGGTGATACAGATCAAAAAGCTCGACATGGGGTAAAGTGTGTGCAACATTGTGAACTCGCAGTAGACAGATAGCGTTTTGTCTAATGCCTTGAACCTCTGCGACCATTTACTTTTTCCTCTAAAGCTACAATGCGCTCCTCAAGCTCCTGAATCAATCGAGCTTCGCGATATCTTTGGGTGAGCACAATGTTCAAGGCGTTGATTGTGCTCTGCGGTAGTTGCCAGGTTGGTGTACGCTGTGCGTTGTCGGCGAAGAAATTTGTAGTAACCGGAGGTTCTTGCACCAGCGGTTGGCCAGACCAGCGCATGAACATTGCGTCCCACAGCGCAACGCGCTTTAGCAAACCAGCCAACGGCGGATTCAGGACTAGCTTCGGAACGTATGTCTGCTCGGTAAGCTGTGAGCGGAAGCCATTTGCCCAAGTCCACACGGATGGAGTCCTGTTTTCCAAGTCAGCATCGTGGCGGTGTTTTTTGCAATCAAAAAAGAATGTCCCAAAACGGCACGAATATAACGCATCAACTAGTAGGAGCAAAAGACCTTCGTTAAACCTATGAAGTGAGCAATGTCCAGACAGACCAGATCGTTAGTTATCATAGCCATGAACGCCCTCTTTGGTTGGCTTACTCGAAATAATTTGGGTAGATTCGAACTAGTTGCGAAATGCAGTCCAGGAATTGGACAAAGATCGGCGATTCCTGCGTATCCGCTTTCTCACCATGCGAATGACGGAGATGAAAAGGGTGTCCAAAAGAAAGCCATTCTTTCTCCACCAACACCTGAAATCCTTTCCAAGTTCGAAAGTATGGATCCACAAAAATTTGAGCAAGCGAAGCGATTTGACTCGTTCGATCCCAGCCATGGCTACAGTGTAACAGTACCGATTCACCTGATCGAAGTAGCGCTGCTACGTGAAGACTCGCTTTCAAAAGCTGGCGAATATAAACCAACCACTTCGTGTCTTCGATACTTCCGAGCCACCGCATATTGTCACACGAAGGCGATGCACAGAGATTGCGCAGCTTTCTCATGCTTACCATATTCCGATGGCACGATGACCGAGTATGTCAGCAGATGTTTCAATTACACAAGAGTCAATTTCAGCAGTTCTCACCTTTCTCTCATAGAATGGATATTAGGAATTTCCATAAAGCTCACTGTGCAATTTTTGTAATCAACAGAGCTCTCAACGCCATATCCTTTTGCGCGATTTGCCTGAAAATATTAGAAATTATGATCAGTGCCGTGCGCGTCTCGTAGCTCAAGTATTGACCAACAAACTAACCACTGCGCTCGACATCGGCCTGCAGTCAATAATTTGCAGTTGATCCTGCAGTAGACTCGCCGATGCGATCCCGGCGACTAAGCATTCGTCAGCGGGTGACGTAGCCTTTGACATTCCAACCTTTGGTTGGCTAGACCGACACAAAGTAGCTCTATTCACTCTATTTAGCCACGTCAGACACGGGATGCGACCAAGAGAGCGAAAGTTCATGGCATCGAGAAGCACCTATCGAATGGAGACATTAAACAAAAACTTGAACCAGAATTACCCATTTGATATATCGTACCTCATCTGTCACGCTAACTGGAACAACAAGTCGTTCGGGGTATGTGTCAATCGCACAAAAATTGTCGTTACAGCTTGTAACTCTCCAATTTTCATTTTCAAACACGCCCTGCCTCTCCCACTCATTCTGGTCGTCATAGACATCCCAGTCTAAAACGCACGGCAACAGTGGTTCTTTTTCCAGCATATTCTCTGACAATCTATTGCGATAACAACAAATGAGTGAGCCTAGCATCCATACACGCAACACAACAGCACAGATGATGACTTCACCTATGATAGAATGCAAATAAAAACTCAGTTTTGTCTGGAAACACGTACGTCTTCAACACGGAAAATATCTGCAACCACATGTCCACAAAATAACAATAAGAAACTGCCTTCTTTTGCATAAGCACACTATCACCGCGTAGCTTTGTTCGTTATCCATAACCTTTGTGATCTCCACGACATCAAATCGAAACGACAATCGGCGCAAGTCTTTCGTGAAAATCTCCACTATCGAATTCTTCTTCTTAACTGACCCAATGCAGCCTAAAGGTATAAGAAAGAAACTATTAATCTCGTCCTTGCTACGGTTCAGCAAATGACATCGCGCGCAATCGTATTCGTGCTCATCTGGCACGAACTGAAAGCGAAATGTAGTCATGAATACGCGTCCCAAACACACTGTGGCCGCCGACGTGTCCTTCTTGCTCGCATTCTCGTCCAGATATTCGCTCGTTACAGCTGCTAGCACATCTTTCTCACCAATAAGACGGCTGTGAGTGACGTCTGCATCTTCCGACATCCTTATGCTCGTCGTTGTCGTCGGTTACAAGATGCAGCAACGATGTGTTCAATGGGGCTCACATTCTCTTGAAATTGGTCGTTTATTTTATATTTGGAACAAATTAGACAAAAAGAAATGTCGAGTACAATAACCATTGACAAAAAGAAATGTCGAGTACAATACAAAAAGATACGTAGAAAACCTGACAAATTGCATACGCAGCAGCCTTGCGCACCTACGATAGATACAATGTAGTCATTGAAGCTGACGCGCTCTACTGTTGGTGTTAGTAATGCAAAATGCTGTTGCCACTTTTCGATGCTGTGTTTGTTTTTGCCACAAATATACAGGGGCAAGGTCAAGGAGGCGTTTCGCACCACACTTACGAACGATTTGACCTGCCTGGACGCTGTCATTGTGAAATGTTATACCACGTGCTGTGCAAGGAATACCTTGATGACGACGTTGTACCTTAACTGTTAACCAATGGCGACAATGTGTGCTGGATCCCTTTTAAATTCACCGACGACATTGCTGTTTGTACAGCTGCAAATGAAATATCCGACGGAGAAACCTGGTTCATTCTCGATATCAGCACGTCTAGCTCGTTGTACACATCCGAGGCAAGATTCGGTACACGAATTGGGTTTGCCGCACGAATAGCTCAACGCTTGGTTTCGGAGATTAAATTATGGCAATGCTATTCGCCTCATCTCGTAGCTTCGTATAAAACGATACATCTACCTCATCTAGTGCACTTCGTCATCCACAGACTTCCTGGAGCAGTTTGATCCTCCGACCATCGCCGCAAACGCATTATATACACTTAATATAGCGCCTCTTAGCGCCAAATTCCTTGTGCACACTGCTTAGACTCGGCTAGCTGTAATGTTACATCATAGCTTCATTTACGCTTGACATCTGAAAGCTCTTGCATAATATCTTGTTCATCGTCGTGTGGTGTTGCAACAGAAAGAAACACTGCCTGTGCATGACCGTCCCCAGAAAATGATATTCCTGCAATCCATTACCGCAAAACGTCTTGCCTCCATTACTCTTCGCAACAGTTTTCCTGATATCAACAACACTAGAACTCAGCATACTATCAAACACTTGGTACACCCCCAGCAGATATTTGGAAGGCGCACGCGATGTAGCGCGCGGACCACACGTTACCCCTATTTGGGAAGTTCAAAGCGAAGACAGCTTCTTGCCAATTCCTTCTCGATTGAACTGGTTCTTCACTTGAGATATGAAGTGGTACATCTGCTTCATCAAGTACAGCTTGTCGTCCACAGCCTTGCGTTGAGAGCAGTCCCTGTCGGAGTAAAGGCGCAGTACACGGCTACAGTCTGGGTTTGCCTCAAACTCGTGGCAACAGATCATTGCGAGTTGTCGCAGTACATCTTGACTCCAATTGCAACCGCTATCAGTCAGCTGGTCATTCTCGTCCACGTCCTGCACCGACGTTTTGTCCATCAACAGGGAATGTCTCTAATATTACTTAATGAAGGTTTTTATCATTCCATTGCATTTCAACCAATCCAAGACGTAGGTTTACTAATTTGGGCTGTTTGAAGTCACTCTTCTTCAACAATCACTCTTAATACACAATGACAGACTTACAGCTTTTCGCATTTGTGAATGAGCTGGCAGATAACCGTGACGCACTTGTCTCAAAGAGTCCTGAGGTGCTACGCAGTCTCAGCAGAAGCGACGATCGTATAACTCTTTACCTGCCTTTCCAGTACAGATGCTCAACGGTTAACGTGCATTCCTCCCTCCCAGTCGAGCTACAGAATTTGCATAAGACGGCGGGGATCGAGATACATAGTCCGACGGCGCGTAATGCATTAAGTGGGAAAATGATGGCAGAGCTGACAGAATCTACATAAAAAGCTAAACGTGGTGATACTTAAGGGAACCGGCGGTTGGTTCTGTGCTGGGGCGGACTTAAAAGTCGCGCAGCACGACATGACGTTGCCTGAAGAAGGGGCTGCAATGGGACAGCTGATGACCGATACACTGAAGAGACTACGACGTCTACCGCTGGTAAGTTTTGCGTGTGTTGAAGGCGGTGCCTATTGCGGTGGAGCTGAGCTGGCCACTGCATGTGACTTCCGCATCTTTGAAGCAAAAGCGATGATTCAGTTCGTGCAAGTTTGCATGGGTGTCTCGCCTGCGTGGGGTGGAGGCATCTGGTGTATAAAATCGTATTGTGGGAAAATGCACTCCGACTATTGTGCACAACTGAAAAGTTTTTGGCGCAAAAAGGCGTTGAAACTGAAACTTGCCGACTTCACTCTTGATGCCACGAGGGACGGTGTCGGTGCAGCAATCTGCAGCTTTGTCACCCCTTTTGATTTGGTCACGTCAGGTACATCTCGGCTTGTAAAATTGCGTATTTCTGCACGACTAACTTGCGCTGTTTGCTGTTGCAGCGGTTTCCCACGGTTGCAAAACGAATTATCAACAATGCTGACGATGTGAGTTTAGATCGGGTACTTTCGTACGAGCACGAAGTGTTCAAGTCACTTTGGGGTGGTTCTGCTAACCTAGAGGCACTTGAACGTTCTGTCAAAGATAAGAGAAAGTAGGCCAGTCTGTGTGTCGAATGCATCAGTTTGTGGTTGCAACTGCCATCACTCAAGAGGCCTTGACGTGCTAATATGAGCAACTTTGAAACCTTTTAGCTAACATCTCACTTTCAGTCTTTTCACATGCTTGCGTCTTGTCATATCTGCTTTGTACTTTGTATCCTCAGCTGCTAAGCCTCTTGCGATATCTGATAATATTCCTATGCTAAGCGCGTCGTCAAAATACTGATGACATGCGTCTGATGTTCTAGCGTACACGGAAAAGCTCAGATAACCTGCAGGCGTTGAGCAAAAAACTGACTACAATATTGTAGAAAGTTATGGTCGAAACTGGATGGTCCTGACAGCACCAATCTAGAATTCATTCCTTGTGATGATTGGATCGACGTGTCTTTTGGCCGAATACGAACTTTGAAACGTTCGACCCCTACAAAATCATTGCTTGAGCCTGTTGTCGTAAGTGAAGCTGACCCTTCTACATACAATTTTGTTCGAGTACAATTACATATACGCTCTGAAGCATCAGAGCAAATAAAGCTACGAGTCATTTGCAAAAGGTCGACCAAAAAAAAGAGGTTATCGAAATACAGCCTACGCTTTCATACACCCTCAATTACGCTGGTACGCTCAGCTTTGCAGTAATTTTGTCTGATATTTTTAAAGGCGTCATCGTGGCGGCTGAATCCATTGTCGCTGTTGCGTCACAGCACATTACTCCACATTGTGCGCTTTACGACGCTCATGTACAATTGCAGTGCTCGTCATTGAATTGCTCAACACAAATCCATCAGCGAGTGTTTACGCTTGAAAGACGATGGATATGGCGGATTATGTGCTTGCATTTAAATATGACCGCTTTGAAACCGATAGTGAGCATACACCAACGAATATCGTGACGCCGGGTAGTCTATCCGTTATATGCAACCTGAACTCTCCACATAGTCACCTCCATTTTTGTTTCATCGCCCGCGAAAATAGTATTTTTTACATGTGGTGCTGCATTTTATGTCTGGTTTAGATTCGACGATAATGTACATGATGTCTGTTGTACATATTCGACTTGTCCGAAGCAAATGCAAGTTTGTAATTATACTCTCGCGTGCAATCTTAACGCACTAATGACCAGTTACCCCAAGGTTTTCAACCTTGGTTATGATCCATACTTGACCTTAATGCCGTTCATTTTCTTCCAAATGCCATTGCTAATCTGCATCTCATAAGATTGACACGCAACTATCAGCAGAGCAGCAATCTCGTCTCTATAATATGATGTTTATCAATTTGCAGCAACCTCAACGGAAATTAACCATGTAACAGTGATGGACGTCGTGAACGAAACAACCGTCTCAACTACATAAATGCATGCAGCGCTGTCACAATGAGAAGGCGGTGAGGAGGCAACAAAACAATTTGTTGTGATAATGACGCCCTTTCACAAAACCATATGTTTAACAAATGTGACTGCATTGTTCAATCTAGAACGTGTACTGAGCTTAATAGAAATGTGTCATCAAGTGAATGGTTAGTCTTACAATCGAGTTTTAGAGGTTCCAGAACATTCGACAATTGCGCGTGGTAAACCCTGTACAATTCGATCACTCAAATTGAAATTGCAGATCTTCAGTCAGGAATTAGACAGAAAGAAAGCATCATGGCGGACGTGACAATGAAAGAGCCTGTAGACTTATCAGGAGATGGTGGTGTGATCAAGGAAACGTATGTAGAAGGCTCGGGCGAGTGTCCACCTGAAGGATATGAAATTCGAGGTGCATAGCTCTTTAGTCTACTGGTCTTTCAGTGAATACAATGAGGTTTTTGACGTACTCTTTCTGGATGACAGCGCACTATACTGGCACGTTGCTAGACGGCACCAAGTTTGACAGCTCACGTGATCGTAACTCCGAGTTCAAGTTTGTGTTGGGTAAAGGCAACGTGATCAAGGCGTGGGACTTGGCCTTTGCCTCGATGAAAGTTGGCGAGGTAAAGTGTAGATAGAAGCTGTGAAGTTGATTGAAAAGTAAGAGTTATCCTGACTGTTAGTGGCATGTCTTGTGATTATAGAAAGCTATGTTGACGTGCAAGCCAGAGTATGCGTACGGAGCAAGCGGTAGCCCGCCGAAGATCCCGGCGGATGCGACGCTTCAATTTGATGTGGAGCTGGTTGGTTTCAGCCCCAAGGCTAAGGAGATGTGGGAAATGGATGCCGAGGAAAAGATTGCTGAGGCGACCAAGCTGAAGGAAAAAGGAACAGAGCAGTTCAAGACGAAGGAGTTTGACAACGCCGCGGCCACATACGTTCATGCTGCCTCATACATGGAGGACATGTACGACGTCACTGACGAGGACAAGGAGTCGATGAAGCAGCTACAGACCACATGCTTCTTAAACGCCGCCATGGCGTATCTTAAAGCAGAAAATTACGGGGAGGCAGTATCCGTCGCCTCAAAGGCGCTAAAAAACGAGCCGACTAATGTAAAGGCACTGTACCGCCGTGGCGTGGGCCGCATCTACCTAAATGATCTGGATCGCGCAAAGGAAGATTTGCTAGCTGCTGGCAAGCAGGACCCGTCAAACCGCGATGTGCGTCGTGAATTGGAAGTTCTCAAGCAGAAGATGAAAGAGGCGCGTGAGAAGGAGAAGAGTGTGTTTGGCGGTCTGTTTGGTAAGGTGTCCATGTACGACGATAAGTTAGCCGTAGAAGGTGAGCCTGAGCTGGATCCAAACAACCCAAAGGTGTTCTTTGACATTAAAATCGGTGAGGAAGATGCCGGCAAGGTTGTGATGCAGCTGTACAAGGACGTGTGCCCGAAGACGGCTGAGAATTTCCGCGCACTGTGCACGGGCGAGAAGGGTAACTGCTCGACAGGCCAGCCACTGCACTATAAGGATAGCTCCTTCCACCGTGTGATCAAGGGCTTCATGATTCAGGGCGGTGACTTTACCTGTGGCGATGGCACGGGAGGTGAAAGCATTTATGGCGAAAAATTCCCGGACGAAAACTTCCGACTCAAGCACACAGAAGCAGGTCTGTTGTCTATGGCAAATGCTGGTCCGGGCACGAACGGATCGCAGTTCTTCATCACGACTGTGCCCACGCCACATCTAGATGGCAAGCACGTGGTGTTTGGTAAAGTCGTGGAGGGTTTTGAGATTGTGAAACGTGTGGAATGTCTGGAGACGGACAAGGGTGAAAAGCCTTTATTGCCTGTTGTCATTTCTGACTGCGGCATGTACGAGGAGGCATAGAACGTTACAGCATCGACAGAAACACCATTCCGGTAATTAAATGAAGCTGTAGCCATCATTAGCGCGTTCAAGCATTTATAAACTGTGTCAATCATTTTTCATTGGGTTAAAATAGCTGATCGTACTTGATTGGCTACAATCCTGTATTTTGACGTCGTTTGATGCTTACCAGTAAATTGGCTCGTAGCAACCAACCGAAGTGTGCATTATAAGGCAAGAAGCTTAAGTAGGGACGTTGCAATGGACTCGGCCACAGACCAAACTATCATCCGTCATGAGGTGGCAGAAGTGGCCTTTGGATTTTACAGTGACGCTGAAATCCGCGATCTGAGTATCAAACAACTCACAAGTCGTCTGAGCTTCGATGCGCTCAATAACCCAGTCGTTGGCGGTCTGTACGATCCTGCGCTGGGCCCCATAGACTTCAACATGATCTGTCCTACGTGTCACCAGACGCAGAAAGAATGTCCAGGTCATCTTGGACACCTTGAGCTTCCTGTGCCCGTGTACAACCCCGTGCTCTTCGGCCAGATGCTCAACCTACTCAAGCGCAAGTGCTTTACATGCCACAAGTTCCGCGTGGCTAGTGCGCGCTCGCGCGTGGTGCGTGTCAAGATTTTGCTGCTGGACAATGGCTATGAAAACGAGGTAGACCAACTTGCCGAGCTACTCGAGCAACGCAACGGCGTGGAAGACGAGCCGCCACAGCGTACGTTTCAGCGTCAGCAGGCCATTCTGGACGAGTACGAACGTCTTGCGTTGTCGAAGAGCAACAGCATGAGCAATGGTAGATTGCGGCTGCTGCGTCCATTACCTCGTCTTGCTGAAGTGACACGCGAGAAACTGGCAGCCGAGTTCCTGAAGGGAATGAAAAACAAGTGCGAGAATTGTGGAGCCATTTCGCCTGCTATTAGACAAGATGCCAATGCCAAGATCTTTCTTAAAGGACTCAGCGCTCGCTCGCGTAAGCTGAATAGATCGAAGAAGTTGACGGTGATGTCGGCTCTGGACACAATTCGCGGCAATGTGTCGGACAAAGACGACGAATATATCAATAGAAACGATTCTGAGTCGGAAATGGACGATGAAGCAGACGCATACGCTACGACTGATGATTCGTTTTCGCGCAGCAAGTACCTACCACCTTTGGAGGTCCAGTCACAGCTACAGTTGATGTGGCAAAACGAGGATGGTCTGATGGAGCTGCTCTATGGTGACCGGAACATTGCCAGTGGTCGGACATCTGTGCGCAAGCCTGACGGCTGGCGCAAGTTCTTTTTGAACGTAATTCCTGTAGCACCTTCACGTTTCCGCCCACCTGTGTTCATGGGTGACAAACAGTTTGAGCACGCCCAAAATACTCACCTATCTAAGATTATGGCACTTAGTGAAAGCATTGTTCAGGGCGACTACGTCAAGCGTCAGACTGCTACTACTTCGGATGAAGACGATGCTGAAAAGGAAGCACAGGTAAATCTGTCGCGAAAGCTTGCTTTGTGGACAGAGCTGCAAAGTGCTGTAAACCTACTCGTGGACAGCAGCAAAGCCAAGCCCGGTACCGATGTTGCTCAGGGTATTAAACAGGTTATTGAAAAGAAAGAGGGTCTTTTCCGCAAACACATGATGGGAAAGCGTGTAAACTACGCCGCTCGTTCGGTTATTTCTCCTGATCCGTATATCAGTACTAGCCAGATTGGCGTGCCGCTTCGTTTCGCCAAGATGCTTACGTACCCTCAACCGGTAACACCATGGAACGTGGAGGAAATGCGGCAGCTCGTCATTAATGGACCAGATGTGCACCCTGGTGCAAACTTTGTAGAGAACGAAAGTGGTCGCCTGATTGATCTGAGCAAGCGCTCATTGCATCAGCGTGAAGCTATCAGCAAGACGCTTCTTACGCGCTCAGCTAGCGCGCAAGGTACGAGCAAGAGCCGCGTAAAGCGCGTATGGCGTCACCTGAAGACTGGCGACGTTGTGTTAATGAACCGTCAGCCAACTTTGCACAAGCCGAGTATTATGGCCCACACCACGCGAGTTCTTACAAATCCAAAAATGCAGACGATTCGTATGCACTACGCAAACTGTAACACATTCAACGCGGATTTTGATGGCGATGAGATGAACATGCACTTTCCGCAAAACGAGCTGGCGCGTTCGGAGGCATACAATATTGCGTGTAACGATAACCAGTATATTGTGCCGACGGATGGTTCTCCGTTGCGTGGTCTTATCCAGGATCATGTTGACTCGGGTGTGAAGCTTACTCAGCGTGATACATTCCTGACGAAAGATATGTACATGCAGCTTTTGTACAATGCCTGGGCCAGCATGGATGACGCTGGGGTTGAGACGGCACACATTGAAACAGTGCCGCCTGCGATTCTCAAGCCGGCACCGCTTTGGACAGGCAAACAGGTGATCACATCAGTTTTGAAGCTGCTGACGAAGGGTCTGCCGCCTCTAAATCTCGACAGCAAGTCTAAGATTAAGGGTGATTTGTACGGTTCATCAAACAAGGAGCATATAGTAATCTTTCGCGATGGAGAGCTGCTACAAGGTGTTCTTGACAAGAGCCAGTTTGGTGCAAGTATGTACGGCATGGTTCACGCTTGTTATGAAGTATATGGCGCACGAATTGCGGCCGATTTTCTATCTGCGCTTGGTCGTTTGTTCACGTGCTACTTGCAATTTGCTGGACACACTTGCGCTATGGAGGATTTGACGCTCAATATTGCGGCCGAAAAGCGTCGTAACAAGCTTGTTAAGGAGTCGGAGATCATGGGCGAGGAGGCCTACGCCGAGTTTGCGGGTCTCACTGATATGCTCGACAAGAAGCGTGCATCTGAGAAAGACGGTAAGAAGCGCCGAATGAACGAGATGGAGCGAGTGCAGATTCGCGATCGTATGCGTACGCTGCTATCTGGACCAGACGCTGACGACAACGCAAAGGCACTAGATGCGCACATGATGGGCTGTGTTCACGGGTCTAACAGTGACATTATTAAGGCGTGTCTGCCGTCAGGTCAGTCGAAAGCGTTTCCAAAGAATAACTTTTCTCTTATGGTCTTGACTGGCGCCAAGGGTTCCATGGTGAACCACTCACAAATTTCTTGTGGTCTCGGTCAACAAGCCCTTGAAGGTCGCCGTGTCCCCATTCTCTGCAGTGGTCGTTCACTCCCGTCGTTTGAGCCGTTTGACCCTGCCCCACGTGCAGGTGGTTACGTTACGGACCGTTTCCTTACTGGCCTGCGTCCCCAGGAGTATTATCACCATTGTATGGCCGGCCGCGAAGGCCTCGTTGATACGGCTGTAAAGACCAGTCGAAGTGGTTACCTTCAGCGTTGTCTGATCAAGCATCTTGAAGATCTACAGGTTGGCTACGATCATACTGTGCGTAACAGCGACGGCAATGTGGTCCAATTTCTCTACGGCGAGGATGGAATTGATCCAGTGCAAAGTGCCATGCTGTCCGGTAATGATGCGCAGTTTGATTTTCAGGCGATGAACCACCGTAGTATATCGCACAAGTATGGTATCAACGCTAGGTTCTTCGAAAAAACAAAGCTGGACATCATGAAGCCGCTGCAGCTTCACAAAGAGATTTGTGCAGCCAAAGATAGCGACTTTACCAGCACATCATCGGTGCTGAAGCTTGGCATGAAGATCATGGCCAGACGCTTGAAACATGGAGAGACGAAGTGGAAGTGTGGGCACATTGAGATTGGCTTTCATGCGGCCGAGATTGTGGCGGTGGCTGGTGAGACTGAGGATCCTCGTGAGTGCACGTACGATATTAGATACTTGGATACGGGCTTAAAGGCGTTCAGCGTACCTCGTACTACTAAATTTAAGACAAGGAAGCCTGCAAATGCAACCCGTGCCATGTCTGGTCGGGTTGTCATCATCAAGGTATCGCTTGAGGATCCGGTGATGCAGAGCTTGCCGTTGAATGAGCACGTCGGTTTGATATCGGAACGCATTCAGGACAAGTTGCGCCAGTACAACGAGCGCAACCCTTCGAAATGTTTGCAATTGATGAAAAAGAAAAAGAGCAAGAAGTCGAAGAAAAGTAAACGCGCTGCAGAGAATGAGATTGATCGCGAGGTTATGCAGTCGAAGCACGCCGTGGGCCCCGATGCTTTCCAGCTTCTTGTATGGGTTAATTATTTGCGCAGTATGTGCGCTCCTGGTGAGAATGTCGGTATCTTGGCTGCGCAGGGTATTGGTGAACCGTCGACACAGATGACGCTAAACACGTTCCACCTTGCTGGCCATGGTGCCGCTAATGTAACGTTGGGTATTCCGCGTCTGCGTGAAATTATCATGACAGCTAGTCAGAAGATGTCGACTCCTATGATGACTATCCCTCTACGCGATGATGTGGAGTCTTCACGAGCGCAGGAAGTGGAGCAGCGTCTCAATCAGGTAGCTCTTTCGGAACTTATCAACAGTACCAACGGTGTTCGCGTCAAGGATCAGTTCCACAGTAGCGAAAATGGTATTCTTTGGGTGCGCGATTACCACATTCGTTTGACTTTCTTTGAGCTGAAGGAAATCAAGCGCGTGTTTGGACTAAATGCCGATCAGGTATTTAGCTCTGTCGGACGTGGATTTGTTGGCAAGCTACTCACGCTTATCTGCCGTGAGATGAAGAGAAGCGGTGTAACTGTATCTGCTGCGGCGGAGAAAAACAACTTTAGTGTGCCTTTAGGTGCTAAAGCAAACCGAAAAGAGAAGAGCGATGATGATGATGATGATGATGACGATGATGAGCAGGGAACTCTTCGGTTTGGCAGCCGTGGCGAAGTCCAAGGCTATGGTGAGATGGACGAAGAGGACGAGAAGATTCGAAAGTTGCAGATGGCGAACGAGGATTCGGAAATGGATTCTGATGACGACGTGGGTAACAAAAAGAGCAACCACACGAGCAATTCGGATCACGAGCCCGTGGAGAACGGCTCCAAAACCTCACTAAACAAGACCTTCAACGCTGATGGGATGGACTCCCTTGAGGTACCCAACGGTGTGCGCAAGAATCCTTACTTTGTGTTCTGCGGACGTAACGACAAAGAAAATTTTGTGGAGCTGCACCTGCGTTTCCCGACGCACTTTAAGACACTGCTGATGGTGCCGCTCGTAGAGAAGGTCGCTAAGCAAGTGTTGGTGCAGTACTGTCCTGGCATTTCGCGATGCTACTTGATTAATCAGCGCATCGGCGAATCACAGGAGGAGAAACCATGTGTACAGACGGAAGGTCTGAATTTTCAAGAGATTTGGGGTTTCGACGACATCCTGGATGTCAACAACCTTGCTACCAACGACATCTACCAGGTGTTACAGACGTACGGTGTTGAGGCCGCACGCGCAAGTATTTCGAAGCAGATCACGGAAGTGTTTGGCGTGTATGGAATCAGCGTCGATCCTCGTCATTTAAGCTTGCTCGCCGACTACATGACGACACAGGGTGGATACATGCCGCTCAATCGTATGGGTATGAACTACAAGGGTTCATCCTTGCAGCAGATTACGTTTGAAACGTCCATGAAATTCTTGTCTCAGGCCGCTTTGGGTGGTCTAGTGGACAAACTAGAGAGTCCGTCTGCTCGTCTGGTGCTTGGCCAGCCGCCACGCGTAGGTACAGGCAGCTTTTCGCTTTTACAACCAGTTGCAATATATACAGAAGCCGCTCGATACACAGCTCAGCAAACGTGGTGCAGTTAGTACAACACGATAGATTTTGCTTTTATAATACACGTTTCTAAAGCTACAGAAGACAAGATTGTGCTGTCATTTATATTCTGAACCTGCAGCTTGCACCTAGTCAGCCATAGATCCACTATCGCTGGCAAGTTGCAAGCTTATTCTAATCACATTGTGCGGTGCTGATTGATTGTCTTTCGTCGGAAATTACAAATGAATTCGAGAATGGGCTCTTTTCGAATAGCTCCTATACCCAAAATGGTAAAATACCAACCAGTCTGAAATTAATTTGGTACTTTTTTCAAAACCCACGCGTAAATTAAGCATGAACACTCATCGGGTCGCTGATACTTCTGATCAACTTCTAGTCGATGCGACACCTTTAGATAAGCTTGAGGACAATGAACAGCTCACTGAGACGTATAGAAAGCGTGAATACGACGAAGAAGATGACGACAAGGACGTGCAAAAACGTCGTGCAGTGATCAAACAGTCGCGACGCCACAACTGGCAGCCCAAGTACGCGATGGAGTTTGGTCTGCTCGCCATCGAGAGAGACGCGGTATCTGGAGACGTACTACTGGCCATGTGTGGATTTTGCAAGGCCTATGGACGTGAGGGAAAGTATGATCAGCTGGTGCGACAGGACCAGGAGGCGGGCATCGAGTCGAAGAAGAGACGTAGACGATCGCTGACCACCACTAAATTTTTTCGAGCGTTCCGTGTTGACAATATCCGAAGCCATTTGCAGGGAGCTCATCCACGACGATGGGCAGAATACGAGGTGCTACCGAAGCAAGAGACGGTCAGGGCACGCTATCTGCAGCTACAAGGAGAGCTGCCAACTTATGACCATCTCCCAATGGTGGACGACGTGGTACTTGGGGGATCAGCGCTGAATGCCGAGCCGGACATGAATTATGCTCAGCCACAGTCCTTGTCACAAGCTTCGGTAGTTAATGAGACACAACATGCTGCGGTGCAAGCTGTGGCACAAGTCGCAACAGCTCAGGCAGCGCAGACGTCGACTGGAGTGAACGGAGCAAGTCACAGCACGACACAGCTGACGGCATCTTTGGTAAGTTGATTACCTTTTTGATGATGATTAGTATCATTTCCAAACTTATTTGTGTGAATTTTTCGTGACTTTTTATAGAATTACAATGGTAAGTCCGACCATGCGCAACGCTCGTTACTGTTCTATCAGGTAAGAACTTAAAATATGTCTTTTTTGCAATGCAATGACGCAGCTTCAGGTGCACCATCAACGGCCGCTTCAGCTTCTTTTAACACACGGGGTACGTTCGATTACGAGAAGCATTTAACGGAACAAATTGCGTTGGATCGTGAGAGGCTGGAGTTTGAGAAGATACGATTTAAGAAGGAGGTTGAGCTTCGCGAGCGTGACTTGGCACTTCGAGAGAAACACATGGAGCAGACAATTATACTTCAAGAAAAGCTGTGCGACGCGAATCGCGAAAGCGCACAACTTGAGAGCGCCAAATTCTATCGTCTAGCCGAAGTGTTGCGTGACGCGATCTCCGGAGCGCAAAGTTCATCGGAGACGGCATCCGTCGTGTGATTTGTTACCATGTCTTTTGGTTGTTGCCAGCTGCTTGGACTGAGACGCGGAGGCAACATTTAGGACGAATAGAAAACACTGTCTGAAATTACTGAAGCTAGGTTCTTGCATTACTCTGCGGGGGCAGCGGCCTTGATAGCTGGCCCAGACTCTTTGGTGAGTTGACGATTTTGTTTGGCGTTTCGCTTCTTTTTGCTGATCTCAGCCTGTGTAAGATTATCAACGATATCGTGTGGCCGCGAAGAAGTGCTCTTTACTTGGACAGTAGCGGACTTGCTTGTTTCTTGCTTAGAATCTAACTTTTCCAGTAATTCCTGTGCAATAGTTGCAGCCGAGCTTGCCTTTTCGGAAAAAGCCTCATGTCTTCTTGTGTCAGCTTCTCTTTTGACATCTGCTTGACTTTCTGGTTCCCTTTTGTTGCCCGGAGAGACCGCATACATCTTTTCTTCCTGATCTATAACGTCACTTCTCAGCATCAGTTTTTCATCAGTAACTGGCAGTCTTTCATCCAACTCCTTCGTAAACGTACCTTCTAGTTCGCCAGTTTTAGTCAACTCGGGGGCAACATCTTCGTTTTGACCCACATCCGATTCGCGACTAGCGTGGAACATTCTTACTTTCGCATCAGGTGTCACTTCAACTTCTGCCAGTTCCTCCTCTACAGCTTTGGCTGTATCAGACAGGCCACGTTTCAACTCATTTTCTTGTAAGCCCCACAATATGTTTTCATTCTCTTCAGTATCTGCTTCAGCTAGCGTCACAGGCTCCTCCACCAGCGCAGACGGTTCGTCGTTTTCCGTCAAAAAATGTTGGGTGGAAAAAGCATAAATGTCAGCTTCGACCGCTTTCATTGCCTCCGTAAATGTCGCCAGACTACGCTTGCTGTTTGTTAACTTCATAAGGCCGCCGTTCATTCCGAAGCGTTGTGACTCTTTTTCACGCTTGAAAAATGGAATCTCCAAGCTGTCCAAATACTTATTGCGTACCGATGGCACAGATGCCGACGCTATCTGGGTCGCCAATCGTGACCATCCAGGAATGCTATGTTTTTCCTTCACACGAATACGGACATGCTCAAAACACTGGTAGTCCTGCGCCTTAAGCGGGTTTGGTGGGTCTCGATAGCATGGTATAAAATGGTCGAGTGACTTAAACGTTACAGCAACGTTTCCATTCTCAAACGTAGACACGAACTGTTTGTCACACATATCGACATTTGCTGTAATTGCGCAGCCCCAATACGCTACCCAGGCAACACTTCCACCATGCTTCAGATTCTTTCCATCCAAAGCTACCAAAAGTTCTTCATCAACCAGGGCAAAATTTGGATCTACCATGTGGATCTCGGGAGCTGGAAACGTGGCGTCATACAGTTTCGTAGGTATATCCACCATAAACATCACGGCCATGAGAACCATAAGGTATCTAGCCCATCGACGGTGACAGTGTAGCAGCAGATATGTATTAACCATCAGAAATACGACATCAATACCCACAGGCATACACAACTCCTGTAAAACAGCCGTTTCCCACTGCAATAGCGCGGCATGACATGTATTTGCTGAGTGTATCATTTCATTAATCTGCACATTCAGCTTTATGAACACGTTTTCCACCAGAAAAACATTCGGAAACTCTCGGCAAATATTCCAATACAGCAACAACAGTCCAAATACCATGAAGATCACATTGGTCACTGCACGGCAAAAGAGTTCCTTGATCGAATGACACCCCAACGGCCAAAACCTGTGAGCCAAGATGATGCAAATACAATCAATGAACATACTCATTAGATACTTGGTTAGACCAAATAGTTAGCTAGAGATACACCCTTTTGTGACTTTACGTACCCATAACCTTTGTGTCTCAAGAAAGGCACACAGAGAAGTAGCAATGGCGAGATTGCTACAACTAGCAACGACCAGAGCGTCGAGAGGATAAAATTAGGCATATAGATGGGAGACAAAGTGTCAAAATCTCCTCCTTCACTACCACTTTCACTGTCCATATGTTCTTGCACGTATTGATCTAGAAAGTCCCCCCCAGTTGGGGCGACGCTTGAGATTTTCCAGTCGCTCCTCGATATATTCGGGCGATCGAACATCAAGAGGTGGTAAGAAGTGACGTTGAGTAGTAGATAAAGACTGTGCATTGGTATTATTACTGCCACTGTCGTAGCTGCTTTCAGCCTCAGGTTCGTCCGGCGCCCGGAGTCTTACGCGCATCGCCACGTCTCGAGTTTAAGAATGGACTGCATTTTATATAAGCTTTTTTTGACCTGTTACAAGTAATATATTACATATTTATATATTATTACAATGACAGATAAACTACTTGACACCGAGAAAAGCACTGTAAGAATAAATTATGATCACATTTGAAATTGTACAAACATGAATGACTCGCGCACACCGAGTAGGGGGGCAGATCGCGACGTACCGCGTCATGAAGTTTGCAGAGGAAGCTCGTGAGAGCTGCTGGAAGCGTAGTGTTGTAGCTTGTGTTGCTGGTGCAGTCATGGGCGTTAGTCTTGGCACATTTCTTGGCACGTTTGAAGGCGCCCATGGAGAGTTAGTAGGTCGCAACATGCGCGAGCAGGTGATGAATGAATATGAGGCGTTTGTAGACAATGTGGAAATGCACTGACTGTTGTGTTATGCTGCTCAATACAGCTTTATAATGGCTTTAGCAAGTCTATTAAAGCTGGCTATGTGCGCAGTGTATACTTCTCTAAGGCAAGACCTTTGTTTCTGACCTGGTTGAGCTATCCAAGTGGCTGACGAATCGACTCTTTGTGCTGATCGTATGGAAGGAGTTTGCGTTAGTTGGCAGTATCTTTGCTGGTACAGAGTGCGTGATTGAGCGCGAACGAGCAGTCCACGATATATTGAACCCCATCTTGGCTGGCGGCGTATCTGGCGGCGCGCTAGGCGCCTGGGCAGCGCGAAATTCTGGTGTAAAATGTAAGATACTTACTGTCAACCTTTTCGGTATCTCTCGGCAGCTGACATTGATGTGGCTATAGTGATGATGCAGAACACTGTCAAAGGTGCGGCGGGCTTTGCCGTCATGGGCGTTGTGTTTGAAAAGGGCATTGAGTTTATCACAAACTAGCCTGCAAAAAGCTTTGACTTTGCTGTCGTCAACAAGTGCATGAACGCAGCGAAATTTTCCATGGGTTAAGTCTAAATGTTTTTGAGACGATGAGTGGTGTTCAGCTCGAAGATTTCCTCACTAGGCACTGCGTCTACAAAGTCTCCTGCGCATGCGTCATGGGGATGTGCAGCAAAACGAGACAAGCTTATGTGTTATCTACGGGCAGCTGAACAGTATTAGTTCCCATTGACAGGATTAGTTCCCATTGACAGGATTAGTTCCCATTGATAGGAAGCTCTAAAATACATCGGTCGACGAGATAAAGTACTCAGCAATGGCGGCTTGTTGCATGACGTCGTCAGGCGTCACGATGACTTGTTAAGAATGCCGCAGGCTCATTTGAATGATACAAAGTTAGGTAAGAAAATTTTGACTTGTAGTAGTGTGTAATTTGAAATTATACGACAATATGAATGTGTCTGCTTAGTGGAGTTGCATCATAAAGTTTATAGCCCCTTGCTTCTTCAGACGCGCCAGCACGGGGTTCACCTCCTCAGCTGCTGGCCCAAATTTGGCTTCCTCGTCAAATTTGCGGCTTGCACGGCGTTGGCTCCTCCGAAATCGCGTGTAGCTGTTTTCTTCTTCGTCTCTGTTATATTCTTCATCACTTTCTTCGATGAATAAAGAACTCCGGCGAGACCGCGTTTGTGTCAGATCACCACGAGATAACGACTTAGCTTTTTCAACCCTTTTCTCACAACTGCCAGTACGACTTCCGCTATGTTGGCGGTGGTAGCTATGACGAGAACCGAGAGAACGGCTAGAGTGATGATTTTCGTCATCGTCGTCAGTGCTTGCGTCTTCATCCTCTTCATCCAAAAATGAAGACTTGCGACGTCCCAGGTCCGAACGATTGCCAATACAAGTGTTCTCGCTCAGCGATAACTCCCTTTCTGTCAGAATGTTATTCTTGCTCAAAGTGCGTGGTCCATTAACAAGACTATCGTCACTGTCACCATCAGACTCATTGTCAGCCGGGTTCTCTTCCTCAATCGGGCCCGTTTGTAATGTTTCCCCGAAAAAAGTGTTGAACGAAGCTCTCCGATTGAGATGGCGTCGCGGGTCAGCTAGTCCACGCGGTGCAGGACTCGCTGGCACACTCTTATTCGACCGGGCGTAGAACCCGCTGTCCGTCGCCGGTATGCGCTTTTCAGCCATAGAGTTTCTTCTCGAAATCGTGAGAGGCCGTACACGCTCCGAGTCCCAGTTTAACGTGCTACAGCTTTCAGACTTAGTGCGCGTTCTACTGGACACAACCTCCACCAATTGTTGCTCCCTTTTTTCTTTTTCCATCACAATGCTCTCTGAAAATTGTTTAGATCGCCTGCGGTGTCGCCTATGAGTTCGTCTCCAGATAGCTGCTCGTGCCTGCATAAGCTCTTCTCTCTTTTCCTCATTTGGAAGAAGTCGCGCCATCTCCTGGATGAGCTTGCAACACTCCTGAGCACCAACTGCTCCAAGGAGGAAAGCACAATATTCCATAGCAGACGTCTTCTCGCGACCAAAATCTTTAGTTTGGTCCTGAAAATCTCGTACACGTTCTTCATCATTAGCAACAAGCTCACAGACCGTCTGGATGATCTTTTTGTGGAGTTTTTTCGCAGCCTTCGGATCCGTTTCGGGAATAACATCCACGAACTCCTCACTATCGTATCCCAACGCTGTTGATCTCTTTTTTATCAGCGAAGCAGGGGGCACACCAGCAAACTTCGTACTCGGATATCGACCAGAGGACGCATGAGACTCGCTGCTCATCGGCTCAGCAGCAGGTTGACTTAAACCCTGCGAATCATTGGATTTAGGCGGTTGCGATACTTCGCTGACCTCGACAGCATCGGCAAAAATCGACAGACACGACTCTGATTGAAGATTGGCGCTGGTAGGCAATTCTGAGAGTTTGTTGCTATTCTCATCGCTGTCGCTCGACGAAGACGCCTGAAGAATCAATGTCACAAAAACATTACTTCAAGTACTCAACTAGCAACCTGACTACTTCTTACCACTATCTTGAAAAAGGAGTCAAATCCTAGAAAATGCTTTATTTTGTCGACCAGTATAGGTGCAGACGAAATTACCGGCATCTGAAACACCTGCACACCGAATGGCACAAGAAAGAGTTAGTAAGGTGAATTCATAACCTCAAAACCAACATAGATTACCTGTTCAACGTAGAGAGCAAGCTGCTGCTCTTTCAGCTCCTGCAGTGACTTTTTACGCATACCACCAAAGAGTGAATCCCGCTTGCGATCTCTTGGCAACGTAATTTGCTTCATATGCGCACCGTAGGAAACACGCAGCTCACTGTACAACATCAATATAGCCGCAGTCAACAGATGCCCCAACCAACGCAATACAGTCCGATCGCCGTCAATATACTCACTCGTCAAATACGTGAAACTCCGAAAATGTTTTCCAAACTTTCCACTTGATGCTAGGCTTGTCGATTGGACGCGTAGGCAGAAGCAACTGACATGATAACTCAAACTCCTGCAGACACAAAACAAACCAGACACTTGTTAAATACGGCAATCGACTACATGTGATCAAGTCAAACGGTGAGAGAATACACACCACCGTCTCTGTGTGCTCATCGCGCATTCGGGATGATAGTACAGCTGAAAACTTGTGCCCCACGTCTTCGCTTGAGCTGATCGAGAGTCGCTCGTACTCCGTGATGGCAGTGTAGACCGCGAAGAACCAAGCATCGGTTGTAGCCTTGTCCTTGTCTTGCAGCTTGAGCTTCTGCTCCACATAGCAATGCAATACATATGATCCATTATTCACTATACTCAGTGTTTCTACCTTGCTCTACTGACCTTGTGAAGTCCCTTGCCAGCCTCGTAGATGATAAAGCCATCTGGGACCTGTTCGAGCTTGGCATCTCGTAGATCAATGCGTCCCAGAGGCTGCAGCATGTCCTGGTCCGCCAATGACGAGTACGTGAGCTGCAGTAGCTGTGGCTGAAGCAGGACCATCATGCGCTGCGGCTTCAGCTTGAGGTGGCGACGCGCAGGAGTGCAATCCAAACGTGAAAGAAGCAACAGCCCCTGCATCTGCTTCAGACGACGGCTTCCACTCTTCTTGGAATTTGTCATAATTTCTCAGCTATTTTGAGGGTAAATTCGATTCTGAATACTAACTGGAACTACCTGTCAAATGCTCTTCTTCCTGCGCTCTGGTCCCTCCTGTATCTGAATTCCAGTTTCGCATACAGATGGACAAGAGCCGAGTCTATGTTTGGGTTGAGCCATCCCCTTGTAAAGTAGATAAATGGAATCAGTAGCAATTTTGAAGAGGAAGGATAAAAAGTTGGCTTTATTGTATTCCCTTAATTTAGAGCTGATTCATTTCAAACCAATAATTATTACCCAATGAAACACATCTTATAAAAAAATAGAAGCTTTTGAACTGAGCGTAATCAAATATACCCAAATGAAACTCAAAAATAGCTATTTATTGCAATGTCTTCGTCTTGGCTTTACTTGCCAAATTTTATGTAAAACTGACCTTCCTTTTGCTCCTGTGATTTGTCAAAATAAAAGCATAATTGTCGTAAGTCGTATCAACATTTATTGTGCGGTGTACTCGAAAATGAGCTCAAAATACTCGACGAGACAGCACAATATAGATTGACTGTCTTGCTAGATTGACTGTTTTGGATGAATTAATATCACGATACGTACCTTTGCAATTCAACACAAGCTAACACCCAACCAAACTATCATCTAGTCCAATGTGTGTAAAGCTTTCCTTTTACGCTAGCTTACCATGTAAACATCAATCCAAATATTGTCTTCCACTAATTCGTTATTGTTGGTATAACAATTGACACAGCACTGACCAAAGTGGTCTTGACCATTTTGGTGCAGTGGTATGACAATAGTTATACCAACAATAACAACATTTACCACTGACAGCGATCTTAATACAACCACGAAACGCTTTCAATCCATCAAACCTGATGTTGCCAAAGTTGCTCGATACGCATGAAAATCTCGATCGTAAATCTGTCATTCATCCTCTAGTATATCTAAGAGGTCATTTTTCGCATTGAACACAGACCAAAGTCCCAATGGACATCATTCAATTCCAGGTACTACTTCGCTTCCTTGGCAATTTGACAAAATTTGATTAGCTGTCAGACATCGTTGTGATTTTATAGCTAGGAAATTGCTCGTATGGTAAAGAACATGGATACAATTTTGCTATGTACACTAGCAACAAAGTGACAGTAGCAAAAAAGCGACTTATAGCAAGCAGACCATGACTTTGTGACAAAATTGTTACGGTACTTGCTTTGGGCACACATCCGTTTAGGTACGAGTGTCTCGTAGCCATTCGTGATTTTCTTAAAATACATATTGAACAGTAATGACAGTGAGGACGATAATGGACGGTGAGATGGTACTGCTGGCCATGTTACCAGAGGAGAATCATGTAATGCTGGTACAGACGCCGTGTCATCGCACCATTGCAGATCTGGAGGATTTTATCGTGGAAGAATACTCGCGAGTGTTTCCTTATCAGCCGGCGCTCAGCCGCGATCTGCGTATCCAGAAGTGCGTGTCACCTGATCTGGTGGTAGATCATCGCTCGTACACTACGTCGTGTCACCAAATGTCCCATAGCTTTGTGGATCTGGCAAAGAACGTACAGGTTGGTAATGTGTTTCAGAATATGGAGCAAATTTACATCGCGCTCAACAAGAAGTCCACGAAACAGAAGCCGCAGGAGCTCAATGCAGTTGTTGCTCACAGTATGCAGGCTGAGAACAGGGCCGAAGTCAAGCACAAGCAGAGAGCACTCAAGAAGGTTACTACTGTAGCTCGCACTGTGGAGCCAACAACTGGATTTGAAAGTAAGCAAAAGAAGCAGGTGTCGAAGAAAGTTAGAACTGTAGGTCTCAATGTGCAAACGAAAAACGATACTGAGATCATCGAGACTGTAGAAAAATCAATGCAAGACGGCAAGAAGAAACAGGTGTCGAAAACTCCTTCCATCGAGAAGATACGACAAGACAAGAAGCAAGGAACTTCAGAAATCGTTATGAAATCTGGCACAAAGGAGATTCACGACGCCACGAATGAAAGCAACGACGCGAAGGAGATGACCGTGGCAGAAACATACGAGAAGGTTGATGTGAAGGAGAAGTTGAAAATGGCTGCCAAGGAGAAAACACACGACGCAAAAAAGACTGCAAACAAAGAGAACACGGACAACTCGAAGAATGTTGTTGCTGAGATGGAAAAAGACACGTTAAATACGGCTCCGAAAAAGACTGTTGCGAAAAAAAGTGAGAACGTCCTCTTGAAGAAAATGCTTGCAGCAAAGCACAATGGATCTCAATCAGTTGCTGCTTTGGTAGTAAATTCTCTTCAAAATACTGAAAGCGAAGAGCCAAAAGTGCCGCTAAAAAGCGAGCGGAAGCGCAAAGCCAACGATGAAAGCGTCTTATCTGCTGAGGAAATCAGTGCCTCGGAAGCCCTAGAACCTTTGATAAAGAAGAAGAAAACGGTGAAGAAGTCGGATGCTAAGATGTCGAAGCCGGTTGAAGACGAGGTAGTCGTCGCGAAGGTTGAAAAGCCAGCAAAGAGAACAGTTGCACAAGACAAGACTCAAAAGACGACAAAGAAGAAAGCAACCACCGCTGCAAAGTCGCAACTAAAGACCGACGATAACTCGTCGATATCAAGCGAGCTCACGCCTGCCAATAAGGATTTGAAGAAGGCAAGTGACACCAGCTCTGGACATGAGGAGCCAATAATAAAGCGCGCAAAGACGGAAGTATTGCCAAAAGCACCTGCCGTGAAGAAGGCTGCTAAAAGTGTAAAGATGGCGACAAAGTCTGCGACACCTGAAACTGGCATAAGTGCTAGCCCCAGCTCTGAGTCTTCTATCTCGTCAGCAACCCAGGAAGATGAACTAGCTTTTGGTGAGGAGACAAAAGTGGTCGAAACTTCTGCTACTAAAACAGCTAGAAAGGAGAAGATGGATGAAAAGCCGAAAGAGGTGTATGACCAAAAATCTAATTTTCAGAAAATAATGGCGGATACGTTGAGACGAATTGCTGACGAGCAAAATGCTAACGATGCCAAGTCGACCACGACTGTTACATCTGAGAAAGGGTCAATGCAAACGTCGAAGTCTACTCAGAGCAAGGCCAGCGAATATTCCTCGGACTCCGACCAGGCCCCTGTCATTGTGAAAGTAGCGAAGCGTTCTCAAAAGAATGCTACCCCAGCGGAGGACAACTCATCGTCTTCGTCGGAAGAGGAGGAGGTGGATTATTCGCAGCGCCTTCTAGCTGACTTGACCAAGAACGGTTAGGATTTACTGTTATATTGTAAATGCAATCGATGATGAACTTACACATGTAACCCGCGTTTGTAGATGGTGATGAAGAAGTTGTGTCCACGGCTTACAAGAAGGGGAAAAGCTCAAAGCAGATCGACTGGCGCGACAACTCCACTGTACAAAGCTCTCAAAATATGGAGCACTCACAGGATATGCCTTCGTCAAAACTTGCTCAAGAATGTACGCTCCTGACACAAATAAACACCAGGCACAGTATCTAACTTTGCTGACTGTTTTTGACCTGACTACATTCACAGCGCAAGAGTCGAATAGCGTGTTGTTGCCACCGCTCTCCCGAAACCGCTTTTCACTTGATAGTGTGCCTGTGGCGAAGCTGAAAAAATCGTCAAAGAACCCGTTCTTGTCTCCTAAAAAGGCGAAAGTCCAAGGTAAGACAAGCAAACCTACTGACAGGCCCCGCGGTCGTCCTCGCAAGTGAAGCAGAAATAATGCATGGAAACCATTGCATCTTGTAACGTACTAGAGCAACCTGAACTTGTCCAATTATTCGTTTATTTCTTCGCCGATCTTATCAAGGTGGTCTATTCACGAAACAACAGATACATGTATGCACGGCGTCCGTTTAAGGCAAGATGCCATTTGTCATACGCTGAAAAACGTCGTACTGGCGAGTACGATAGCTGTTGTGGCTGCGGCGAACGAGACTAATCACATGCTTGATAACTTGGCTTTGGTTGTAGTCAAGGCGAAAAAGTTGTTTAGTGACACTTAAGATGTCTCGAGGATGTTGAGACAAAAAGCACGGGCATGACGACTCGTGCGCCATGATTGCGATCATCATCAAAATACTATCGGCATGTTGCTGCACAAAGTACACATGACGATCAAATGATTAGCATCAAACCTCATACAACTACAGCACAAGCAGTATACATTTTTACCTGAAGAGCCAAAAATCCTTGGATGAGGAAGATGACATAGGCCTTAAAGTAGTCCGATTGAGTGCCGCCCATTGCGTCAACCATTTCACCCGTCAGCTTGAACGGAGCTGTCTCCAAACTGAACCGGCCCCCGGGAGCAATACCAAGGATAAACCCAAAGTCGATGTGGATCACGTGACCATCGCTGTCGATCATGATATTGCCATTATGACGGTCTTTGATCTGCAATAAGTAGCACGCCAAAGAATAAGCAGCCATGCTCCGCACGAAGTTTGTCATTGCTGTCTTGTACGCCGCAGAATCTGCCTGGCCATACGTTTTCAAAAAGTGATCCGCTAATGAGGTGTAGTTGTCCCTCTTTTTCAAAGCATCAAGGGACACTGCGTTCTTAACATACTCAATCATGCCAGTTGATGCTGAAGTTGCAATAATCTCATACGGCAACAAGCGAAGGGGCAAATCTGCACTTTGAAAGATATCTTGCAGCTGATGAATAATCTGCAAACACAGAACCTCTTGGCGCAGGTCGTCATTGGATTTGACAATAAACGCAACGCAGTCCCAATCTTTCAACTCCAATGCCCGAAAGTGCGATGTTGCGCGCAAGCGTTCCCTTTTCTCTTCAAAGCTTTCTCCAAACGCCGACTCTACTGCAACGTGAAGGCGTTTCCGTTTGTCGGTAACATACTCGTGCACAATACTTAGCTGCTCCCGTAGAATGTGGAGGTCTTCAATTAGTTGTGCAGTATTTTCAATATCGTCTTGCGGTAACACATACTGCTGTATTGCTTGCTCCACTGAGTTCATTGCTGAAATGGCTACCTCAGGATCAAATTTTAGAATGAATGAGCCACCATGGACATTTGAAGCGACAGAACGTCTTTCCTCGGAAAGGCCCCCGACGTCTTCCTTGAGTGGCCTTGAAGCTTTGGAGCTAGAGTTTGGAGCGCTTTCGGCTGTTGTTTTGACCACTGTATCAGCTAATTCTGGAATGTCCACCTTCGTTTCCTGGGGCTTTACTGTTGATCGCGAGGACGTGCGAGGTATTGGCCGCTCCTGATCAGTATATTCCATGGCTGGTTCTTCGGTCGATTGCTCTAAACTCAGTGGAGCGTCAAACTGCAGTGTGTGGCGGCGCTCAGGAGATTGGAAAAGTGTGCTCAACTCATTCTTCAGCTGATAAAATGTCGCCTCATTGGCAGCAAAACCACTGAGAGCATTGAATGAAGGCGCCGTTTTCTCCAAAGCGCCACAGCGAAGTAGCTCACTTCCTAACCAAAGCGCATGGGCTGCGTTCGACACAATTTCGTTCTTAGTCATCCATTCCACAATTTCTTTACCAGTAAAGATAGAATGACCAAACAGATCGCTCTTCAGCATACTGGTCTCCATGTTCTGAGCTATAGAGATCAATTGGTCATCTGTAAAACTTTCTACATTGCTCAGCATGGAAACCAACTTGTTGCTTTGCGATTTCGCAAGCCCACTAAACGCAGTACCTTCACTGATTGAGCGCCTTCGTCGAATCTTAATTGTGTCAGCGCAGGAAGCAATGATAGAATCGAAAGATTTCGTCGTAGAAATTATCAACGAGCCAGAACGGTCACGACGACTGCGCTTATTCTTCACACCTACAGCACGAGCTAGGGTGGCCAATGACGGTAAAGGATCCGACGAAACACGGTCTCTTTGCTCTTCCTTTTCGCTATTTTCATCATCGCTACCGGACGACTCCTCGTCACTTGTATGTTTAGGACCGTCATCTTCTTGCTCTTCACCAGTACCAGAAAAGGTGCCCATCTCAATCACTTGTGCAATATCGCTGCTTGTAGCCATTTCTATAGCATTTTTAGCAAGCTTAACTTCAGAAGCAGGAGCCAGAACGTTTGACCCATTGGCGCTAATGATCTCCTCGGAATCACTAGTCTGTTCGTTTTGAGCACTGATGATGAGAGATCGGCCGCCGTGCAGCCATGCATTCTTCTCACAAGCTGTTTTCAATCTTGCAACTTCGAAGAACATCAGTGTCGGTGCGCGAGCCCTTGTCGTAAAAACGGTTCCTTCGTCTCTTGCAATCGTAAGGAGCCGCTGCATCGGGTTGTTACATGAACCTAGTGGGCAAAGCACCCCTTTCGGCAGCTCAAGCTTTTGAAGCTCAAGCCGTAACGCCTTTTTTCGCTCATCAGGGGGAAGAAATCGTAGCCTTTCGGTCATTGCACATAGCTCTTCAATAAATTGAATTTGGTTAGTGAACACTCGACACTCCTCCCCATCATAAGAGTCTTCTGATAATGTATTGCTGGGAAGTAAATAGTCTCGAGGAATGGAACAGCTACTCATGGCATCGCAAACTGCACCGAAGGGAATTGTAGACTTTGAGTCTACATGAACAAGGACTAACAAACGATCAAATAGGCACTTGATGATGGCAGCTTGCTCACTCGAAGCTTGCAAGTCCTTGTCTACCTCAAAAGACCAGTCATTACGAGATATCTGCATCTCCACATTAATCATCAATATCTTGCACATGCTCATCTTTCGATACAAAAAATCAGGTACATACAGCTCGGACTGACCAAAGCCCCAGCCACAGCTATCGTCGATTGCTGCACGGGTCAACCAGTAGATTGCCGTCGCGAGTCGGATGTGCAATTGAGTTGCGTAGCATAAAACTCGAAATAGCAGCGCTGCTTTAATGTTGTTGCTTGCCCAGTCTACCGTTAGCCACATCTGAAATATTTGAGGAAGGAAAAATTCAAAATCCGCCAAATTACACGCTGAAAGCTCCAAAAGCTTGTTCACCGCGTATGCATACGCTTCATCGCACCCGTGGCGATGCAAATGAAGCATTTGGATTACATCAAAAATACCAAAGCCGCCGTCTCCAAAGATCGCGATCAATGCCTCCATTTCATCTTCGTCGGCCTTAGACAATAAAGGTTTGGGCATGCCATTTTCCTCTATTTGAGCAATGTTGAGACGCTGTAGCAACATGCTGAGCCACAACACGAAACACTGTACGCGGTAGCATCCCATGCAAAGTCGTACAGGGTAATTCATGTGGAAATGTCGAAGCATTGCAAACCTAGAGCTATGGTCCGAACAAACAGATCCACCGCAATTTCGACAGTGGTGCTGTCTCTTGCCAGTGCTCTCAAATCGTACATGGCAACCGGGGTGGCAGCAAGTTATGTCGTTTTTAAACTTGGGAGGATTGGACTTCTCAACAAACGTAAGGCCTCCAGGGGTAAGCGCCATGATGTCAGGGCGCGCAGAAACATCCGCGAACCACTTTTCAACTGCAGCCTTCATTCCTATCAACGCCGTCTGAATGTACTCGATCCACTGTCGCTTGTCCTCCTCCGAGTCAGCATCCATATTGAATACATCGCCCGACGTGAACGAAAGCTTGAACGAGTGGCGATATGTGTGCCAAAGGCCCTTACCGTCCCACGCCTCTACCTTCTGCACCTCGGCACTAAATAGCGCCGTAATCATTGCAGATGCTGCATCCCGTGACGCAAACCGCGAGAAGTTAACACCAACGCAGCGACAGTAGAAGCGCTTCATGCGGTGGTACGTCACGCCCTCATCACGCATACAGAGATATCCCTTTATGCCTAGTCCGTCCCGCTCGACACCAAACGACCCCAACATGTCCAACGAAGACACCGCACCACTCTCAGACATAAGCGCACCGCCGGATTGTGCAAAGCTATCGCAATCGGCGTCAGCTGCTCGAGCAGAAAGCGTAGCAAAACCATTGGCGACTGGTGACTCTAGACTGTCGGTCATGACGGCGTCATTGATACTTAGCGGTCCTTTGCCGTCATCCGAGAGGTGCATAGGTTGCCGTGGCAGCTCCTCCGTCTCCTCGGTCATGCTGTCATATACAGTAGGAGACTGATTATATTGACGTCCCAGGCTAAGTAATGTACTCGTACAGCAAATGCTTTCGTTTTCTCTGCTAATGTAGTTGACAAAGATAAAATGCTGTCTCTAAATTAGCTGCAACAAAAAGGCGACACGTACGGGTCAGACCGGACGTTTTATTGTGGATTAATGACGTACGTTGCAAACACACACATAATTTATTTCTATTATAGCACATACTATAACCAAGGAATAGGGTTTATCTTGCGACCTTGTAATATTTTTAAGAAAAAATGTTGACGACAGGTGAAGAACGTATTTCACCCCTTCTGTTTACGCTATAGAAGGACATTGAAGATAAAGTAGAGGCAACCTATTTACATACAAGTTGACTTGCAGACAAAATTGACCATACGACGTTTATCACTTTTTGATTTGCCCGTGCTCTTACACACGTCGTAATCTTCGGCGAAATGACAATATCTAGTCAGCGTTCTAGGCGAGCAAAGATGTAAGTTCTGGTAGCCATCAATACTACAAGCGATGATGTATACATATATTTTGCACTCGTAGGTTGCATTATTTACAAGCAGTAAATAGCAAATGTAGTTTCTGATCCAGTGACAACTTCTGGCGTCTTGGCCGTCTGCCGCAAAGTAAGTCTTTTTAAGTTAGTTAGTGTTTAATGAAGCGTAAAGATGACGAGTCAGTAATGTGGACTAGTGTCGATTATGGATTGTCATGTTTGCTCTGAGCATCTGTGCGATTTATCCTACCATTCAGACTTAGCTGGGTTACACAAAGTGTATTTTCATACACACACATACACAACTGTGGTGTGGCTGTACTTTGGATACATTGGTGAGTTGATGTATCCGTTCCTAAGTGTTAAGGGTTCGTATCGGGCAGAGCCACGTGGTCATTATACTTAGTTTAAGTATTATGGATACATATGTTTACATATTAGTACGAAGTGTCACATCGTCACGTGGTCAAAAAAAAGTCACTATACTTTGCTAAGTATAGTGACTATGCATGTTTGCATAATAATAAAAGGCTATAGAGCCCCTAAATAGTGACTAGCATTAAGTATAGAGTAGGTGCTTCTATATTTAGTGCTAGAAGATAAACATTAATTAAATCAGCTGAAAACCTGCTCTGAATAGCATTGTTGCTAGAGCGTTAGTCCTTGTATAGAAATTAGTATCACTGGATACTGGTCTCATTGAGATGTGTTATCAATAAATAGAAGGCACAAGCTTATAAAGCTGGACTTGGGAGAACTAATAACCATAATCCCGCACCAGGATCTGTGACTACTTTTCTGTGTGAGAACGGACATCGAAGCGATGTCCGCGGTTGGCCTGTCACAGGCACAACAGGAAGAATTGCAAAAGCTGCTCCCTATCCTTGGCCCAAAGAGCGTGGGATACCTGCCCCTTCTTGACCGCCTCGATTAAAATTGGGAACCTCTGTTCCACCGATGTTTGTGCATGCGGGAATCTCTGCTCGACCGCCTCGTTATGAATTGAAAGCCTCTGCGTGACCGCCTCGATTGGAATCGGAAACCTCTGTTCGACCGATGTATATGCGGGAACCTCTGCTCGACCGCCTTGTTATGAATCGGGAACCTCTTCTTGACCGATGTCTGAGTTCGCGGGAACCTCTGTTAGACCGCCTTGTGTTGTGGCTCTATCAGTGTGACTGAACTTACCGGACACAGAGGGTCATCGTCATCTCTGAGCTGACTTCTAGTCGTGGTGAGTTTGTCCACGACCCTGACGTGGGGCCACTCAGATGACGCAACTAACAAATGAGTAAAAACTTCACTCACATCGTAGCCACTGCGTCGATTGACGGATCGTGATAGCCAATCTATCGTAGGCTTATATCGTGACAGCCACGGTATTCCCAAGATGCAATCGAATGCGTAGTTCATCTCGTACACCAGAAACTGATCATTGCTCTGAAAACCGTCAAACGTATACGGCTAAACCACTGTTTTGCGCGGGACACGCTGCGGTTGTCCATCAGCAAGTTTGACAACGATGTCGCCCGGACCTTCTTGAACCGTAATCTTAGACGGCAGAAGGGACAAACATGATTCTCGAAAGAAGTTATTGGATGCACCCAAATCTAACAACGCTCGTAGTGGTCGCTTCACTCCAGCAACGATGAGATTGATACTGATCAGTATCGAATCGTCACGCGTAGTGGTGGCGTTGAAGTGAGTATGAATCAATTTGGGGCTGGGAGACCGAGCTGTCACCGGAGGTACTCGGTGCTCCATTCCTGCCAGTAGGGCCCCCGCGCCTACTGGAACCGCTCGTTTTCTGGCGGGACCCAGAGAGAGCGTGCAAAATGCACACCCCTCCCAGCACCTTCCGCTATCAGTTTGCTAGCTGCTATTCGGGCATATCCAGTATTTACCAGCCGAAGATAAGAAAGAACTGCAAGCCGCCGGTTTTGCTCGGCTTTGCCAGTCTTTGATAGAATGGCAAGTGTGCTGATGGTTGCTGTCATGTCTCTCCCTGGTCCTGACTGCACCGTCCTCATCATCATCCTCTTCGTCACCCTCGTCATCACCCTCATCTGCAATTTCAGCTTCATGCAAAACTGGTCCTGCAACAGAAAAAGTATTTGGTCAAAAGATTACAGCCAACATCTGCTTTCCTTAGTTCGGCTCTTTTCCGTCTTTGAGTTCGAGGTGCACAACCTGTATAATGGATTGGCCTGCTATTGTTTGGTTGTGGTAGATCTGTAACAGATGCTTGATAGGCTCTTTCAATATTTTGCTTCAACAGATGCAAAGTCCAGGTTTTCGTCATCATTGCCCTCCAAAATGTCCAGGTTTCCTTCATGACTGCTGTCAGTAGATTCATAAATGCCTGAGCTGTTATCGGCTTTGGCGCTTGACCTCTCTCATTTCCTGCATCTGTCTTTTTAACTTTGTTAGGCGAGGCATAATTGTACAATTTTTGTCAGAAGGCACGTTGATGGTTAAGGTTTGAAGCGGGTGAGTGGTTAGTGGTGATAACTGAGCCTACGGGTCAGGGTAGGGACGTATACCATACAATGCACTATGAGCTAATCAGAAGAGCCGAAGGTGTAAGGTTAAAAGATCCAAAAAATGGCCACAAAAAAACTACGTTTGCTGGTTTTAAGTGTCATGCACTAAATCTTATGCTGTGGATCCGATAGGTTGATTCTATTATGTTTATAGCTGACATCACCTATGAACTGTACCGTGTTGGCTTTGCCACGGGTAAGTTGGGTGTATTAGCGAAGAAGTGGGCATTCACATGCGGTGCGCTGTAAAACGCTCTCAGGTAAGCGTGAGCTTGCGGCATGGTGCAAAAGTTTAGAACTTTCAGTCATCGATCGACCCTCTGCCTATGAGAAGTGACCATCGCTGACGTTATGGAAGACCTACGAGATATCATTTCCAGAACGAAAGTCTTCCGATAAATCAGCCCTCATTTGAGGAAGCCGTTGGAGTAGCATTGAAAGCCGAGACCAGCTTTAAGGCCACTAAGCCTGCCACTTAAACTTGGTTTGCCGCGAACGATCGCTCTGCGGTTCAACAGGGCACATGTTCTTCCCCAGTAGGGGTCCCAGGGAAGACGACGCGCGGTGGGTCAAGAACGTCCATCGTGTATTTCAGCAGCGGACCATCAAGCGCGTAACGCTTGATGTTGTCACGCGTTGTTTCGTCAGCTTCGCGAGTGACCCTTCACTAAGGTGTCGAAGATATTTTGATAATTTCTGAGTAGAAGGAATCATTCGCATTAGACTTAGCAATCTGAGCCCAAATTGACAGCAGGTGCCGAGACCATTGCATTGAGCCCCAGCTTAATACAGCACAAACACATGTCATCGTCTTCGTCATCAGCGTTACCTGGCTGATGACCCATATCGCGTCGAAGATCGTAACTGGGACGCAGACAAAGCGCGTCAGCACGGATGTTATTCTTGCCGGGCTTGTAAAACACCACGAAATTGTACTCAGAGAAGAAAGACAACCAACGAGCCACGCTAGGGGTGTTGACGGCGGTACGCAGTGATGCGTGATCTAAATATACTGAAAACATCTTCTCGCCGAGTAAATATACCCTGAGCTGGATCAGCGTATAACGTATAGCCAAAAGTTCTTTATCGTACACCGGATAGTTTCTTTCAGCAGGTTTCATCTATCGCGACTGAAAACTTTCGACGCATTCTCGGCCCTCATCTTCACAATGCATGAGGGCACATTCAATCGCAAAGCTGCTTGCATCACAAACAACGTGGAATAACTTGGAGGTATCAGGCATCATTAGCACTGGTGCCTCAGACAAGCTCTTTTTATGGAGTCGAAGGCAGATTGATGCTCTGCCTTCCATGACCAAACTGCGTATTTCTTCAGCAAAGCCGATAATGGTTGAATTATCTCGGCGTAATTCTTCGTATAATTATGTAAGTAATTAGCCAGGCCGAGCCGTTGTCGAAATTCAGTTTGTTTTCCTGGGCGCAAGCCATGAACATATCGATGACACTTTCTAGATGTCACCTTCCTTGCTGACATAAGAACCGAGTGCTGGAATCTCGGGAGCACCGAAGACACACTTCTTCAAATTGGCATATAATTTGATCTCACGCAACACTTGAAACACCTGTTTAAAGAGCCGAATGTAAACCTCCGTGGCGCTAAGCTGTTGCTCAGCTCGGCCGTGTACAAAAATATTGTCGAAGTAGCTTGGTGCAAAATCACGTAGCATGCGGAGTAGTTGTGTCACCATCCGGTTGAACGTAGTTGGAGCGTTCTTAGGCCTTAGTGTTTTCCGTGCGGCAAGACAGGTCATCGTGTGGCCGTCTGCCGAGCACCTGTGCCGGTGTTAATGAGCACACCTGTCTCACGTGAAAATACTGTGTCTTCGGTTGCTTGGGCCACACTCTGTCTAGAAGGTGAAGAACACATTCGTCACAAACGGGAAAACACGCATGACGGAGAAGCTATCCGCAGGATGAGGACTGCATTCTACTTCTGCAGAAGTATCTTCGAGCAAACAAGTTCAACGTAGAAGTATCACCTCTGACAGCACATGTCAACCAGAACATCCTCCCGTAGCTTGGATACGTCCCATCTCCCACAATCTCTGAAAGGACTACAACACGCTGACTTCATTCAATTGACATCACGTACCGCACAGTAACTGAAGGAATATACATTGATGGCCATGAGGGAGGATGTCATTGCGTACCGTCAGCACTTCTTGAGGTGAATGGCTAACCTTGAGGCACGGATGCCGATTGTTGCGGGGAAGGAAGAGGTCAACGATAACAATGCAAACTTCACTGCAATCACTTGGCTTCCTAATAATAGCATCCCTCCGCTCATCTTGGTAACTCATGATGAGAGTACTTTGCCGCTCATGATGGACTCAAGCGTTTTTGGTTTCCAGATGGTGAGCAACCATTGGGCAGGCCTGTCCATTTACGTCAGCGACTTGCTTTGCAATGTCATTGAACGGTTAGGACTTGATGAAGAAAAGGCTGCTCAGTATCCTGAACTACCAGCAGCAGCCTGCATCATCATGCATCCTGGCACACAGCATGACGGATGGTGGATATCGGAGAAACTGTGCAAACAAGTTGTGACTTGGCTATCCCAATCTTTAAGGCGCGATTGTCCAGCTGTCAAGCTCTTTTTGCCTTTGACAATGCAACAGGCCACAGTGCATTTGACCCCGATGCCCTTTGCGCCAGCAAAATGAACCTGTCAAGTGGAGTCAAGCAGCCAAAGATGCGTGCAACAACGTGGGGAAACGGGAGTTCTTAGGAAATGATTTTTGCTGATGACCATCTTGATGAAAGGCTCCGTGGTCAGGCAAAGGGATTGAAAGTTGTGCTGGAAGAACGTGAGCTGTGGGAAGCTGGTATGAAGGCGCAATGAAAACATGCCCTGTGAATAGCACAACCTGCTGCCCCAGAAGATTTATGGCCAGTCAATCAGACTTCAAAGTGCACGTAGGAATGATAAAGGAGCGAATTGTTGCCGCTGGCCATCAAGTGATATCTTTACCCAAAATTTCACTGCGAGCTCAACTTCATCGAAAAGTTTGGGGAGCCGATAAGCGATACACCAGAAACACTGTGATTATAGTTGGAAAGAAAAATTTACTGGTAGCAGCTCCAGCTGCCTTGGCATCTGTTTCACTGGATAAAATACGTCGGCACTCAAGAAAAGCTTTACGATACATTGACGTTTACCAGAAAGGTCTTACCGAAAAAGCAGCAGAGTAACAAATTCCACCGACGTGTTTCCAATTTTGTTTTGATGGATGTGGCTGTTATGACAAGATAAATAGTAAAGGTCAACCTGCAGCTTTTCTTAACACCTTTATTGACAGTTTTATTGATGGTTTCCCGCTAAAAAAATATTTGTCAGGATAAAAACCCCTTATATTAGGCGGCCATATTCTCGCCTGCCTAAGCAAAATGCCAAAACTCAGAGGACTTTTGCGATGCTACTGCTCCATGAAGAATTGAGATAATAAAAATCAGAGACTTGTAGAGGGAAGCTTAGGGCATACTTTTTGTTCCCAATGGCTTCATTTCTGTGTAATATGTATTCAGGCCAAGCCTTAGCAATTCTTGCAGGGCCACTAAAGTTGCTGGTTTTTAAGTGTCATGCACTGTATCACCTTCTTTGCCGTCGATCTTTTCGATTACAATATAAATGGTTTTTGGTCTGCTGACCACTTCCTGCGCCAATGTCGCCATGGGAAAGGCGCAGAAGAAGACATTTGTGCCTTTACATTTTACCAGAGTGTTATTATGCTTTTCGAGCATATAAATGCGCTTGCTCACCTTTTTTTGACTTGGGTGATGTCCCCTGCACTACTACATCAAACGAGTAGAGGCTCCCTATTCACCTTAAGGCGGTAGAACAGGGCTTTCCGCACACTACTGCATCGGATTAGCAGGGGCCCCCGATTCATAACGATGCAGTCGGACAGAGGTTCCCGCATACACAGACATCGGTGGACAGAGGTTCCTAACCCAATCGAGGCTGTCAATCAGGGAAACCCCTACACCTCTACATCGGACAAGCAGAGGCTTCCAATTTATCCCGAGGCGGTCGAACAGGAATTTCCGCGTACACAGACATCGGTCGAACAGTGGTATCCGATTACAACCAAAGCGATCGAGCAGGAGCTTCCGTACACTACATCTAAGGCGGTCGACTACGGGCTCCCGCCTCTTATTGACAAGAATGCGCGGACTGTGGGTCCGTATGTGACCTACATGGTGGTGACTGGGCCAACAAGTCTAGCGAGGGGTATGTCATTCTCCAGCGATAGCGATGTGGTAGCCTCGAGCAACAGCTCGAGATGCAAGGAATAGCGTAAGTACAAGAAAGGAGCACGCCGATCGCTGAGACGGCGACATTCTCGTCGGTATGTTAATGACGTTGATGCCATAGTGACGGAATCCTTATGCGCGCTCGAATATGTGGAAGATCTCCACATTGCGGTTGCTACATTGAGGTAGCAAGACGTCCGTGGGCTGCTGCTGAGATCACATCTCTATCAGCACTACCACGGATTTTCCATGCCCTCAAGGATGGCAACATCGAGCAAGTGTGCATCGTATTTACCGCCGAATCAGCTACATAAGAAGTTTTGAAGGCTCGCCAATAGAGCGTCGAGCCAAATTCAGCGCGCGAAGAACTTTCGCAACACATTCTTAGTAAGCCCTTCGTGCTTTGGGCAACACTGTCTACGATATCGCTCGCGAGTATGCCGATATTTTTCCGGAGACAATTCCCACTGAGCTTCCAGCTGATCGTGGATTGCGGCACGAGATTGACCTCGTGCTTGGATCAAAGTATTGCGTAATGCGGCAGTGACCGTTACCTCGTGATCAAGTCATCACAATTGATGAAACTTTTGAGGGCCACCGTCAAACAGGCCATGTTTGGGAGAGTGTCTCCCCAAATTCGAGTCCTACTTTCTGTGTGAAGGAATCCACCGGAGGTTGACCAATTGTGCATGCTTTTGACAAGCTAAATAAAGCCAAGAACCCGGCTTAAACGCCAATTCCCCGCAAATACATGATAATGAATACCATCTTCGGCAGCGATATTTTCAGTGCCATCAACTTGACAGACGGGTTTTACCAGATCCTAATGAGAGACAGTGATATTCCATTCAATGCGGTCAGCACCCCGAGTGGTATGCTATCGAAGTGGCTAATCATGCCACAGATCGTGTTTTGACTACAAATTTTGCGGCCAAATTGATTGCCGCGACCGCGTGACGCCTCAATCGCATCAATTTCCATGGGCTCTGGGCCAAACATACGCGGAAGTTGCGACGCTGCGTGCAAGGATGACGACGCGACCGTGTAATCTTCAAGAAGAGCGAGGGCAAAAGCCTCCTTGAGAGCCTTCAGTTCGGCACGTGTGCGGCAATAACGCGTCATGCCCTTCTACATACTGAAGAAAAATACATGTACTTGTGAGGCCATGTCGATCGGCTGTGTAGTAATACACGACACAGGATGTCATGTTTTCTGCACGTAGTCACGCATCGGTAGCTTATCCTATCAAAGTTTGAAGAAGTCTGCACGCAAGCGCGACTCATCTTGAGGAGGTTTGAACGCCAGTCGTAAGTTGCGCTGGATCTTGTTCATCGTGAGGAACGACAACTCGTCGACGACGAGTGTCCCAAAGGCCCATTCTTTGGCTTTGCCGACAAGCTGTGATAGCAGAGATTCAATCTTGGCCGTCGGAGCGTCAATCAACCTTAGCACTAACGCAATATCAATCTTACAAACCGAGAGATTAAAGGGGAGACGATCCGGTCCATCGCCCGAGTACGTGGACGTCTCCATTTTTATCGCATAATGATGGGAGGTGCGCGAGGGAGTCTGTACCCGCCAGTTTGCTTCAGCGAGCTCGCGCACCATGTAGTCTTGGATGGCAGAACGGTATTTGACAGGCGTCGAGTGCGCAGCAGCGACGTTACGAACATCTCATCAGACACCGCCGCAGGGCGATTTAATGCCTGATATTCCACAGGCGTAAGATAAGGGCAGTCGGCATGTTCCAGCGAATCCGCTGGAGCGATTGGAGTTTCGTCCTCGCTCACCTCTTACTTGGTCATGGAAAGGACTACAAAGTGCTACCAGGTATAACGGGATAAGAGCACGATAATGTTTTACACAATACGAGAATTAGGAGGAAGCACTGTTCTCGTATAAGGTAAAATCAACTCTGTATTGTTTTGTTTGAAATCGTACTGAGTACGAAGGATTCTCTTCTCGTGAGAACAATTTAAATTTGATCAACTTACAATTGTTTAAAAGTTGAGTTCTGGCGCTTCTATAATAGCCAAAAAAAGTAGATAAGGTGCGGTTTTTGCCATTTGGATACTGTATATACCTACATGTGTCATTATGTAATAACAACCAACAATTATATGATAAAATGAGCTGCCCCATTACATGATCAGTATTTACATGGACTCAGTTAAACTCCATCGACGCACACTGAAAGCCAAATGAAGCGGACATCTTTGTACATACTAAGTTGATGGATACCATGAAAAGCTACAGGCTGCTGAAGTCCGGCGTATATCGAGAAAGCGATCGTCGCTGTCGAAAGGAGGTAGGCTGAATTGAGTTACGGCGCTGAGCAGCTGATGTTCGATATGGCATTATGTGGAAAGACGAAGCAAAAGCTGCTCAGCAGCGCTAGAGGTCACAGAGACGTGTGTTGTAGCGATCGCACGTGTGAAGTATGAGATTGCAGCGTGAGAGCTTGATTTTGAACGACATGGGTGTATTTTCCATTTGCCGGTCGTATAGCTCAGTTGAAAGTTTGTCTATATTGTAATAAAATAGGCAGGGTGACTAATCAATCTGCAAGACTAATAGAATACACTAGTATACCTACCCTGATACTATAAATTTTTTTTTTTGTGTGCGTGTCCGAAATTGGCTTCGTATTTTTGGTTTTTAGAAATTCTTTTTTTTAATTTCCAAATAAGCCGACTTAAAATGATAAGTCAATGCGAAATGGGCAATGCACAATAGCATCACGTGCAGCCGCCCTCTCGCCCCAGTCGTCTCACCTGCCGCAGACGTGTCGACCAGAAACGACACGTCGGCTGAGGTCCCACTGGTACCTGGGAGCTACGGCAGGAAAGGCGTGTGACCCCCGACGTGTCCATGTAAGAATGTTGAAACGCGTTTCTAAACTTAGAAATGTTTCTAATTCGCAGTTTTAACTGCCGAGCGGTTTGCGTGGACCGATGCGTGTGATGGCGCCCGGTGTTGTTTGTTGTTGTTGTTGTAGTTGTTGTTGTAGTTGGTGCTGTTGTAGCGTAGGTGGTGGTGTTGATAGCAATGGTGTTGTTGTTGTTGTTGGCTATGCGGTTGGTATTGTTGTTGGTGTTGGTGTCGTGGTGGTGTCGGTGTTGGTGTTGTTATTGTTGTTGTTGTTGCAGGTGTTGTTGTTGTTGCTGGTGCTGTTGGTGTTGGTGGTGTTGGTAGTGCTGGTGTTGTTGTTGTTGGAGTGAGTGAGTGCTGGTGGTGTTAGAGTTGGTGTCGTTGATGTTGATGTTGCTGTTGTTATTGTTGTTGTTGTTGTTGGAGTTGTTGGTGTTGCTGTTGTTGGATTTGTTGTTGTTGGTGGTGTTGGTGGTGTTGTTATTGTTGTTGTTGGTGTTGTTATTGTTGTTGGCGGTGTTGTAAAAGTTATTGTTGGCTTGTGTAGCCGTTCAATAAATGCAGCCACCTCCTGTCAAGCTGGCTAGGGATCGTGGCGCTGGTGGGGCACAGTGCCCCCGTCTACGTATCAGCACGATAACGGATACCCAGCGCAGACGGATTTTGGCTAATGTAGTCGCGAAAGATCGGCGAGTGTGACATTGCGGCAACTACCGTGTGCTGCCGGGCCTGCTGGCCAGAGTCGTCGAGGCGACGAAGCTGATGGCGAAAGTGAGCGCAAGCTGTCGCCAAGACGACCTGCAGAGCAGGAAGCGCAGGCGTGGGATTTCGGCCATCGAAGAGACACCGGTTGCGGTCCGTCCAGAGGAAGTGGAGAGCCACTGCTCGAAGCGTGTGCCAGACATCGCACACCACTTCCTCGTCGTTTTTCCACGAATCACGGACTCTCGGCTTTTCAGCCAACACAATCCTCAACCACGTTGCACGAGACCTGAAGAAAGGAGACATCATCTGGTGGATGTGATCCCAGAGCTGTACTGCGAGCGTACAACTGAAGAACAAGTGCTCTTCCGTCTCGATCGCGTCACACCCAGCACGAACGCAAATGCGAATGCGCGGGTTGGCTGCCTCCAAGAACCAGAACCGTGAGCGTACTGGCAGAAGACGGAACGCGAGGCGAAATTGCAGGTCCGCAAACACAGGGAGCAAGATCGTCTGCAGGTGTTTGTTGTACCGTACGTAAGCCTGGATACTCCCCGCTCCAACACGCTGGGAGTGAATCGTGATCGGGTGCTGTTGTGTCGGCACCTGTGGTGTCCACACGACGCGAAGCAGCGCAGATCTCGGGATCAAGGGAATCAGGCACACCTTGTCGCCACTGCTGCATCCTAGATAAGGAAGAAAATGTCTTCTCCTGCTATTTGGCGGTAAGACCAGTCTCGTCGCTCCAAGTCGCTCCACGATCTGGGTTGTCTCCTTGTACAACACGCGCAGCCATTGTGCCTGTTTCCCAGGCAGCACTGACCCAAGCGAGAAGTCGACATGACGTTGTACAAAGTCTTGCTGCGACGGCCAAACGCCCCCCACTCGCATAAAGTCAGCAAGCGACCGCACTCGGAAGACTCTGGACACATGTAGCCGGAAGCTCCGTTGCGGTTCGACTACCATACCAATACATCGACGATGCGCTGCGCTCGCTGAAGCTCGCTGAGTTTGCTCATAGTGCAGCATGGCGTCGGAGTGAAACCAAATTGGCTGATAAAGACCGTACAAAGAGCGCTCTTCAGGAGGAAGGTCATGCCATGTAAATTCCCATCGGATCTTGTACCATGATGTCCACATCACTTTCCACCATGTAGAAGCCTGCCCCCACGATATCATTTTGCCATGGCGCAGCGGAGAGATGGTAAGGAAGTCCAAGACACTGCACCGGTCCGTACATGGAAGAAGTAGCAGCAGCAGCTTGGAGCCCGCTGTTGTCCAGTTGCGAATATTTGTCGCTGTCGCGGCGCTGATAAACTGCAGAAGAAATTGGAGACGCTGGCGCTTGAGATGGGCTGCCAGGCATGGTACACCTAGCCCACCATCTGCACGGCGCTGGTACAGAAAATCTGCTGGAATCAATTGAACGTGCGACTCATGACGATTGTGCTTTCGGCTGAGCACAAACTTGTTCAGCATGGACTGCCACCGTTTCACAATAGTCCCCGGAATGGAGACATGCTGGGTGTAATGCCACAGGCGAGAGAGCACCATCGTTTGAGCGACCAGGAGGCGACCGCGAACCGTCCGTGCCCGACGATACCAGAGCTTAAAGCCGTCGTAGAATTTTTGCTCAAGCAGAGCCAAGAGAGCGTGATCAACCGATGTCTGTCCGAACGGGATACCAAGGTAGTTCACCGATTCTGTATGGCCCAATACGTGCACACCGGGGAGTATAGGACAGTCGCGGTTCCGGTTCAGCGCTAGTAGCGTAGACTTGGATAGATTGAGCTTGGCACCTGAACCGTCGCAGTACTCCGCCACAACCTCAAGCTGGGCTTGCAGGTGCACGATCGAGTTACCCAGAAGCGTCGAGTCGTCAGCAAAGAACATGCTCGTGGCGGTGTGGTCTGAGGTCAGACACACGCCATACTCCTCGTGGGAGCGCAGCAGGTTGCCAAGAGGCTCAATGGTCAAGATGAATAGAAGAGCAGACAACGGATCGCCTTGTTTCACGCCTCGCGTCGGATACAACGCGGGCTGAATGTTCTGGTTGATGATGAGATGCGCTTGAGGATCCGTGTAAAGCAACCGGATCCATCGCGTGAACTGTGTATCGAAACCCATGTGCTCAAGCAGGCGGAACATGTAGTCCCAGTTGACGCGATCGAAAGCCTTCTCGAAATCAAGAAACAGCGCATACGCTTCTTCGTCCTGGCTTGTCACAAGGTCTTGCATGTCAGCGAGAAATCGAATGTGGTGATGGATCGACCGACCTTTGACAAAGCCTTTCTGGTCCGGATGGATCAAGTCGGGGATAACGTGCTGCAGCCGGTAAGTCAGTGCCTTCGACAGGACTTTCACGTCGACCTGTACGAGAGCGATGGGCCTGTAGTTCCCAGGTTCTGCACGCGACCCTTTCTTGTGGAGAAGCACTACTGCAGACTTACGCTGCGACGGGAGCAGCGCGCCGCGGTGAAGCAAAGCGCTGAACACTATGGACAGGCATTCGCCAAATATGTCAGGAGCCACCTGGTAGAAACCAGCCGTCAGCCCGTCCATGCCAGGAGCTGACGTTGCTTTCATGTGGCGGATCGCACTCGCCAACTCGGCACCAGTGACTGGTGCGTTTAAGATGTTGCGGTCTACCTCCGAGACGGTGCGCGTTACTGAGTCGAGAAGCTTGCGTTGCGTGACAGCGTCAGGTGGAGTAGCTCGCCCTGCTGGACTGGCGGAATCTCCCATCTCTGATCCCCAGTGTTCCAGGAAGCGGAGAGCGATCTCGTGGGGATTTGATGAGACAGTCCCACTCGTTGTAATTACCTCCTCGATCGAGACCCGGCGCAAGCTTGTATCCAGCGGACGGAAGAAGTGCTTGGTTGATTTCTCAGAATTGGCTGCTTGGAAGTCGAAAGCAGTGTCCTGGTTGTACTGGCTCGTCTGGGTGACTGCCTCTCGAT